TATCTCGATTTTAGAATTATAATTTTCAATTTTAGCAAAATTATGACTATTCCTCGATTTTCTTTTCGAATTATTTTAAAATTGACCATTTTTTCTTCTTCGTTTGGTCAGTAAATTATTGTGCTAATGACGATGCCAGACGGTTTGTTGGTTTCAACGAATCACTGGAAGAGTCATTACACTGAGCTTGCTTTTGTCGTTTATGGGTCAATGAACTTTTTTTTGTATAATAAATTTCTTCAATTATTGAAAAATCTCGATTATGATAAAATGAAATAGATTAATATTGAAATGTAATGTTATACATTTAATTCATTAGGTGAAATTTCAATCGAATCTCAAAATTTTGATAATAGAATTCTAAAATTTTATGATGTAATCATTTTCTTTAAAGAATAAGAGCGCAATTACATTAACACTAACTATGAATTGATGTTTCCATGGCAACTAATAATGAAACCCATTAGCGGGATAGAAGCCTCTTGACTTTTACGTAACAAATAAAGTATAATAATATCTTGACAAGTTGTAACAACCATGAAGGAATGCGATATAATATTTTTCTCAAAGTTATTTTACAAAACGAAAATTATAATTATTTGAATACAAGTATTTTAAATTCTTTATCTGTGAAAAATATGACACGTTTTATTGAACGGATTTCATATTAATTCGTACTTATTTTATAATTTTTTTTTGAAATTTAATTTATATTTTAATTGGCTGATAAAATTGAAAATATAAATCTTGACTGTCTGCAAATGTCAAAGTTGGTTTCTCGAGCATCAAAGCAAGTTTATTCAAACTAACGTATTTGCTAATTTTAATGCGAGTCCTTGAAGAATAGACAGACGTACGTTAGAATGGTCCCAAAGTCAATGCTGCGATTTTAATATTAGTTCTCTTAGTGTCTTCAATTTTAAAATGAATTTTCTCAATTCTTTCGGATTGTTAGCATCGAACTTTGTAAATCGACTTTAAAAGTATTGGACAATAATATTTTTTGATAAAATAATTTTAACTTTTCTTGAGGGTGGCAAAGTTTCATCATTGTTTTACAATCTGGGAAAAATATTTCATCGGTCTTATGATTTATAAATAGAATAACCGGATGTTGAATTTTACTTATGGATTGACGTTTTCTCGTAAAAATTTTATATGAAAAGAAAATTTTTTGTTTAATAGAGAGGAAATTTATTATTTAATCAAGGAAGTTGATGTGTATTATCAAAATAGTTTGAAAATTACAGGCATTGTTTCGTCTTAATGAATATTGTGTGTTCCTTTCATAAAGAGTTTTGTTATAAATTGCAAATGTCATTAGGGATCACTATATGCATTCAAAAGGTCTGCCGACATTTACAAAGGTTAATTTTATACAGATAGAGTTGTTATCTATCGTGGCTACAATTACATAACTATAAGCAATATACCTGTTCAATGACGACTTTAAACTAGCATTCTCTATAACAAAGACCTTTGAACTTTTACACCTTGTCTCTATTCTTAAAACAAATAAGATATTTTAGGAAATATATTCTTATAATAATAACTATTATTAATCAAAAAAGCAAAAAATTCTTCATGCTGTTAAATAATTATTTCTTATTACGTAAAATTCAACTTTCTCAATATTAAAGTTTTCCTTTTCATTTTGTTAAATTTAAATCTAGAATATTTGTCCAAAAAATTAGTTCAATTAGTTTTAGCTTATTTTTATTGAAAAAAAAATTATGTTAGAGGGATTTCGTGCGCCAAACAAATAGAACAATTTTTTTTTTTGGCAACAGAAATAACATTTTTAAAAACAAGGTCAGGAAAAAATACTGTTTTCTTTTATTGATTCTACTGGCCTACCTTATAGGGAAAAAAATATTTCGAGAATTTCTTGTCCATTCACTGGTTTTTATTTTAAAAATGAAACTCAATCTCACGACAATTTTCCTGCGAATAGAAATATTTATCAATCAAGTTTCAATTCCTGTTTCTTTCTCGTATTTCGCTCTCTCTCCCCTCTTATTTTCTTTATAAAGGTTGAGGACATTCTTGAGCCAAAGTTAAGTTTAATCGTCAAGACAAGACCAATTATTGAATTAAATTGAACTGCTGCCAATTGAGTATTTCGTATCATCTTTTTGTCAGCTTGTTTTTCGCAAACACCAAAAATTAAATTTTAAAAAAATGCACCACTTCTAAAAATATAAAATTTTAAAATAGTTAAAAAAAATTGAAACTTTCAATGAAATTTGATTTTTATCCATAAAAAAAAGAAAGAAAGAAAACGTTTTTTAGGATATATTTATTTTATAAACGATTATGCAAAAAGAGTACGAAAATAATTTCTGTATATAAATATATATTGTTATATATGTATATATTTCTCTCTCATCGTGAAATGGAAGGTCGATATACCTCCGTTTATGCACTTCCTTTATGCACTGTTTTCTTTCAACACGCAACCAAGCATTCCCTTGAAGTTAAAATGCGAAACTTTTTAAGTTCCTGTCTAAAGGTGTAGGCGTTATGCTTTCACGCATCGTGATGTGAATGTAACGTTCAGTTAGCATATTTTATTCGTGAGTGTATAAAACTGTAAAGTGAGCCAATGATATAATATTTTAAAGCATATATCTGAAACTCGACTTGCATTATTGTTATGAAAATAATTTTATTCAAGTTTCAAAACATAGAATTTTCTTCTGATGAAATTCCTTTTGTGAACTTATTTGTACAATAAATTCGACCCTGAAAGAAACAATTTCAATATAATATAAATGAATTGTAAATTTCGTTAATGAATTTTTATTCTTGAAATTTTGAATTTTTTCCTAGAATTTTTCTTTTATTGAAATATAATTTTTGGGGTAATTTAAATCTTATATTATTAAAGAAGGGTGTGCTTAGGAAACCAAATAAGTAGAGCACATTCACAACAGTTCAAGGACATTTTATTGAACCTCAATTCAGGAGTCGATGCCAAAGCAGCGTATAAAAAGTTGCCTGGAGGTCTCTTGCTCTTATTGTCAGACTTACGAAATTTCAAACAACTCTCCTGTAGATACTTATTTGTCAGCTTCTTAAAAGAAAAAATTCACAAAAATAATTTCAATTTATATTTTTGCTAAAACGTTTTTCTTGTTTTTGTTTCAATTTAAAATTTTTGTTGATTATTCGCCGAGACAATTTGAATAGAAAAACATAAAAGAAATTCAAATGAATAATTTGAAGTGAAAAATATTGTTATTTATTTATGTTTCTTGCTGGTCATTATAATTGAAACTTTAGTTAGAAATTTTGTTGCATTAATAATGATGACAAACATTTTAATGTATAGTAGAACACGATAATTTATGAAATAATACAAATAAAAAATTACTTTTTTTTAGGTAAAGTTATTGTCGGAAAAATCCTAGGAGGAGGGGTGATTGACCAAACTTTTCCATAGGGACTTCAATTTCCTAGTTTCATATCGCACGCTACGATTAATGATCATGGACACAATAATAATGACGTAGAACTTGATAAAATAGCCTTCGATATTCGCTTCAATTGGAATCGATGTCTAGTAACCTGTGCAATCAATAATCTTCCAATCACCTTGCATAGTGTCAATATATATAAAACGTATTATTAATTTGCTCAAAGGGTTCTTGCAATTTGAAAAAAAATCCTTTGATATTTGCCGAGATTTCGTAAAAATTTCCCTCATCATTTATATCATTCATTCGTTTCAAATTTTTTATCGCTGATAATAATTTCTTGATCAAAATATATTTTTTAAAGATAGATTTTGTTCTACAAAAATAAATTAAATAAACAAATTATCAAATGTTTTTATTATTTTTATTAATGAGTTCTCAAAGGAAGAAAATGAAATATTTTTTCAATGGTATTTTTAATTTTTGTTAAAAAGAAAAATAGAAATTAATGAGTGGAAAATTTTTAGGAAAACTTTGTAAATAATTGAAAATTTATAGTTATAATATTTTATATTATATTGAATAATATGGCACTTGACTTTGTCTTGGTAACAACTATCGTCTTTCATTTTTTACTTTAGATGGAAATGTGCTAACCAGCAGAGACCACCTGGCTTACATCTGCTGTCGCCACGTAGGCACTTGATATTTTTTCTCGCTTTTTCAAACATATTCTTTTTTTTCGAATTCGTTTTCAATTTTCCTCTTATTTTCTAAATGGGGAAAAATTTTTACATTATCCTAATTTCTTCTCTGGTAAACGATTCCCTTTTCTTCATATTATATACATTCCCTTAATTTTTCCATTATCGTATATAAATTAGGGGCAATAATGGAAAGTGTCTATATAATGTATTCTCATTTATCTTACATTAAAAATCCATTTTCGAAAATTCTCATCATTTTTCGCCTAGGAGTAAAATAAATAAATAGGAAGAAAAATTGTATGAAATTTAATTTCATATATGAAAATTTGTTAATCCATCCTTTGTAATTCTGTAAAAAAAAATTGATTTTTCGAGTTAGGGGAATTGATATCTTTTTTTAATGAATTGGAAAAGCAATGGCGTCTTTTGCTGATGTGGCTGCTGGTGCTATGAACCGTTTTCGTTTTATTTCCAGCCATTGCGTGGCAACTGGAAACTTGTGTATGTGTGAGAGACGCCACGTAAATGGTTTTCATAAAATTTACCCTCGTGTTAGTAAGCGACGCAAGAATGAAAGTTCCAATCGTTCCCTCTAGTCTACTGAGTCGCTATCTGTTGGATATATCATGAGCAAATATTTAAAATAAACTGTCGATCCAGAGGTGGCGCCGTTAAACAAGATTTTGAAAAAAATTTAAATTTTGGTTTTTAAAAATCAAATTGCTCTTTTTAAAATTATTATCACTCTCAAGTATTCTTTGTTCCATTTATCTAGAAATTAAATCAGAATAACTATTTTGAATTAATTTAAGATTAAATTATTAACTAACTAATTGTTTAGTTGTGATTATTTAATTTTTTATTTTTATTTCAGTGCACAGACTTTGTAAAGGCAGGAGCTGAACAAGGATTAACTCCTTCGGATGTGGTTTCAGCGGCGGATATCACTTTCTCATGTGTGGCAGATCCTCAAGCAGCAAAAGAAGTACGTTAATATTAGAATTTTTACAAAAATGTATAAATATTGAGATGAAAATTTTATTTAAAAAAAAAATTGTAATTTTCAGATGGTATTCGGCAATTGTGGTGTTTTGTCCGAGATGGTGCCAGAGAAAGGTTACGTAGAAATGACGGGAATTGATGCTGAGACATCAAAAGATATTGCTGAAGCAATAAATACAAAAGGCGGACGATATCTTGAGGCACAGGTACAAGGTAGCAAAACTCAGGCACAAGAAGGAACACTTGTGATTCTTGCAGCTGGCGATAGATCGCTTTTTGACGAATGTCAAAGCTGTTTCGAAGCAATGGGGAAAAACAGTTTTTATCTTGGTGAAGTGGGCAATGCATCTAAAATGAATCTTGTTCTTCAACTCATGGCCGGAGTAACTTTGGCAGGTTTAGCAGAAAGTATGGCGCTCGCCGATCGTGCTGGTCTTCAACAGAAGGATGTTCTTGAACTTCTTGAACTCACATCACTGGCATGTCCAGCTATTCTCGAAAAGGGAAAAGGTATGCAATTTATTCTTTTTTTTTTTAAAGAAAAAATCCCCCTCTCCCAAAAAAGAAACCAAATATGAAATATTTTTTTAAGGCGAAATATTAAGTAAAGAAAAAAATGTTTTTTTTAGCAATAATCGAAGGCGGATTTCCAACGCAATTGCCGCTTCAGCATATGCAGAAAGATTTGAGATTATCGTTGGGAATGAGCGATCAACTTGAGCAGCCATTGCCATTGGCGGCTGCAGCAAACGAGGTCTACAAACATGCAAAACGTCTCGGTTATGGTGAACATGATGCATCAGCGGTGTACATTAGAGCCAGGTTCTAAAAGTGATCTTGAATTTTTATCTGGCTAAGTTTTTCTGATGAACCAATATATTTATTGCAATACCTAAATTCGTCAACGTATGAAATAAATTTTTAACACCTCGTTCTCACTGATGTGGAAATAAAAAAAAAAATGAGGCGTAACTTGACGAATAATAAGATCTATATATGCGTGTGTGCGTGCGAATTTGTAAAAAAAGAAAATTTAAACCAATTAACAATATAAAGGCTACGTTTGCATACCCAGGTATTTCGCTCGATCTTGGGGATTTTTCTACTTCCTCAAATCGTGTATACAATGTGACAATAAAATCAGGCAATGAAAATAATTTTTTTTTGACATTTATAACAATATGTTTTCATTATTTTTTAATGAAATATAAAAAGACACATTATGTTCACAGTTTATTTTTTTCGTAATGCAAAATAATAATTTATGGGGCATCAAGTTATTGATTGACACATTGTTGTGCAATTTAGAAAATATACGATCGTCATCTTCTAAGAAGATGTAAGTAAATGAATTTTTGAGATTTTGTATGAGGCGATACGAATTTTAAATAATTTTCTCGACATTTTTAATTCATTAAATTCGTCATCAATTTCGTTAATTGAGATTTTATGTGTGATTTTTGTTTGAATTCTGGAAACGATGCATGTAAAGTTAATATCGAAATGACAATTTTTTTTGATCTTATTTTTTTTTTAATTTTGAAAACAATTGTTTTCAATTACAATCGTTTCTAATATATTATATATGTACTTCTCTTTTTCTTTCTCTCTTTTTTTGTGTTAAGAGATTTACGTATTCTTGGAATTATTTTCCACTGTATAAAAATAAAAATGTCTCAATAGAGTTTCTCAGGAATGTAATTTACATTTCCGTCTCTCATGGGAGAAAAAATCGAGAAAATATTGCTGGAAATGCAATACTGTGAGTATGCCTATTATATATTTAAAATAAGATAAAAAATGAAATTATAAATAAATGATAGGATAATTGACACTTGAACGCACGCACGCATGCTTAACTGTCTGTAACTAGATTATACGATATTGTGTCGCTGAAAAAAAAATTACCCGATTTAATGACAATGCTGTACATTGAAAAAAAAATAACAGTGACAAAAACAAAAGAAAATGACATGATTAGTGCGACAAAAAAGTTACAAACTTCAGATAATCTTATTAAATCGTATAAATATAGCTGTAAAACATAAGAGAATGGAAAGAAAATGGGAGAAAGTGAAAGAGAGAAAGATTATACATAATAAAAAAAAGCGTGTATGCGGGTGAGAGCGTTACGTCGGTTGCATCTGCGATACGCGTTATATGTTTTGTCACAAGAAACATTGGTTTTTGAATAAATATCTATTTGAATTAAAAATATCGTTACTGCAACAATTAATCATCAACTCTCCATATTAATTACGAATGCAGATTAAATTATTCTTTCTTTTTTTAATAATAAATATCAGAATCTAAAAAAAAGAATCTGGAATCTAGGAAAAAAATTAAAAATGTTTTCAACATGAACTAATTTAGATTACAGATTATAAAAATTGGCAATTTTTAAATTAAAATTATTAAAAAATCAATCTTTAAAATACAGTTAATTAATTCAAAATTATTAAATTTTCTAATCAATTACAAGTTTTTACTATAAAAAATGTAATTTTATTTTAATGAAGTACAAAAAAAATTATGGAAATAATATTCAAAAATATTCTAGTTTCGCGGGTAAATGAAGGCAGCGACATGCGGCAGCGTTGCCAAATTAACAGAAATAAAAAAGAAAAACATTAAAGTTATTTGCGTTTTTCTGTCAACATTTTTTTTATTTGAATATAAATTATATAAAATCGGAAATAGTTAATTAATTATGGATTTGAAAGGTATGTAATAAACTTTAGGTGCAATTATATATAATAATAATATAAGTCTATATTAGATTTGTAAATTATTTAATCAAACGATAATGAATTTTTAGGTTATGTTTTTGTATATACGTTAAGTATTATTTGAAAATATAAATAAATACCTAAATACCCTTACAATAATTTAATTAATTATACGTTATTTTTTTCAGTATAAATTCATTTTCGAACAATAGAAAATCAGCTCCGTTTTAATTAGAAAAAATTTGTTTTAAAAATGAATGGCTCATCGGATAAACCCTTTGATACACGAGCTGTGAGGGTAAGTATTGTTTATAAAATATAGAATTTATATTGTTTAATTGTAATTTGTAATGTGTTTATTATAGAAAAGCACTAGAGGTGTAAAGCAAAAAGGTGTCGATAGTGTTACAAAAAAATTTCTTCGTAATTTTGATCCAGAGACAAGTGAAAGAGAAAAACGTAAATTAAATCGACGACTCTCTCAGCCGCAGAAGAAGAATGTTTTATATGATGAAAAAGGAATTTTACATGCAACTGGTGATAATCTTTGTGATTGTTTAAATAAAAATTGTCTGGGCTGTCATTTTCCATGTCCTAAATGTAGTTCTATTAAATGCGGTCACGAATGCAGGTATGATTAAAATTTTTCATACATTTCTAATTCTGTTTTCATTAAATCAAAAATTGTATTTTTGCAGAAATAATAGAAAATGGACTTACGATGCAATTGAAAATGAAGGCAGTGATAACCTCATAAGAAATCCTGTCGTAAAAGAATCCTAGCGTTAAGCTTTACTTAAATAAAATTCAAAAACAGTAAGGCCAATGATGAATACATGCTTTTTTGTGAAGTGAATTGTGAGACTGCTCTTAGTGATAAAAGTCCTTTTTTTAATAAGGATTTACGGAAATGGATTCATAATAACTGATTTCTCATGGTATTTATACATATATATTTTTTCATCATCCTTATGATAAAATAGAATGTCATTTTAAATTACGATTTTACTATATACAGTGAAATTAAAATCATCCATTTTATTCTGGGGATCCATTATTTTACTCTTACAAGGATCTTTAATTGAATAAATAAATTATAAATATAATTAAATTAAATATACAAAACTCGATTAATTATACATATATTTTTATCGTTGAAAAATTTTGTTTTATCCGATAAAAAAAATATCCTGTGATTTGAAATGAATCCTGTTTTATCAAATATATCAAATGATACGAAATGGATTCTGTCTTCATGGTTAATGGCTTTTGATTGATGATTGTAAATACAATTTAAGGGGAGGAAGAAAATATACTCTTGAGTGTTTTTTTTTTTAATTGAAATATTCAGATCTTATAAATCTGTTTAGCTTACTCATAAAATGTAGATAATAAATGTATTTAGAGATTAATTAAAAAACAATGAAAAAGGGAAACATTTTTGAACTTTAAGACATTTTTTAAATATATTTTTCATTAGTGAATTTTAATTTTTATTATAATTTAAAAGTTTAAAATTGATGTAATTTAGTCTAAGCAGAAAATTTATTTTCGACAAATTGATATTTCGGTGAGTAATTTATATAAGTAAACTGATCGGATGACGATGACGCGTGGGATTTATTTGAGAACTTTGAAAAACGTGGTTGTTGATATCATACGAGAAGTGCGTCTACGGCGGAGGCGTGCATGTGCCACCCTTTCCTAATATTGATTTTTCGCCATGGAACAAGTCCTTTTGGCTTAGTGCGCACCTACCCACTCATACAGTGCAGTGGGTGTGCGCGCCTCGTTTTCACCCGAATTAATCAAAGTTCACGCCGCAAAACTTGCAGCTCCGAGTGTTTCAACTATGTAACGTTCGCGACGTGAGAAGTGAGATATCGCGTGGAAGCGTTTATAATTCATAAACGTACGCACGAAAAAGAGAAAAAAAAGAGAGAGAGAGAGGCTGATCAAAATAAGATAATTTTCTGGTTTTGTGAAGAAAAGAAGAAAAATATCGTTCAAGTGAGAAAAAGAGTCTGAGTCCTTTCAATTTTTTTTGTTCCACTACCTTCTGGATGATAAATCAACGGATATCCTAAGGACATATAGATGGATCGCGCCCACTGTTTTTGGATTGAATCCTTCGTTAGTTCATGAAGGTGGTTATTAAGTAAAAGTTCATATTATTAGTTTTTATTTTGATAAATGATTCTTAATTTAATAATAATATTTCTTTAATAAGAAATTGATAAAAAAAAAAAATTCGATTTACTAAATCGAAAGCAAAGTTTATTTTTTAGTTTAATGTTGAATTTAATTTTAGGAGCGACTGACGTCAACTTGGAGGAGATTTTGAGAGTAGAATTCGAATTTTAAAAGGGAAATCAGGTGCCCGTTTTTAACGGGCCAGCTTTTACAATTGCGGCAGCAGATGTCAGGATGCCGGAACAGAGTAACGACTACCGGGTCGTTGTCTTTGGTGCTGGAGGTGTTGGAAAGAGTTCTTTGGTTTTACGCTTCGTGAAAGGAACTTTTCGGGAATCTTATATACCAACTATTGAGGACACTTATAGACAGGTATGTTGGAATAAATATTTAACAAATAATTCTCATACCTCAATAACAATGTTCTTAACTGGGAGTTCCAGTTAACAACTTTGTTTTACATTCTTTTTTTTATCACAGTCTCATACATTATTTTCACAAAGCTTTTTGCTTTTCCTTGATAAACTTATTTAGTTGGAATTTATTTATAGAAATTTATAAATATTGTTCTATTACTTTGAAATGTGAGAGTCGGTTCTAATTTGTTGGAAATTTTTTTGATTATAATTAATTGATTTGAAAATTATTAGTTTTTAACGTTGATTTATCTAAAATCTCGATTCGTTGAAATTAATTTATTCGGTATTTGTTAGGAAAAATTAATTTATTTGTTTTAACCAATTAATTTCGCACTTATCAGTTGAAAGTTATTTCATTTGAAATTAATTTATCTCCGGTAAATCTTGTTTAAGTAATTTTAGCTAGTTTTGGAAGTTTTAGTTTTCTCTTTTGTGATCTCATAACAGCTTTGACATTTCCCAACTTGAAACAACAGGAGAGTCATAAACGGAGATTTAATCGTTTATCTGGTTCATTGTGTCACATATCTGTGTCGTTGTCTTTGAATATACATATATGTATCTTTTTTTCACCGATTTTTGAATTTAAATTTTTCTATTTTTAAAAACAATATTTGGGAAGAATTATTGTTTAAAAAAAATTTATTATTAAAAGAATACTTTTTGTCTTTTTTATACAAAATGTAGCTAAAAATTTATTTCATACAAACTAGCTTTTTCACTTTTCCATAAAATTGTCTCTTTGCTCATTGACTCATTTTATACTTGCTTCTTTAAGTTAATTATTAATGTTGTAAAGGATGTAATATTAAGTTTTATCATCAAAAGCAGAATTATGTATGGATAGGAAGATCCTATTCGTGTTTCCATAGAAAATACTGTGAGTGAACTTGGCGTGTTAATTTCATAACTCACACTAAAATGCAATTTTGTCATCGTCTCATAAATTCGTTGACTTTAACTAAATTATAAAGCAATTAAAAAAAAATTCTATCCACATTTATTAATTAAAATTATTTTTCAATTTATTTATAATTTATCGTAATTATCATTTATTCTGATAAAAATAATTTTTTTAAATTCTATTTTACTTTTTTTGAAAGGAACTTAAATAAAATAGATTTTATTCATCTATGCGTTTTCAAAACAATGTTGAGAAATATGTTTTTGGTGTTTTTTTTGTATCTTTCTTTCTCTCTTTTATGATCGTTCACTCACATCAGAAAACATGCAAACAAGTCGGAGAACACTCTCTTGGTTTCCTTTATTCATTAGTGTAATTGTGGAATGAAGTTCAAGAGTTAGTCTGCAATCCCCTTCTGTAATTTCAATTTTCACGAAAGATTTCTCTTTTCCTGAGAAGAGAAATTTTCAATGAAATAAGTTTGAATGTAATTAAATTTGCTAACAATTTCTTTTATTTAAAAAAAAAATGTAAATAAATTTTTTCTTTCACTATTTAAAAAAATATTTATTCTACTCATAAATTTTTTTTTGCATTAATAAGATTTCTTTTTCATGAAAAAGACATTAGTTTTACATAAAGCTTAAATAATATAGAAACATTTTTATCTGTAATTTGGACGAAATAGATTCACCCTATTTAGGAAAGATTCTTGTGGTTTAGGATTCAGGAAGTGAGATTGCGAGGGATTGATCGCAGCAGCTAATAAAGATGGATATCGTTAAAATCCAGTCTTCACTTTTATTTTCTGTGAAGAGTTTTATTGTCGATAGAATATCTGATTTTTATTATTGGATAAAAAAAAGAATTTTTATTTAAAAATCAAGATGCATTTTAAAGTAGAATTTAAAATAATTATAGGAATTTTGTTTTTTATAATTAAATTGTAATTAATTTTAATTAAAAATAATCGAACAAAAATAAATAGAGTTTAATTTAAATTAAACTCGTTTAGAAAAAAATAAAGTTCACCTTGTAGAGTTGCTAAATTAGGAAAACTTGAACTTCTAAAAGGAGCTGAAGATTCTTTTTTATTAAAAGCTAGTAACATAAACTTGCAATAATCAATCAATAGAAATTATTTATAGACCGGGAGAATTCTTTCGAGTGTAATTAAAAATAAATAATTGTCTGATTTGCACTATCTGCTTTTTTCCAATGATGTTGTTTTTAATCTCAATTTCCAAATATTTTTTTAATTCATTTTATTTTTAATATCAATTTTTTTTTTATTAATTACTCAATTTTTAATTAAATTATTTACAAATAAATGTGAAACTTTTCAGAAAGATCAAAATTATTTTAATTAAGTGATTATAAAATCAGAATTTATAAATGTGTGTGAATGTATGTGAAATATATAGTTGACCCAAGTAAATCTTTCTCTAAGTGCAATATGAGGTTTTTGGTCATGAATAATTCATTGAACGATAAACCTCCTTAAAGTTAAAGAGAGCTAAAGTGGCAGAATGTCACATGCCTAGCATCTATTGCAGAAACGGGGTGAGAGAAAGAAAAAAAAAGAAGAAAAAAAAAAAAAAAAAAAAAGAAGGGAACTTGTGAGATCTACTGCTGTGTTCGTGATGCGAAGTGTGCCATTTGATAAAAAAAATATTTTTCACGAGAACAAAAATGAAAAAAAATATATATATTGAAAAATGCGGCATGATTTTTAGGTGATTAGCTGCAACAAAAATATTTGCACACTTCAAATTACGGACACAACGGGGTCTCATCAGTTTCCTGCGATGCAAAGACTTTCCATAAGCAAAGGACATGCCTTCATTCTGGTGTATTCCGTTTGCTCCCGGCAAAGCCTTGAGGAACTTCGACCAATTTGGGCCGTTATTCGAGAGCTCAAAGGACAAGATATTTCACAGATACCAATAATGTTGGTGAGAATTCGCAAAAAAATGTATATATATAGTTAATAAAAGTGTGAAAAAAATGAATTTTTATGTAATATCACAATTATTATTGTAATTAATGAAATTTTATTATTTTTTTCCTCAACACAGGTGGGAAACAAGTGTGACGAGAGCCCTTCTGTCAGGGAGGTTTCGTTAAGCGAAGGAGCAGCGGAGGCAGCAAATTGGGGCTGTGGTTTTTTGGAGACATCTGCAAAAACGAATCATAACGTAAATACTCTTTTCCGGGATTTATTAACACTTGAGAAAAATCGATCAGTCTCGTTGCAACCGGTACAAAGCAGTAACGCAATAAGCTTTAAGGAAAAGTGTGTCGTTATGTAATAAATTCTACACACACACATATATTATTATCCAAAAATTTGATATATGAAAAAAAATTTCCCTTTTATCTAAATTATTCGATTAATCCAATTATATTAGTCATTAAAAAGAAATAAATGCGCACGTCATGAAAAAAATTTGGAAAAAAACGATTAAAAATTCTGTCAAAAATTGAAACATTTTTTGATAAATCAAAACGGCGTGAAAATTGATAAATTAAAAAAAAGAAATTGGATAAAAATTTAAAAAGTTCAACAAAAAAAGGGATAATTTGAAAATTGAAAAAATCTAAACAGCTATTGATAAATTCAAAACAATTGAAAAATATAAATAATAATTATCATAATTTGTAATTAATATTACAATAGTTATTTCATTTTCTAATTTTTTATTCGTAATCAAGTAGTGATTTTTCTAGTCTGATTGAAATGAAAAAAAAACTCGTCGATCGATTGACGTGAGTTCTGAGCCCGCCGACAATTTCGGGTAAATTATCCTTAAGATAGAAAAAAGGGGGCCGTTACATTTTGTAAATTATGAATTTATGGTATATAATATTTAATTGCAGAGGAAAGAGTGAAAAAAAAATTAAGATAGAATTATTTAACACAGATGGTCGTGATCTAGTTTTGGAAAAGGACTCTTTCCTATTTCATGAAAATTTTAAATAGACCAGAAAAATTTTCCCCCAATTTAGAAAATAAGAATAGTTGACACGAAAGAGATAGTTGCTCGATTACAAAAAAAAAAAAAACAAAAAAAAACAAAAAAAAATAGAAACAAAAATGTTATTTGTAATTGGCCAATAATCTTGTTCTTGTTATTAATTACTGCTTATTATTCAAAATACATCGTCGAGTTATACTCCATGAAGGTGTTAAAAAAAAAGTTCAGTTAAAACCACATTGGAGTCTCGATGAATCAGGCAATCTCCTAATAATATACAGAATGGATCAATTTTCGTCGTTCGCTCACTTAAAAAAACTAAACATTTCTCGTAATATAAATACTTTTTTTGAGAATAATTTTTTTGGACCTAATATTTTCATTTTAAAGTTAAATTCCTTTTTATTATTGATTTGAAAATTGAACAATTCATGGTTAATATAAAAAATATATCAAGATAATTAAGCTTAAATAGATATGCAGTGCATAGAATATTAAATATTTATAAAATATATGTAAAAGTAAAGAAGAAAAAGAAATTTTTTCTGCAAAAGATTTTAATTTGGAATTTCGCTTCTACAAAGTCTATTTACACATAATATAAAAAGAAATAAATTTCCAATTTTTCAAATGAACCAAAGTTCGATATTTGCATGTGAATTTTAAATATGAAAATAATGTGACATATTATTTATACATACACAGGCACAGTAAATAAATAAATGATTATTGTTAATGAAAATACAATTTTCAAAATGTAGATTATAAGATTTAAAAGTCATTTGGCTAACAACGAAACAAATTTCTCTCTTCTCATTTTCATTTCAATAATCTCACTATAAAAATTGTATTTAATCAAGAATTTTTATTAAGAAAATTTAATTGATAATTATTAATCATTCAATCTTATTGATTAAGAATCGTAACATTCTCGGCAATAAATATAATAGACTACAATATTTATTAAAAATCCTAAGGGGTTTAGAATTCAATAATATGTAATTATATTCAAGGTTGTGAAATTATGTGCAGAATTGACCATGTCGAAAAATACATTTATAAGTGTAAAAAAAATAGTTTATATTCAGACTATTTATTTTAATTTTATTTTAGATGTTAATTAAAATTACTTAATCTTGAGTTGAAGACTATCTGCTTATTGAAATGTGCAGATGATTACTTAAAATTTTTTTTTAAAATATATTGAAAGACTGAACTTAAAATATTTTTACTAACTAGGGAACAAATCCAGAGTTTCAAAACTTATGGATATTTTCAATAAAGTCTGGTATGTTGTAATTATGATTATAAATATATATAATTTTATTGTCTAATAAAAATAGAACAAGAAACATCAGTAAAAAAATATTTAGTAAAGAATAATAATAATTTCGATAATTATCAAGACAATTACCTGAAATTTTGATTTTTAAAATGTAGGTAATAAACTTTCATATAAAGAAACTTCTTGATTAAAAGCAATTTTCAAGTGAAAAATTAAAAAAAAATTATATTTTAATTATCCAGATGACCTTAAATATAATTTCTAAATAAATCTGCAACCCTTCAGAAAATGAATTACTCATTGTTAGTTTATGTTTAGGTCAGTAGGTAGAAGAACCCTTCTTCTCTACATTTAACTGAAGGTCTTTGCAAAATTATTATAATATTCGAAGGAAAGTGCAAAATGCAGTGAAGCGAACGACGAATCAGTGCATGTAAAAGAGCATATGCAAATATGTGGAAATAATGAGTAAACAAAAAAAAAAATGAAAATAATGAAGAGAAAGAAATGAAAGAAAAATGTACGAACTGTTAATATGAGATTGATTTTTGTTGAATAGTTTTAAGATTTTTGTAAAACGATGCTATTTAGAGTTTTAATAATATCGTCGCGATCAGGATAAATGTGTTGTAGTCCAACGTACCGATGGGGCAATCCTTATTAAAAAAAAAATTTGCAAAAATATGTACTTAAATGTATAACGAGTCTCACAAATTCGCAAAAAAATATTTAAAATTAAAAAAAAAGTAGTGGACGTTTTAGAAATACTGTGCGAAGGGATTTTATAGCGTCAACGTCCAAAAAAAGAATTTTTAATCTCATTCTTAAGTAGCCCGTAGTTGTAAAATTGTAGCATTTGTCATTTTACAAAAGAAAAAAAAGAAAACGATCTCTTTGACCTCTTGCAATCTTCTTTTTTTGAGTTTATAAAAATCATTTTTTAACGAATAATAATAATAATTAATATTCTAGAAATTAATAGTGTCGATAAATGAGCGACGGTTTTGGCCTAAGTTAAAAAAATACCGAATTCCAAAGTGAGAATACTACTTTGAGGTGTCTGAGACTGAATTTAAAAATTAAACAAAAAAAAAGTTAATAGAAAATAAATTAAGAATAATTAATTAAGAATATTCTTCTAATCGGTTTCACTATATTTAACAACGATAAAAAACAAAATTCAAGCAATTTTACGAATTATCGTCTTTCACTAAATGCTTATAAATGAACAACGAATTAATTTATTGATTATTCTGATGACAGACGCATTTACAGATAAGAATAATTATTTAATCAAAATTGTAAATTAAAATCATTGTTCTTTAATTAAGCTTCCATTTCTCATTGATAAGAAATATACAAAAATTTACTTAAGCTTGAGAATATTATATATGTATTTTAAGACATTTTTGTAATGAATTAAGTATAAAATTTTAATTAACATTGTGACAGAAAAATTTAATTTTTCTAAAATGTTAGGTAGAATTCAAAAATATTTATATTAAGGAATTTTATTTTTTATTTTTCAAAAAATGAAAAATTTTCTTTTAATAAAAAACAAAAAAAATCGTTTGCTAAATGAAACTAATTTATGGGAAGATTTGTAAAGAGGTTGAAGATGAATCCAACGATGATTTAATGAAAAAAATGCGTTGTTTGAAAAAAAAATTGTCACACATTTGGAAAATAGGTACCATTCCAAATGTACACTTTTTTCAATTTCAAAGAAAGCATATTGTTAATAATTATACAGAAAATTTCCCAATTATTGACGAAATAGACGTCAATTTTTCAGTTTAGCGTAAATTTTTAGTATCTCTTTTTGTGACAAAAAGAAGAAAAGCGCTTTTATTTTAACTAAAACGAGATCATGAAAAAAGAAAAGTAACCCATATGGATTCTCATGAATATTTTCAAAGTTTATGCAAAAAGAAAAAAATCATTTTTGCGGATTATACACATTGAATTTATCTCAAAGATGTATTATACAAACAAACAAACAAATTAACATTATATATTATTATAAAAAAAATTATTTATCAAAGGAAAAAAATGACGATCTATTATGTAAAATGAAGACTTTTATCTGGAAAAAAATCGGAGCACTCGTTCCTCTTAACTTAAGTACCTGTTTTTTGATTATATAGTATATACAATATATACATTATACATGTATTGAGAATTCTTATAGTTTGTACTTTTAACTTTATAGTCTAAGTGCGGAGGCGTTTCCCATGGGATTCTAGAGGGTTACCTGAAACTGGAACGTGTCTTCCCGTGAGACACTATGAAAGAAATAAACTGCACACTATAACTGGGTCGATAAATGTATTGGAGCTGTGTTCTTCTTTCAATTGAAATGCAATTGATAAAAAAATATTTTCCACTTCTATTTTTTTTTTATTGATAAAATAATTTTATCAATCAATTTTAATCCTACATTGAAAAACAATTTTTTGACAATTTCAAAATTATTATTGTGTTTTAAAAGTTAAATAAATAAATTTCATTTTATTTTGATAGAAAAAACAAGGTTTGAATAGACAACACAGCTTTAAATCATTTTCATTGCCAAACTTTGCCTAGTGAAAATAGTTATGATATTTATAATATTTAACTGTTACTTAAAAAATACAAAAAGTTGCATTATTCGACATTTTTGCTTGATAAAAAAAAATAATCAAACACACAAAGACACAATGGAATTTGTTATATTTGAACAAATTCTACGTTTTGTTATGCAGCTTACAAGTTTGCATTAAAAGAGAAATTTTTCTTACAAAGCAATGAAAAAAAATATTCTTTCTGAATTTTATAATAATTACTGAATTACATTAATTAAACATTAATTATCAATGAATTTTTAATATTATAATAGTTACTGTAACAATGTTTACTGAGAGAAAAAAACAATTGAATTTCTATCGAGTAATACATATCTTCATCGCATCGAACAAGCCAAATCGCAAAAAAAAAAAAAAATTAAAAAAATTCTAGGATCGACAAAAAAAAGCGAAAAAGTTGTACAGTTAGAAAAGATGAAAGGAAAGGTAATCTTTCGATTTTTGGGGCCAATCGGTGATAAGGAAATGAATCATGGTATTGTGTATTAAAGAACCCAAAAAAAAAAAAAATAATAAAACAGAAACAAATTGAGATTAGTCGAAAAGTAGCTCGTTTCTTCACCGATTCCCTTCAGAATCGTGGTCGATAACGATTCTTCTTTCTGCCGCATTACTCTTGTCATTTTACACGAATAACAAGAAATTTCAATTTTTCTGCCGACAAATTATGAAAATTCCTGGCGGAAGGTGCTTTAAAAGTTAATTAATAAAATGGAAAGTTCAGCCATACAAGCAATGATTGTTTTAAATTTATAATATAAGTTTGTAAGTTTCTCAACGAGCCAACTAATTATTACTGTGAGCACAATAATCGTATGCACAAAAAAAATCGTTGCGTGATTATACGTTTATTATATAAAATATATACATATAATATTAATTGTCCTTTTAATAAGCCAAGTTTGACTATCGCTTGATAATAAATTTCGATTTTTAAATTTCATAAATTTTACTCAAACGATATACATTTTTCGTATATATTATATTGTCAGGAAATTAAAAAAAGCAAAAAAAAAAAAATTAAAGAAATTCGTCAAGAAAATTTCTCTCATTCCCTGGGATATTTTTTATATTTATTTTTAAAAATTATTTAAAAATATATTTTATATTTTAAATATCCCTGGAAAGTAAAAAATTACTCATTTTAAAAGTAATTTACATAATTTTGTATGTTTTGACGAATTTAATTTTTCTCGATAAAAAAAAGGAACAAGTGCAAGACATTCATTTTATCAGAAATTATTTTAACTGATGCATTTATATTTATAATAATAAATTATTTTAATCGCTTATATTTACATTTTATATTATTAATAAAAAAAATTTTTTAATCTATGCCAAATGAAAAATCATTTATCTGCTGAATAATTAAAAAAAAATACTTGACGAAAATTATAGTGAAGTTTTTCTATACTGTTAAAAATTTCTGTATTCAAAACATGAAATATGAAAAAATCTATATTGATAATTATAATATTATATCAATTTATATATAAATATATATATCTCTACACAAACGTTGCAATAGAAATATTTTTTAATATTACAAAAAATATAGTTTAACATAGTAGAATTGTTGACTTAGTGAGATGATGAATTTGCATATCACATGAATGCAGAAATTTTTAATAAGTATCAGCGCAGAATTAAATAAATATAAAATGCTATCAACGAATATATTTAATGTAACGGATTGAAGTTTTCAAAGTCGTACATCATAATTCTAAAAAAGAAAAAAAATAACGACGAAAAATAAGCGAGTTGGTTAAACTAATTTTTCGTATTCTATTAATATCAATTCTTTTTCTATTTTTTTTAAATAAAAAAAAAAACGTTTTTTTCTTTTACTGTAAAATACGATGAATTTATTAATATTAGAGAGAATGTTTTTTGTAACTTCAAAAATAAAGGAAAAAGAAATTAGTGTTTCTTGAAATGCAGGGCAATTGTTCTAATAATTGACATTTGTACCTATAATAATTGGCACTCTATTTGATTTTTCATTAATAAACGAAAAGAAAAACGTATAAAAAATGAGTATTTTTTAATATCCCTTTAATATTCTCCATTTAACAAAAAAAAACTATTTTACCTCAATTGTAATTTTCTTTTTTAATAACGTGATTAATTTTGAGAAATTTATGAATTTAATTTTTAAAAATGTTATGTTATTTGTATGTTTTATGTAAAATGTTTTTTATAAAATAACAAAAAGTTTAAAGAGAATTTACTTCTTTTTATTTGTGTGTGCTACTTGTATATTTGTTTAAACTAAACCAATGCTGTGAACATCGAGGCGGAGAAGGTAAACAAAGTAGAACCAATCCAAGCGTAAGGGTGGTCCAGTGAAGATTTCTTCTCAATAGAGATAAAGTGTGGTTACTAGGGGAGCAACCAATTGAAACTTGACAATCTATAACCGAATTCTGAAGAAATTTTTGGGATTCACGATGAGAGTTTTATCTTCAGTCAGTGTTCAACTATCAAACATTTAGGAAACTTAATCTAACATTAAATTTCAAGTGAATATGAAAATTTTTTGAAAATAAGGAAAAAAACAAGTTAAAAATTTCCTATCCTAATTGAAAAAAAAAAAATGTACTAATTTTTTCTCATTTATTCTTCTCAAACTTTAAAGAAAAAATTTCTTTGACTATTTTTCTAAAATCATTTCTTCAATTAACAACAAACTGGAAAAAATTAAAATTATGAAGTATTTAATATTATTAAAATACAAAAATATTTGAAAGTGAAAAATTAAAGTTTTCAATCTTGAAGAACATAAACTGAAGATAAAACAATGCTTCGTGGGAAATCAAAGAAATTAGAAGAAAATGACGATTCTAATGTTAAACAAAGAAAACCTAAATGTGCAAGATGCAGAAATCATGGACTGATATCTTGGTTGAGAGGTCACAAAAGAGAATGTCGTTATCGCGATTGTTTTTGTGTAAAATGTTCACTAATTGCTGAACGTCAACGAGTTATGGCTGCACAGGTGAGAAACGTGACCTACTTTTTTTTAAATTTAAATAAATTTAATAATTAAAATATTTAAATATATATTTTTGTAGGTACTTAATTAATTAAATACTGCAATTACTTTTTGTAAAGATAATACTAGCAAATTTATTTTTTTTTTTCAAATAAAAAATTGCACTTACATGAAAATTTTGTGAAAAATCATTTTTGTTAATGTAACAAACACAGTTTACTCATCACAATCGTTTTTCTTGTCTGGTATCATTAAAGGCAAAATCCATTAAGCTTCGGTATAGTATTTCATTTCTGTTTGCATAGGCATTAGAGTCACTCGATCCTACGTCTATAACACTTCATCCCACAAAATCTCAAACTGTTTCTGATTATATATGTATATCCAGTGAATATTCGCACTTTGGTAATTTTAGTCAAATGCTAAGTGATTCCTGAAAGCAATATATTTAAATTCATATATAAAATAATTGATAAAACAATTATTAATTTATTACAAAACTTGCAAAAGATTTATTTTTTCTAATTTCTGTTTTATTTAATCTAATATTTGTTTCTTACTTTTTTTTAGGTCGCTTTGAAACGACAACAGGCTGCCGAAGATGCAATAGCTCTTTGTATGGCAAAAGTGACGACAGGACAAAAAATTAATCGCCTACCACCAGGAAAAATATTTGGAATGACAGTAACAGATCCTGATACGAATAAAAATAATAAAGAGGGAAATCCCGTCACTTTGGATACAAGTACAAATAATCCGCCCGAAGATTCCAACGATTGCATTGAAAAGGAAGAACACAATATTTTTGAGCTGAAAAATCAAGTAAACTGAACAATTTTCATTTCTAATAATCTTAAATATTTAATTTAATTGAAAATTCATTAAACTTGAAATAAATAAAATAGAATTTTACAATGATTATATATACCTGTGCATAGGAGAAAAATGAAGAAACCAAATCTGAACATGAAGGTAGTGGCATCAGTTTGTTCCCGAAAATAAAAGAGAAATTAATTAAGAAAACAGATTGCGCTGTATCGCAAACATCAATGGAAACTCTTGTTCGACTATTTCCAAATACAAAACTTTCTGTACTTCAATTGGTATTGCAAAGATGTGGTCAGGATCTCCTCAAAGCAATTGAATATTTTTCTTGTACCGAAAAATCCTCAACCATTGATTCCCATTGTCCGGGAATATCCGCTTTTCATCCACCAAAAATCGATCAACTCCCAGAAGTCCTTAATCAAGATTTAAAAAATTCATCCAAGGTTTGTAGAAATATTTTATTGTTTGTTTTCTATTTTCAATTATCAATTAATTAATTTTCTAAATTTATTTTCTTTAAACAGACATTCACTTTGCCTCCACTGCATCCAACAAATCATTTAGGCGAAAGTTATTGCCTTTTAAATGTAATATCTGAACCAGTTGCTAAAAATTTTGAAAACACCAACTTTTGTGGAAATAATTTCTCTTTTGGTAAATCAGGAACTTCGAGAATTGATCGTGAGAGTTCAATTGCATTGAATTTGCAGTACAATCATTATTTTGACTCGGGACTTCAATATAATCATCAATTACGTGAACATCATCAGTTTACAGATTTTTCTCAAAGGCCAAGTATACTGCATCTTCCACCTTTTATTCCAAATATTCCTTGCGTTCAGCCAAATTGTTTACTTTGCTACAAGTTTGCATAAAATATTTCCAAAAAAAAAATTCTTTCTGAAAAAAATAATTACATTTCTATTATTAAAATATATATATTATATAATGACATTTAATAATGATAAAAGAAGAAATTTCTCAATCTCACCTTTTTAGAATGAAAAAATACTCTTTTAAATTAAATTAAAAATTATTTAACTATTTATATATTAAAACAGCATTAACATAGTGAAATATTCGATTTTATTAATCACTATGTTGCGAATATTTATACATAATATTATCATTAGTTTCTAATTATAGGGTATCGAGCATTAAATATACATTACATGTATTTTCTTTATATGTAATTTGATATTTCCCTAGAATATAATACGTTATTTATAATTGGAATTAAGAATATATTCATTTTGCGCATTTACTGCGAAAAATTTTCCACTTTTTTAAATTAAAATTCTAATGTTTTATACAAAACAAAAAAGAAATTGCTTTTTATGAACACAAAATTTCAATTTTTCTTCAAAATTGAATATTATTGCATGAATAATTTAAAATAAATATTTAATTTTAGATATATAAATAAAAAGTGTCTTTTTCATTTAGATAGAATGTTGTTAATTAATTTTCTAATAAAAAGCAAAATGAAACGATGTCCTCCCCCCCGTATATAAGAGAAAATAGAATAATTAATAATAACGATAATTTTGATGGTGTTACACTTCACATATAATATCGTTTTATGAAGCAGAAAAAACACATATTTTTATTACTTGTGAAATAGAGAGGAAGTTAATTGAATCAAGGAAGATCCGATTCGTCGTGTAAATAATCTCGGCACATGCCTTGAGGCGAGAAAAATCCAAAGGGGGTTTAGTTTTGATTTACTTTTCGCTAAAGAAAATACTAAAAGTCCCACGGGACGATTGCGCATTCCATGACTATCGTCGTTGTATTGTGACTTGAATTTCTAACCACACAGGAAACTAAACACCATTCAAAGATTCTTTTTTATTAACTTTTTTTTATATTTATCTCTGACAATTTTTTATTTTCAACTTCCTTTTACTTTGAATTTTAAAGAATAAAAAAAAACTATAATTAAACTTTAATACTTATTTGAAAAAAATATGTAAAAACAATATACATATAGTTAACTTTAAAAATATTCCTGATTGAAATGAAAATCAATAAATAGACTTTCGATTGTTACCAATAACACTTTAATTCTTAGATAAATGTATTTTTAATTTTTTTTTTCACTTACGATTAGTAAATTATTTTACAAAAACAAAATGTGAATACATTCTGGGCAGACAACTTGATTGGAAAGGACACTGAGATTCAAATTAACTGCCAAATTTTCATTGCGACTGATACATTATTTTTTTCGTCTTTTAAAACCAGGAAAGAGGTTTATTTTTACTCCAAAAACGCTAAAGGTAGTATTTTTGCTGTAAATAAATTTTGCTCTGCACACGTGTCAAAATTAATGCAACTCGTGCTCTATATCTCTGGTATATTATTAAGCTTTCTCTCTGGTCATCTTGATGGAAAAAAGATTTTCAGAAACGAAGGTGAGGTTTGTTCTTTATCATGTGTCTAAAAGAAAAGAACAAATATAATTTTATTATAAATTAATTATCGGAGCATTTTCGAATACTGATGGAAATTGAAAATAAAGAAATTTCATTTACTTGTCTAAATGTTCCCAGAAGACCATGAGAGCCGCCCTGTCTAAATGCCGCTTTGTTCGACTCAATTCAATTACTGTTACTGCCCACCTCCCTACGTTTGCGTCCAGTCTCATTTCGTCATATTTGATATGAAATGCACAAACTGAAAAAAATAAACGAAGAAATTAAAAAAATACAGTTTTTGTAAAATAAAAACTGATTTAAATCCTAAGTATAAAAAATAAATTTATTAGTTAATAATAGAATATAAAAATACTCACTTTTTGAGAAAATTTCCACGGGATTACCATCAAAAGGCCATCCCTTGAATTGCCAAGCGGGTCCATTGACAAAGACTGCCACAACACGTTCCCAATCAGCGTTATTTAATTTTTGTGGATTATCAACAACACGATATGGAACAGTTAAACCACCTTCTTTTCTACGCTGTAGGAGAATTTCCGTTTCACGCTTACAGCCTTGTGTTCTTTTTTCCTCATTGGTGATGAATTTCAAATCTTGTAAAATATCTTTTGCATTATACATGGTAATAAGAGATGTTGTGGCACTAGGAATAATAATAATTGGCGTTCTACTGGGTCGTTTATTTTGTGCTGCTTGTTGTGGTGTTAATTTAGCAGCCGATGTTGGCAATAAACCTGACGTTGGAGTTGCACTTGGCACAGTTGGTGGTTTTCTAATTGATGGATTTGTACCTTCAGTCACAGACTTTAAGGTCATACCATGATATGTGCCCATAGTGTCAATTTTGAAACCTTCTGTCTCTTCTTTTTGACGAATAAATCTTTCCTGATCGTAACGATTGTATTGCGTTGGTTGTGGCAATGGTCTCATTGGCGTTGATCTTGGTGTTATCATCGGTGTTGGTGCAACAGGTCCTTTTTGTCTGCCCTCCTCACGCGCTTTAATACCCTGTAAAATTGCGAGAATATTTTTTGCAAAAACCTTACCACTACTCTGTAATATTGTTGCTCTTGTACGCCATTGTCGTTCACGTGAAACAATATCCTTTGTATCATCAACATCCATATCCAATATAACTTTCAGATCAGATCCCATACCTATATCGTCATTCTCTTTAATTGTTGTTCTCTTCTTCGCCAAACGTTTTGCTTTAATAGCGGCAATTTTCTCCACTGACATTGCCTCTGACAATGATTTTATATTGTCAACAGTGACTGAAGCTTCTTTTGGTGCATCCAATCTTGCTGCCAGTTGTTCCTTGACTTTTTGCACGTGTGTCTCTTCAAATCGTGGCTTCTTCGATGAACCACTCTCAAGACCATCCTCGGCAGTACGTTTCACCTGTGTGGGAATTTCCAATGGTGCTGATTTATCAATAGCAACCGATGTTGCCGTCTCACCATTGAGATATGCCAAAAGATCTTTTCTGTCGGGTCGACGTACAACGGGAATATTTTCCGCTGCCGCCTGTCGTACATAAACAGGATGAGTAAGTTGAACATGTTTCAATAAGAATAAAAGGCACTCTAGTGTATAATAATCCTTTGGTGTTCCATCTTTACCGGACCTAAAAAAAAGTGTAAGAAGAAAATAATTATCTGTTAATGTACACCGCTATAGCAAAAATACACTCAACATTTAAGGTTATGTTTGCCTTACAAACAGCCTGAAACAAATCTTGCACTATCGTTATTTATTTAAAAACATGTTTTCTAATATTCCTCTTATAACGATTATAATATTAATAAATAATTAAATAGCTCATCAATTAACTATGAACAACTAATTTTTGAGAAAAAATTATTGAACCCGCCTGTCATGCATGTAACCACCAATGTTTTGCAAATCATATAATTAAATCCAAATGTTTAATTTACAAAAAATAATTATAACTTACTAGTTATGTAAAAATTACTAGAACAATTTGAATTTTCTGAATATATATTATCACTAATTTGATAATTATATGCGAAAAAAATAAATGTGAAAATGTTTGGAGGTTGACATGAACCACCCAGATTGAAGGTGACATTTAGAAATAAAAAGCAATAGATAAAAGCTGACTTACCCGTAGGTCAAGTAATTTGTTTTTACATTTTTCGGCCATGAAAATTCACCGAAAATAATTTGATTTTCACGTTCAATAATTTCTTTTTTGTTGACATTGTATTGTCGCAACAAACTCAACGGGTCCGCCATGATGCACTAAAATGAAACAGTACAGTGCTGCCAACTGGTGACTGGTGATTTTTGTGCACATTCAAAACTATCAGTTCTACCACAACTCAAAATCAAAGTTTCACATATTTAAATCATTTAAAAATAAAACATTGTTAATTAATTAACTATTTAAAAATATTTTATATTAAAACAAACTTTTAGGAATTTAATGAAAAGATAAAAAAAGGAGGAAATAATATTAATGACGGAGAAATATGCTATAAATTAGTTTTTAAACAGATGTCAGTGTTGACATCTTAAAGAAAATTAATTAGTTATAAAAATGTCAAAAAGTAAACAAATAAATGTCAAAATATTAAAATCATTAAAATAATCAGCAAAATTATTGGATATTTAATAATTAAGTATTTTGCGCGTTTTATTTATTGTGCTAAGTAATTTAATTGATATTTTATTTATTTTTGGACTTCAAATAATTTTGAAAAAGTGTTGTTAAATTACATCCTTCATTTAATATTTATTTTTTGCAAAACAAACAAACATAGCCTAACTTTTTACTTTTGACAGTTATATATAAAGAACATTTTATGTTTTACTGTAGAAAAACTTACATTTCCTTTAATTGCTTTTGTTAAATTAAAGATTATTAATATTAATTATTTTTTAATAATTACATATAAACTAATTATGTGGATACTTGTGATATTGACACCTGCTGTAAATTTAATATTCTGAATTGCTAATTATAAATGCAAAATATTATTTATGATGCAATCGTTATCCTTCAGATTAAAAAAAAGCAGAGAAGTTTATATATATATATATCTACTTTTAAATTGAATTTGTCTTATTTTAATTTTCATTCAATATTCATTGTATATTTATTTAGTTATACATAGGTTTTGGTTGAGCGTTGCGTGAAATCATTCAACTCTAGCTTCTATTGTCAAAAAAAAGCTTCCGGTATGCAGAAATACTTCCTTTTTGATGTATGTATTATATTCACATTATATTATGTTGATGATGGGACATCAACAATGCGAACAGGTTAATTCACACCGTCACTTTTTATTCTCCTCGACCCTATTTATATAAAGTTTCCAGCATATTTAATTGTCCATTCAGTTGTTTCTAATTACAAGAGGAAACTGAATCATATATAATAGAAAAAACAAGTATCTCTTTTTATATTTATCTGATACAGTATTTTTTTGTTATTGTTTTTTTTAATCTAGGTAAATAGGAGACTGGTGAATAAAAATTCAAAAACAAAGATTTCTTAAATAATTATTTTAATTTAATCACATATAATTACAATCACATATATTTGTTTTTTTTTGTTTATACCGGTTTTGCTGATTGTGGATGTTAAAAAATGCAAAATCGAGACAATTTTATGGAAATCCAATTTTTTCTGTTTAGTCAAAAATATTGTTTAATTATTTTTCTTTGTTTGCTGATGAAATGATTTTGTAAATATTTATCAATTTTTCTGGAATGTCTTTGGATTGGATCGAATTTTTTTTTAATGATCACAGTGTAGAGAAGGGGAAGTAATTTTTTCTTTTTTTTTATAGTATTTTATGCCTTAGGTGCTGGTACTGGTACTGGTTTGCCGTCTTCTCCTTCGGATGGAGGTGGGATTGATGGAATTTCTGGATATTCAAGTTTTGCACCTGGTTCACAATCGAAGATTGGACAACAATCGGGGAAACTTGCGGTCTTGTTAGTTTTCTCAGAGATCTTGCATTTGGGATTTGGTTTTGGCAATGGTCCACAATCTTCTACCAATTCGAATAAACGACCAGAGTTGTCTTCAGCGTTGATGCAAGTAGAACGTCCACAGAAGGGAGAAAGATCCCATGATTTTGTTGGTTCAATTGTTGCACATTTTGTCGAAGCAAAACACATACCGGGGAAATCTATAAGCAGATAAGTAATTTTATTTTAATTAATTATTATTAAATTAAAAGAAAACTTTTTCTAATTAAAATAAAATTTTATTGATTAGAAATAGATTTTCTTTTATTTTTATTCTTTTTTTACAGATAAAAAATAAATATTCTTCTCGATCAACAAACTTTGAGAGAAAGTGATTTGGGGTTCGGAAATTTTTTTGAAATAATGATTCTAATTCCAAAAGCGCAAATTTATTCGCTAGACAATGTAATAATAGAAACTTCAAGGCGAAACACTTTCTCTGACCAATGCAAGTGATCCCTATTGTGAAATGTGTTTGCACCCCACACAAGAACGAAACTTGTTTGATTGTCGGGAGACAGAATGTGATTATAATTAAATAATGACATTATATCTCATGGTCATGTACGTTCAAGCGATTAATTGCAGAATAATTGTCTTTAAAATTGAGTAAAATTGAATTTTTGATTATGAAAAGAAATAATAACTATATTTCTTTTTTTTGAGGATAAAAGCATATTGAGGATTCATTTCATCAGATAAAAAATGGATTCAAAGAAATAAATTTACATGATTGGACTGATTTTATATATTATTACTGACGTGTCCATAAGAAATATGAATTCTATTATTTAAAATCCTTCGGATCTAGAGAAAAATTAGTTTAATCGATAATAGAACCTTCGTCATAATTGCATTATTACGAGGTCATCTTTAAAGGAAATGAGGTAAATATTCATAAAAAAAATAATAATCTAGAAATTATCGTAAACGCATTTATGGCATCTTAAAAAAAAATCGAAACCTTTTTTTTAAAAAAATAATTTTATTGGATAATGATATTTGAATATTAAACAAGTCATCGAGGCAAAAACTTTTTTTTTATTCTTTTATAATGTTTTTTTTTAAAATGAGGAAATTTATCACTTCCTAAAGTATATTATTATTTTTAGTTTTACAAAACGATAACAATAAAAATCATAAATGCGTTAACAGTATTCATATATTGATCAATGCTAAATAGGTGTAAAAAAAAGTTGGCCTAGTCACCAAGGTAACTTGACTTTCCTTTTTTTTAAAGGGGCGTGTCTTTAAAATCTATGAACCTCGAAAAGATCAATTTACTTTCCAAACAGAGAAACAAATAATAATAACTTAATCATTGTTCATTTATCAATAAATCCAGTGAATTTTGCCACATCTTATTCATAATATATAGGATCATTTTCTTGTTTTTCAATTTTTAATGATTCTAATTTTTTTTGAACAATTAGCTATTTGATTAAATTTGTAAACAATAATTAAAGTACAATTTTCAATAAAATAAAATTAAGTTATTTAATATAATATATAAAATTAATAAAATGTTATTTATAAAAAAAATTTGAATTTGAAAAATGTTTTTTTAATATAATTTAATATATTCATTTACTCTTCCTGTCCCTTGTAATTAATGTTAATTTTTAATTTTCCTGGAAATAACTTTTGTTTTATACTTTCAGGCGCAATGATTTAATATCCTTTTCCGGAGATTTGAATGCCTAGGGAAACATGTCGCTGAAGAAATTTACTCTCAGAATTTTATTCAATAAGGTAATTTACATATTATTATTTTAATTAACTTATTAATATTTAATTTATATGATTTATTTGTAATTAAAGTAGAGCTGTGCAAAAGTTCGAATTTTGTATGGGCTCCGATCGAATATTCGATTCGAGCCCATGTTAATTCTTATGGAGCGGTTCGAATTTTAAAAACTTGCACAGCTCTAAATTAAAGTTTTTGTTTTGAATTTTTTAATTAATTTTCAAAAATTAAGTTAAATTAGTGAAATATAAATAATTTTTTCTGACAAAAGTCTGAGTACTTCTTTTCAGAATTCTCGTTTTGGATCTGAATAAAAAATTAAAAAATTTGGCATTATTTCTGATAGAACTTTTTTTTTCTTTTGTTCAACGAACTTGAAATTCGAAACGTGTCTTCGAGTCAAGTGTGCATGGACTAAAAATGTAAATAAAGTCGTTGTACCGCTTTCACTTAAAGATACATCGGATACAGCCAATATATACAATGAACTTCAATTCAAGTAACGGACATAATTTATTAATTTTAATATTTATCTCGCCTACTTCACTTTCTTTCTATTTTAAAAACAATGTCAATAGAAACTAATTTTTAATTACATTAAAATAAAAAATTAATTTCTTTTTTGTCATTCATGAAAAAATTTATTAATTCTCACTTTATTTATCTGCAATGATAATTTAAATGAATATAAGTTTTTTAAAATTTATTTTTCAAATTATTTAATTTATTAATTTTTTGTTTGTTATTTTTCAATGTTTACAACTTACCACGAAGGACATCAGCGGGAATTACTCGTTTATAAATTCTGGGACGTTCATCTTCTGGTTTTTCATCAGCGGCAAATACCGTGGCGATGAATAAAACAGCGGCAACGAAAACGAGTTTCATGATTGTGAGTATCTTCTGAATTTAAAAAAAACAAGAGTTCCGATTGTTTTTTTTAACTGTCAGAAAAAAAGGAACGTACTTCCGATTCACCGATTATGACTGGTTGGGTTTGACCCTCCAGCCGGGATTTTATAGCTAAGTACCGGGCGGAGTCCCCCATTTGTCTCCCCACCGGCTCTCACGTGTCTCACCTCTCGAAACTCCAATCTCTAAAGAAACATCAGTTTGTTCTCATATCAAGTCCTTAGGAGCACGAAGGTGTCACTCGAGGTCAAACAATTGATCCAATGTTATTTGTTCCATTAATATTTAGTTTTTTCTTTGCAAATTTCTCTAACAATTACAAATATTGAAGTTCATTTTTGCTGATGCTAATTTGTCTTTGAAATAATTTTTAGAATACTGTCTTGAAAAATAAAAATTCATTTCTCATTGTGAGAAAAAAAATTTCCTACTGGGAATTCCATCGACATTTATGATTCATAAATGCAAGGAAATTATTTTAATTTGAATTATAGGAAAAAAAATTTGAAATACAAATAAAATATACAAATTAAAATTTACGTAATTCTGAATTGTAAATTTCATATGTAAAAAAAAACTGGACTTTTTTGTCATCAAAAATAAATTTAAATCCTTGAAATTTGATTTCGAAAAAGGATAATTACACAAGGACATCAATTTAAATATAGAAAAAAACGAGACCCCTCTCTCTCTCTCTCTCTTTTCAAAATCATACAGGTTTTGAAAAATCCACAATTTTAGAAAGTCAAAAATCACCCGTTTTTATCAGATTAGTATTCAAAATTGAATTCAAATTGATTCAATAAGTCACATAAAATCAAAGTATAGTAAAATGAAGAAATTGAATTTCTATGAGACACATGATTATTTGTGATAAAATGATATTTTCGCTGAAATGGGAAGAAAGGCGAAAGTTGTTTCACGACATGGATCCTCTCTTCCAAAGCAAAAGAAATTTTCTTGGAAGCTGCACAAGGTCTTCTCCACCTTATGTAATATATTTTTTGATGTAAAATAATCGAATCTGAAATGGGAAAATTTTTTTTTTTTAATTATTTCGCTCACGTTAGAGTATGAGTCACATTCAAAATCACTTTTATAAAATTGTGGAATATTAAATAAGTCAAATATTTGCCTGAATATTAATTAAACAACTCTATATTCATGTATGTTGAATACGAATTAAACAAAAAAAAATTTTTTTAATTAAATATTAATTTTGTTTTAGACTATTTATTTAGAAATATAATTTTGTTTGTACTATTTTCTGTTTTTAAATAATTTAAATTATGATTAAAAAATGATTTTCGTGAGATTACTTAGGTATATATTTTCTAATGTATTTGTATACAAAATCAGATGGTCGTGAACTGAATATTTTTTTCCGAGCCGCAGGTCACGCTGGCCTCAAGATTATTTATCCCATAACGGTGTTTCGTGTTTTTGGAAGTTTGCGCTTTGTAGGACAAACAGTGGAATTATAAAGTGAATAGTTTTTCGTTTTTCAATTCAAATAATTTTTTTTTTAACTTTGTATTGTAATTACAATAAGTCAATCGTGAAGAGGTGAAAGCAGAACGAACCATGCGATTCTTTTTTTTGTTTTTTTAATTTTACATTAATATTACTTTTCATCACTATAAGGATTTTAATTTATCAATGAAATTAACTAACAAAAGAAAAATAAATACTAAAAATAATATAAAATATAATAATTTATTAATAATAGTAATTAAAAAAATTTAATAATGTAAAAACTTTGGCTACAATAAAATAGTAAGTAATTGCAACAAAAAAAAATTGATTTCTCAATATGTGTAACATGAATCTTGGAAAATAAAATATAAAATTGATGTAAATATTTCTTGTTTATGAATTGATGCGAAGAAAATATTTGAATAATTAAAATTCCTTTAGTGTAATGCAAATAAGTATAGAATTTATATGCATGTAGAGTAGACTTCACAATCAGTGAGATGATGCGTCATTGAATTGCTTTTGTTAATATATATATATTTTTTTTTATGAAGAAGTTGGTATTCATATAGTAACAGTGATAGTCATACAATCACTGGCCCATGAAGTATCCACGTAGTTTCCATTACCAGCATTACAACACTTCTTTACCTTTTGACTGACTCGATTAGACCCGTGCCCATCCTTTTCCTGTTTGCTTTTTTTTCTAACACAAACATACTCTATTTTTTCGAGAGAAAAAAAATGAAAAATCCTTTTTATCATTCTTCCTAGTATATTTTTTTAAATTAACTTATTATTTTTATGTAATAAATTAAATTAAATTTCTTTTATCATTAAAATTAATTTTTTTAGCTTTTGAGAAATCTCGGTGGAAATAAATAATAAAATAATACTGCTTAACAAAAAATAAATAAATAAATTTGAAAGAAGACAATTGTACATAAAAAGTATAATTTCATTGTTTTCCGTTAACTTTTACTGGGTTTCAAAAGTTCATTTAAATTTCTTCATATATAATCGTCGGTGAGATCAGTAATTAGTCGGGGTCGGCGCCCCATTCAAAACTGATATAATTGTCCAACCATAGTTTGGTTATTATTTCTTTAAAAAACAAACAAACAATTGAATGGTCGCACAAAACAATATTCCCTGTTTAAAAAAAAATATCTACTCTCTTTAAAAAGGCATGTTTTAACACCAATTTTACATTTTATGTCTCTCTCAACTTTTTTTTTTGTAAGACACAAAAATAAAATCTGAAATCTTCACCTCGATCACATAACTACCCTTGACACGATTATGCTTCTATGATTATTCCATTGTGAAGTTATGAGAACGTCGTCAAGAGACTTTTCCTGCGGTATAAATGGTTGATGTTAATTCTCTAGAATTACTTGTTAGTAAAACTCATTGGCGTGACTATTTAAGAAGTGAAAACGATTTATTAATTTAAAAAAAATTTTCTTTAACTAATTAGAAAGTTTACGACTTATTTTATCGAATACACAATCAATCAATAATCTTGCTGAAACAAATGTTTATAAATTTTTTTAAATGTCTTAATATTTTTTTTGCAAAAAACGAAATTTAATTTTGAAAAGTTGAAATTAATTAATAAATAAAGAATAAAGTTAAAATAATATTTCTGAAATTTGAATCCAAACTATTTTATTAGTTTTACATAAATACAAGTACCATCGATAGAAAACAAAGAATTAATGCAGATGGAAAAATGAAGAGACCTGCTTCTCACGACCAATTGATATTTTTTTTTTTTAAAAAAAACAGATACAAATTCTTTTCTAATAGGAAATATTGCACCTGATAAAAATGCATCAATTAAATCTGCAAAAATTCTTTCCGACTATTGATGTGAATTTTTCATAAAAATACATGTACATATTAAACACTTTTTCCCAATCACGTGTAAATACCGCCTTTTATTTCACTTAAAGAGAAAAAAAAAAAATAATCACCAATATTATAATATTCAATTTTATTCTTTGTAATTTTTGTTTTAATTGTGAGATTAATTTTTCCAAATGCGGAATTCTCACGTGGGTGGAAATTCGTGTATCTTTATACAGAAACTTACACTTCTAATTTTTTTTTCTTTTCATTTTAAACACATTAATATACATATGTATAGAATTCTTACAGCGTGATAGAAATATTCTCGATAAATACTTCAAACAAAAATTTTTCGCGATAACAATTATAAACTAGAAAAAATTACATTTAAAAATTGTAATTACATTTTTCATATGTTAACAAAGACATTTTTTTAAAAAATTAATTTTAATTAAAAAAAAGTCCCAATTTAAGTCTTCATGATTATAAATAACTTTTAGGGAAATTAAATTTTTATCGCTTGAAATTTTCTTTTTTTTCTTTAAATATATTTAGATAATTTGGCGAAGAGAATTTAAAATTTAATATTCAAAAGTAAATTGCACTTTGTACATTTAAAAAAAATTTTCAAAATCGCAGTCTAATTAAAAGTTACGATAATACTAATTAATTAAATTTATTTTAATTTAAACAATAATTATAATAATCTACGAATAATCTATTATTTAAAAAATGATTATTATTTCTATTTTAATATATTAATCTCTTACAAAACAAACACTAAAGCTCGAAGTCGTTATATTTATAAGATTTTATAGTAGAAAACATGCATAAATGCGTTATTAATGAGAGATATTATTTCTTTCCTTTTAAAAATAAGTTTTTCCCTTATAAAAATTTATCGTTTTCTATTTAAATAGTTTAAAAAATTTTTTTTTATTTAAAACTTACCTTCTCTTCGTCAAATTAACGTGGACTAATTAAGATATAATTTTTGTTAACGAAATATTTTACAATTTCTTTGAAAGTAAAACAATAAAGGCTTTTACAGTGATTCCTTAGTTGCAAATCGTTCATTCCAAATTTTATTTCTGACATGAGATGATAAAACGGGTTCAAGAATCCGACCAATTGAATAAATACGATCCTTAAATCTTTCTCTATCTCTCGCCATTTCTTCCCATGGACCAAGACGTGCAGCTCGATATGCAAAATCCCATTTTACCATTTTGTGAATCGTCGGATTTAAATTAAAACGAACCTGAAAAATAAAGAATTCTTTAAAATTTCTGCTAATTAAATAAATGAAATTTTAATTTACTTTAAATTAATAAAAAAACAAACCTTATTTTTCAATGGTTCATCATCAGTCTCACTTTCGGTATCAGTGTCGCTATCACTGATTTCAGTTTCATCTGAACAGTCGAAATCTGAATCCGTGCCTGTTTGAAAGACAATGTAACTGTCTTCAGAATCAACAGAAGCTTCCGAAATCAGTCTAGGACGAAAGGCAGTCTTATCTATGGTACAAGTTGCCTCTCTTTCCCCCAAGGAACATTCAGGTACAAATTTGACTTTCATCGAGAACATATCGGTTTTCACGAGAATATTCTTCTTCTTCTTTTTTTGTTTAATTTTTTTCGGTTTAATATCAATTAGTTCAAAGTTCAACGAATAAGATGGATTGTCACAATCTATCATTTTGTCAAAATCATCATCGGGTCCAAGACAATTAATCGATTCGGAGTAAGATTCAAATTCTTCCCATGTATCAAAATCATCTTGAATATCAGTTGAAATTTGATGTTTACTTCTTTCTTTTCTATGTCTACTTTGACTTACACCATTACGTCTTAATTGAGATTTTCCCCTACCACGTCCACGTCCAATGGACACACAATTTGCCTTTCGGCGATTTTTCAATTGATAATTTTTCATACAAACTTTTGGTGCCGGTGATAATGAACGAAAATGATCTGTTACACCACTGACAATTGTATTCCACATATTGGAAAATGAATTTGACGTGGGAATATTCTCCATTAATTGTGAATTATTTGAAGATAATTTAGTATCACACTCCTCCTCCAATTTGTCCTTATTTATAATTTCGTCCTTTGAAATAATTTTGTCAATAATATTTTCCATATTAGTTTTACAATCATTCGATTTATTGTTATCATTAATAATTTTTCGATTTATACTATGATTATTGTCGAATGCTTTCTCGTATAAAAACTTCGGCTCTAAATCCAAGCACAAATCAAAATCATCCATAATTGGAAATTTAGAATCGTTTGTGCTACCGAGAAATTCGTCCTTTGGTATGTGAACTTTATTATTCAATTTTGTTGTATCAATAAATTCAAATGTTGAATCCTTATTTTGAATACATTGTATATACATATTTTCTGGCAAAAGATCCTTATGACCAGTTAGAGTTTTAAAAAATTCATGTGATATTATACCCTCATTTGGAACAATAGTGACACTCAAGGAATTATTGACATTTGTAAAATGATTAATCAATGTTGTTGGCACTTTTGCGAGTTGATCGACAAATATTGTTGCCAATGAATTGTACATATTTTGAAATATATTCCCTTTTTTAGGTGTCATGACAATTGGGGGGATATGCATATTTAATGCTTGCTTTGAATCCATTTTCTCTATTGGGGATTTGGGAGAATTCAATGTTGAATACATCTTTGATTGTTTGATCAAAGGATAATATGTTACAGGGGATTGCCAATTTAGGTACAATTGATTTCTAGAAGGCTCCATATGATACTTCAATAAGTCCAAACTTCTCCGCCTCCACTTTCAAAAAATGCACCTTTTACTGAAAAATTAAATAAATAAATAAATATAGACACATTAAAAAAAAGGAAAAAGAAATTGCATCATTTAACAAAAACCAGGAAGTAAATAATAAATTGTTGCATCATTCATCGAATAGTGATTCAAATATAATTTAAGAGTAAAAAATACATTTTCACAATAATTAAGAATTTTTTAATTAAAATTAGAAAATTACAGACATTTTCATTTTCTCAACACACGCTCCCACATGTCGTAAATGATTCTCTAGTATGGGATAAACTACTCGAAAATTCGATGCATTTTTTCAACATAAATTCTATAATCAACATTAAATGAAAACTTTTCAAAAAACATTCAACTGAATTTCAAATTGACTTGAATTTTAAAAGAGTGAATAATAATTAGTTTCGTTTTTGCAATTTAATTGAAAAATTTAATTAAGTCTATTATTAGTAATATTATGTTCTGAAAATAATGTTTACCACATTAAATAAAAGATGAATGCGTTTCATACACGAATAATTACTATAATCTTTTTAAAAATAGATTAAAACAGTTTTACAAAGGCTTTTCATTATTCTTTCATTAAAGAGATAATTTAGAAAACGATTCATTTTTAATATTACTGTATATACACACTGTTGAAATAAACTATGACTATATAAATTAAACAATGAAAATTGTATCAGTTATACACTGATTACACACATATACAAATAATGAATTGTGGGAATGTACATAATGCCTCTTATTTATCGTTAATTCTGTCATTTCTACAAATTAGTAAAGATTGTATCTTTTATACATAACTATTATTTACTTTTTTTTGATAACAAAGATGAATTTTATATTAAAAAAAAGGTTAAAATATTCCCTTCTTTTGGCATTTTAAAATTATTACCAATAGACAATAAATTATTTCCTTTCACATTTTTTAAATTTTGTAACATTGAGAATTTTATCATCTAATTTCAAAAGGAAAAACGTGCAAAGACGCAATCATCTGTTATATAGTTACAACACAGTGAAAGCAGATTATCTCGGAAATTGGTAACAATATAAAATAACTTTTTCATTGAGTTATTTATCTTAACATTAAATTGCAATAAAATAAAAATGAATTTATCAAAAATATACCTGAATTTTTCCGCCAAGGACGGCCTTTGAAGGCGTGACAATTCTTATTGCAAGGCTGTTGTGCGTATCCGTATTGTTTTTGATTTTCAAGAATATCTTTACAATTTAATCGACACTTACAATCACAAGTAATATTTGCACAATCAGAATCAACATCAACTTCCAAATTTGAGACAATATTAAAAGATTCCATGGTAAATTCCGAAATAATATTTGCAATCATTCTGAATACAATATCAAGCGGCCATTTTCATCAATACAATGAACTAGTGACTCATATGACTGTTAGGGGCGCTGATGTCATTTTAATTTTAATCAATTTCATGAATGAAATTATTGTCATTGATAAGTTTTGACATATTTCTATATTTTTAATATAATTTTGTAACAATAATAATTTATTAAATTTATATATTAATCATCTGTTAATGGTTGATGCAATCAATTGCAATATTTTTTTTCTTCTAAGAAATGACGTCATACTGGACTGGTTCAAGAAAAAAATGTTGTTGCAGAACCAGCTTTATGTTGGTTATAGTGGTGTCACGTGACTTTTTTTAAGATGGCGGCAAATGTATTACAGTAGAACCTGGGAAGTATGAAAGCTGTGAATTAGTCAACTTCCCCCTATTTTTGCACTGTATATATATTTTTATATACATTGTTTATGTGTTTATATTTATTAAAACAAAACAGGAATTTATGATCAGTGTTTCAAAACAGTTAAATTTTTTTATGTTTTGTAAAAATAAATTCATGATAAGTTTTCGTTATTATGTATGACGTTAACAATCTACAATATTTATTAAACTACTTGTAAATAAAATAGTTTAATTTTAATAAGTTTAAAAATGTATAATTCCCTTAAGTGGACAAAAGCACTTAATTTATTATTAATTGTTTTGGGCTGTTATGTTTTTGTTAATACTGCTGAAATTCGCCAATTACCATTCTGTGATCATGCCACATCTGATGATGATGATATTCCTCCACACAGGTAGTTTTTTTTACAGCTTTATAACATTCCTGATAATAAATATAATTTGTAAGTAATTTATTCTTAAAATATTAGAGATTCATTGTTTGTTTACATATACAATATTTTAATAAGTAAATTTTTATTTAAATGCAAGTAGTATCAATGTTGATAGATTTAAATTTCTATAATAATTTAAATTAATTTTTTTTAGTCTTTTATTCGTTAGTACTTTGGATGGAAAAGTATCGGCTTTAAATGCTGCCGATCATGGAAGAAAAGCATGGTCCTTAGATTTAGGAAAAGAGCCAATGTTATCGTCAAATATTCATCAAAGAGAAGTAATTCAAGAAAATAATATAAATAATAATGTTTTATCTTATTTTCAAGGTTTGAAATTGAAAATTTTAATTAATCAACATTAAATTTAATGAAGAATTACGCATTTTAATTCTTTCTGTTTAGTTAAACAATCATGGACAATGGGTTCGATTAATTCCATCATTGAATGGAGGATTATATAAATTTGATGGTGAAAATTTAGAAGCAGTGCCATTATCTGCAGATCAATTGTTAAAATCTTCATTTCGTTATTCTGATTTAGTTTTCTCCGGGGGAAAAGAAACTCGTTCATATGGTTAGTATTTTTTATTACATTAAATTAAATAAAAAAAAATTACGTAATTCTTTTTTTCTTAAAGAACAATAATTTGAGTTATTTATTTCTTTTTTAATTTTTCAGGTGTTGCTCTTTTAACTGGTGAAATATTGTATAAATGTGATGTGCACGGTTGTAAAAATACAACAGAAGGCGAATCTTATATGAATAAAGAAGTACTTATTATTCAACGGCATCAACAAACTATTCGTGCTGTTGAATCTCATTCTGGCCATGAAAGGTTATTATTTTTCAAACAAATTTTTTTAAAGTTTGAAATAAAATTTAAATGTTAATTTTCTTTTTTATTTCAACAGATGGAATTTTAGTGTTGGTCAACATGGTTTTTCACTGCCTCCAAAGACACATAACAATTGTCATGGAGAAAATAAAAGAATTCCGATTGATATTGAAATAAAAGCAATTATTCCCGAAGGACTTGTATGGGCTGTTGATAAAAATGATCCTACATTAAAATTATGGGAACACAAGGTTAATATAATTTTATTTCATAGGATTAGTTAGTTAAAATAATATTTAAATATCTGCTTTATTTTGTAATTAAAAATATTTTCATAGTTCAGTTCTCCGATTGTGACAATATGGCAAGAAGATAACAATAATGAAATGAAAGATAATTCTGGTGTTAAAGAAATTAATTTATTTGATAATAGTGAAAAATCATCAAATAGTGAATTTTCAATAAGCCCTGGTCTTTATTTAGGAATGCATAATATGCAATTATATGTTCAAGAAAATCCAAAATTAAAATCATTACTTGAACCCAGTGTTACAGTGAAAGAATTAACACCCATGTTTCCCTGGAAACCTTATTCTGCAATTGGTATATTAATTTTATTTATTATTTTTTTGATGTTATATTTTATCGAAATAAAATTGTTAAATATTTATAATTATTTTTCAGCTTTTTCAGAAAGAGATAAAGAGAGAATAGAAAATAAAATTTTAATAGAATCAAACGATGATGTTCAATCCACTGCTTTGTCTGTCTTGTATAGTTCAAACTATATAAATGGTATTTATAAATAGTTTAATTTTAAAATAATTATTTAATTAAATATATAGCAATTTTTAATCTATATAGGAAATGGATTTTATTTATATTCCAAGCAACAATTATTTATCGGTAGTGATAATCAATGTAATAATACAACAATAGTAAATAAAATAAATTCATTTGAGAAACAAGACTCTTCAAAGGATGATTATGATGAAAATGAAGAGGATACATCAGTACCAGTAATTATAATTTCCCTTTGGTATTGGTGGTAAGTATTTTAATATAACGTTTTGTTTAAAAAAAATAAAATTAAAATTATTACACTTCTTTTTGATATAGGAAAGAAGTATTATTGATTTCAATTACAACAGCGATTGTTTTAAATTTTATGATAACACAAAGTCTTTTTAATGCATCTTCAGTTATTAAAGACGCACTCGTTCCAGTAAGTTTAATTTATATTGTATTATATTTTTAATATATTTTCTTCTACAATGAAAAATTTATTTTTCCAGCCTTGTATTATTGAAACACATGTAGAGAAAAAGGAAGAGAATCAAAAAGCAATTGTTGATAATAGTGGTGAATTTACGTCTCGTTTTCTCTCTGATTATGAACCTGTTGATTGTTTAGGAAAAGGTGGATATGGAATTGTTTTTGAAGCAAAAAATAAAGTTGATGAATGTAATTATGCAATTAAACGAATAACACTACCAAATAGGTAAATATTTGAATTTTTCTTTGTAAATTTAAATAGATTTAAATAAATCTCTAATATGATTATCTTTAGTCGCAACTCTAGAGAACGAGTTATGAGAGAAGTTCGAGCACTTGCAAAATTAGATCATCAAAATGTTGTTCGTTATTTTAATGCATGGATAGAGTGTCCTCCAATTGGTTGGCAAGAGGAACATGATAAATTTTGGATAAATAAAGAAAAACTTTCAAGTTCTGATTTTATTTCAAGCTCATATCTTAGTGATATAAAATCATCAAATTCCGTTCATGTTAATATTCCACCTAGTGAACAATCTTCCGTGGATAGTGCTTTTGAAGCATTAAAATTAAATAACAAGGATAGTGATTCATTTATAGTATTCCAAACTCATGAAAGTGGACGATTGCAAGATATTGACGGATCTCAAGAATACAGTCAAAATTATACAAGTGATATTCAAGATGAAGAAGAAGATGAATTACCGGAAAATATTGAAGAATTGACTGTTAATAAAATTCACTACGATAGTACAGAATCAATTATTTTTCAAGTAACTCAAAGTGAAAGTGAAAAAAGAAAAGAGAGAAAAGCATCATTGAGCTTAAATTTACAGGATAGAAAACTTGTGAAAAAATCTGCTAAAATGTTTCTTTACATACAAATGCAATTATGTAAAAAAATGAGTTTAAGAGAATGGTTAAAGGAACAAAATAGATCAAGAGATACAATTCATGTATTGAATATTTTCCAACAAATTGTCAATGCTGTGGAATATGTTCATTTACAGGGTCTTATTCATCGTGACTTGAAGGTAAATTAGTAATTTTAATCCTTTTTTTTTATTTAATCTACATTAAAATCAATAAAAATAAATTTTTTTAGCCATCAAATATTTTTCTGTCATTTGATAAAAAAGTGAAAATTGGAGATTTTGGATTAGTTGCAATGACAGAAAGTTATGATGATGTTCATACACCATGTGATACTCTTGAAGTAACATCACAAGAGGGTGTTCAACATACAGCAAGAGTTGGAACACGTTTGTATATGTCACCAGAACAAATGAATGGCAAAAGATATAATTATAAAGTAGATATCTATTCATTAGGTATTATTCTTTTTGAATTATTAATTCCATTTTCAACTGAAATGGAAAGAATTGTAGCTTTGACAAATTTGAGGAATTTGATTTTTCCCGAAAATTTTGAAGCTCAATGTCCAACAGAAGTAAGAAATTATTGTTTTTTTCTTTAATGAAAACAAATTTTATAAATTAAAGAAGTGTTAATATTTTTTTTTTAATTGACAATTTCATTTTGCAGTTATCATTATTAAAAATGATGCTAAATGAAGATCCATCAAAAAGGCCAACTACTTTAGGAATTAGATCTAGATTATCTACTTCTAATAATAAGGAAACAAATAATGAATTACATGCTGATGATAATGAAAAATTTCACTTTCATTGGCCACAAATGAGTAGAAATTCTTCAGGAACGGGAAGTAGTAATAGTGGTAGTAATTCCGTTTCATGGGAATTTATATCGTAGACGTATGAATGATGTGATGAATTTTTTTTATAGAATTAATTTATTGAATGGATTATATCTGGTTAAAAAGATCTCAAATAAATTGTTTTTTACACTTTTCAAATAATTACAAACAACATTTTTCTTTACAAAAATATTAAATTTGAATAAATTATATTTTATAAGAAAATATTTTGATACTTGTCCTTAATAATTTAAAAAAATATATTACTAGGTATATAAATAAAAGTATGTAAATGTAAAAATAATTATTAAATTCTTTTGATTAGATATGATTCTTCAATAAAAAAAAATATAATAATAAGACTGTAGGCAATTGATAAAAGTGATAAAAATTTGATTATAATTTTAAATGAGTGATTGAAGAATAAATATGAAAGTGTATGAATAATTGGTAAACAAAAATTGTAATATTAATACTGTTTTCTAGTAAAGCCCTGTAAACTGTCATGAATGTTGAATATGAGTGAAAAATACTGATTTTATAATTAAAAAAACATAATTTATTCATCACATATCCATTATCTAAATTTCATAATTTTTTTCGCTAATTTATTTTCACTCGTTATTTTCATATTTCCCCCATTTTTGTTTTTATTATACCGTGTTATTTAGATGTTATGTTTCGAATTGACGTAGTTTTACTGAAATATAATTAAGATTTATGGAAATAAATATTTTTAAAATTTATATAAATTCTTTTCTTTTATATCCAATATTTTTTAAATTTAAATATCAAGAATAACTTGTGGGATGATAAGTAAATAATTTTACTTAGTGTCGGAATGTGTTTATTAGAAATAACAATTGCAAAAGTACAGAGTATTATAAAAAAGACATACTGAGTAGTAATAGTAGCAGTATAATAAAAATATCAAATAACTTTGGGTTTTTTTTTACATAATTGTGTATTGATTTTGTTTTACTTCAAAGTTCAATACAAAAATTTGTTTACAAACGATTAAGCACACTTTGTATTGATCGTAATTTTTCAATTAATTGTCCTCCATTTGGTTTACTAAAGAGTGTCGTCAAACATTTGGAAATTACATCTTGACACTTTGTTATTATTTTCATTCTGGAAAAAAAAATTCTTAGGATTAGTAAACAGAAAAAAAATAATTATTAAAGTTTTACAATAATTAAGCTTCTTACCTGTTAAAGTTATTAGTTACAGTTGAATTGGATATGAAATAGTTAACTAGATTCATTGTTGATTCAATTAAATGGAATTCATTGCCTTCGTTTAGCCACGTACGATTGTTTCCTCCAATCATTCTGTAAATTAAAATAAAAAAAACAATAAGGTACTGATTGCAAACAAATGGCTAACAAATATTTTTTTTACAATTAACACGTTTGCTTTGTAAATAAGATTTATTCTTCTTACTTATCATAGTAGTCTAAAAGATCTTCAATTGGGATTCCTAATTGTAAAAGTCCTTTAATTATATGATCATTAGAAACTTTCAATCGACAGGCTCGAATTTCCAATTCTTTTAATAAAAAGTCTAGAAAAAAAGATAAAAAACTCTTTTATATTTTAATTAAACAGTAATTCAATATAAAAATAACAATTCATACCTATTGGGAAACAATGTGGACTTCCAAAATAATCCTGCCCAAGTTGTTTAATTTTAGTCAAGAGAATTACTAATTTGTCTTCCGATGATGGAGATGTAGCATTTCTTAATTCTAAACCAGAAAACATAATCATATTTATATTTTAAAAAAATGATTAAATTATTATTTTTATTATAATTACTATATTTTAAAAAAATGTTACCATTATCAATTATGTTGGTCCAAATTCCTTGAATTAACATTGAATCCTGATGTCCTGAACAATGAATTATTGACAATTTACATTCCCAAAGTTGAAGTGGTTCTGCATAATCTTCATATAACTGAAAATAAATGTTTTAAAATCTTATTTTGCGTACGAGTATAGAAAATTATTATTAAAGTAAGTTCAAGATTGTTTAAAAATAATTTTTTTTTTTTGAACAATTCTGTTTTAATTACAAGTTATTAAAATTAATTTGAAATAATTCTAATTAGACAAAATTACTTGTGTAATATCTAATAAGGAAGAATTTAGTCTCATCCTTGCATCTCGTACAGTGTCAGCATCAAGAATATTTTCCTGATTTACAATTGTTTCTAATATCTGAAATTTAATTTAAAATATCGTTAATCATTTTAAATGATAATAAATATTTAATAGTTCATAATAATTTAATAACAAAAAATATATATACCTGTTGCTGTATTCTTGCTATTTCTACTTTATCTTCAAGTTCACGGAGAAAAACTCCAAGATAAGGAGCATATCCTGCTCTATCACTTCGCATACAAATTACAGCACGTGCTAAATATTCAACACGTTGAGTTAAAGGAACGCCAGTTCTTTAAATAAAAAAAGACAAATTTGATGAATAATTAAATATAGATATGAAATATTAATTATATTATTATAAATATATACCCTGGTTTCGAAGCTAGTGAATCTAAGATTTTAGCAGCTCCCGCGTGATTTTTATTTCGTTCATAATATTGCCATAATAATTCTGGTGCTCCAACTCTTATGAGATATGCTTCCAAAGAAGGTGCAGCAAGTGCAATTAATTCTCCATGAAGTCCTTTTTCAATCATCCACAAATAAATTGATGCATGTAAAGTTTCACACGATGAATGCAATGCCTCATCGATAATATCGTGTAACTGTAAAATTACTCATTTTTAATTATAAAAATATTTTTTATCATGAAATTAGCAATTTATTTTGATGAATATTTTACCACATCTTTTGCTGGTACATTGGTAGCTAATGTATTTCGAATAGGTGGACCTGGTTTACTTGGAATTGTTGGTGTCAGAGGATTAGAAATACTTTGATTATAAAGATGATCTAACATTGCAGTGAATTCTTTGTAAATTTCTAATCTGTGGGAAAATTTGAATTTAAGTATTTTGAATTAATTTTTTTAACATTTAGAAAAAAAGGTAAAATAATACCGTTTCGAATAAGCAGCATTGCCTTCATAATCTTCGATTGGCTCATTATTTTTATAATAATGCAATGCAGCATTATTAGGATCAATTCTCTCTGAACAACAAAGACAAAGTTCCAAAACACCGGAATAAAATTGACAAGCTACAAATTGTTGACAAACAGCTGCTAAATTTAATCTTGGAGCAACTTCTTTACACAGCTAATAAAAAAAAATCAAAATATTTCATTATTATTCACAATTTACTGATTCAGAAAAATGAACATTTAAAACAAGTTACATTTTAAAGAATTTATACCCCTTTTTTGTGATATATTTTCCATTATAAAGTTACATTGAAACTCCGTGTGACTTCCCATTCCTCTACTTGAGGTACCAAAGATATTTTATGTTAAATTGAAGAATTTATTTTCATAATTTATATCGGAACAGTTTATTAAATACAAATTAATTGTATTTAATTATTAAAGTTTTTACGTACCTTAAGAGCAGACTGCAAGTACGTTTCCTTTTCCTCATTATTTGTACAATTTTTTGCTTTTAGAATAATTTCATTAGCCTGTTAAATAAATTATTAAATCATTTTTAAGATATTAATGAAATTTAATTTTGAAATTAAATTTGAACGAACCTTTGAACAAATAGCGTCCTCGCTTCTATACAAATTTGGACAGATTTCGCGTAATTTTGCACTAACAGCATCAACTGAAGCATTGTCACCTAAATAACTACATAAAAATAAACATTATCGAAAATTGAATTTGCAATTTTACGAAATTAAAATTATTTACTGGCATTTAAATAGAAAGACAAAATATTTACTCACCTGTCAATCAAGTGGATAATAAGCAAAGATGATATTTCATGACCAATTAAAATCAAATCTCTAAATGTTGCCGTTGAAAACTGATTAATTTGTTCCTAAAATATTTAAACTTTAGTTTATTAATTCTTATAAATGAACAACATAGAAATAGAAATAATGTTCACTATAAAATTAACCTTTGAGAGACAATTAACAATATTTTGTAATTGATTTTCGCAGAGAATTTTCCAAAGTCCCAAAATTTCACAAGCATGAGTAATGAAAATTTTCAATGCATCCAATGAATTTCTTTCCTCAACAATTGGTTCATTGAATTGACTCATTTCAAAGCCATTTGTCATATTTCGAGTTGAATTATCTCTAAACCTGTAAGTTTAATAAATAAATAAATTGAATTAATTAAAATCCAAATATTTAGATTATAATTAAATAATTTTAATTATTAGAAACATACTGTTTAGAAATGTAGGTGTTTTTATTTAAAAATGATCTTAGAGCTTGTAAATGTCCCAAAACCCATCCAACTTGATTCGATGACACTGTACTAAGTATCTAAAAATATTTCATATTATATAAAATAATTTGTACATAAATAAAAATAACAAATATTTTTTACCTGGCATTTACTATTAACAGTTTCTTGTTTGATGCATCTTAAATTCCAAAATGGCCTCAATAATCTACCAACATAAAGATACAAGCCTCCATGTTTTCCAGAAAATTGTTGTAATGACAAATCTGTTGAAATACCCATTTGTTGTGATCTAAAGATAGGCGATCGTGATTCTAAACCTTGCATTCTTGGCGTTGATGTTCGAAGATCTCCTGCATTTAAATTTGAAAATCCACTGTGTATCTCCATATTTGGTGCATTAGAAATTCTTTGTCCTCCATATAAGAAAAATGCTCTTGTTGCCCATTCGGATAACTAGTTTAAAAAAAATGTTAAATCCAAGTTACAATAACAAAAAAATTTTATTATTATTTAAAAAACTCACTTGAACATTTTGAGAACTTTCAAGGGTAGCTAAAATCAAACAAGTAGCGCATGCTTGTTCTGGTGATTGTGATTGAAAATAAGCTCTCACTGCTTCTGAATCTGGACCTCGTTGTTTTAATAGAAGCTGCCGAAGAATATCGACTGGTCGCTCTTGCATTAATATTATTGCTCCCTTAAAATTTTAAAAATATTAATTATTACTATTGATATGAAAATTAGATTAAAAAGCATTAAATATTATTTTACTTGTGCAGTTAGGAAAATAAATTTCCTAGGTGGTTCCATATGTTGCCTCACTAAAAGGGGTGGATCTCCTTGTAATCCATTAAACGTTTCTATTTTTATTGCAGGTTCACCGAGAATTTCTGCCATCGACCAAACTGGACTATCCAATGGAAGAATACTTTGTGTTTCGGCAAGATAACTCGTGAAGGGAAAAACATCATTTGTTAAACACCATACAGTTTCAGAATCACCGCCACAGGTTAGTATTAAAGTTCCTAATAATTAAAAAATATATAAAAAATAGGAAATTAAATTCAAGTTAAATTAAAAAAACTCACCTTTTCTATAATGGGACATTTGAACTTTTCTTGGTCTAATAACAGGAGCATTAGCGGCATAACCAGGTGGTAATCTAACATGAATTAATTGAAGACCCTGTGGTCTACTGCTGGGATTTGAAACTGAACTGCAGCTAAAATAAAATCTTGTTCCTGTTGCTGCAACTGCAACTAAATTCAAATGTTGCGACTCTGATTCTGTAATAGCCGATATACTAACCAAAGGCCGAAAATTGTTACTATCAAGGGTTCTATTAAAATTTTAAAAAAAAACCAAGTGAAAATTAATAAATTATTTAAAATATAAAAAAAAAATAAAAAATAAATAAAAATTTGAATAATACATACTTAACAGCATGAACTGAATTTTGTACAAGTGTTGTTTGTGTCATCGATGTTATTTTAGATGCTCCTCCATTATCAATATCCCAAACAGTTATACTTCCTTTATCACCAAGAGTATATAAAATATGCCTCGTGTCATCTACTGATATTTGAACTATCGCTTCTTCTTCACTTAATGCAATTGAAACGAATGAAGGTACCAAAAACGATAATGGACCTTCTGAATGATTTATCTTTTTACAACGTTTTCCAAACCAACTACTTTCCGCCTAAAAAAAAAAGAAATTAAATAATATATGTTTTTTTATTACGGATTATAAAACAATTAAAATTCTCAGTACTTGGTAATATATTTCATAAAGGGATCCATTTCTCCCGCCAAGAAAAATTCTACCACTATTTGTATTTGCAATAGTCGTAATAGCGACTCCATCAGTGGTAACCGTAAAAATTGGTTCTGGAACTAACTGTATTTCTCCTTGTGAGCCTTGAAGAATAGAATATTTTAGAAAAAAATAAATAGATTAATTTAGAAAAATAGAAAGAATTTTATTATTACTCGTTTCGGATAAAGTAACACCAAGAACAGTTATTTCAACAGTAGTTGTTAAAATTAGCAAATATTTCACGTAACTTTGAAATATTCCTGGTTTTGGTTTCACTAAGCCAACACTAATAATTGTCTCATTCAATCCATCAAAGTACGCCACATCAGATCTATTGAATAATGAAAATATATAATTCTATTTACTATTTATATCAGATATTTTAAATATAAGAAAACATACTCATTTTCATAGGACCAAACATAAATGTCACTGTCAATTGTCAGCCAAGCTTTCGAAATATCTGTAAAAAGTCCCATCATGCAGTGACATTGCATATCTGAATTTTTCTATTAGGAAAAATAAATTTAGAATTTTTAAAGTTATTAATGTTTTCTTTTTTTTAAATATTAAAAAGAACCCAATTTTAAAAAGGATACGTCCAAAATGCTCCATAACTTCTGAGGGCAATGGAATTTTACTGTGAATTTTCATATGATTTACATTTAATAAATTAGAACCATTTAAATTTGGATAATCATATACATCTAAACCGCTAACTGTTGGACCACCTGTAAATATAATTTTTATTATAGTATAATAAATTATCGTAGAAAAATAAAATTATTATTGTTACTAAAAAGATGTTGTCTACAATACCTTGTACAGTATATCTCATAAGATTAATTAACGATGGAAAATTACTGTCTGCATTAATGTGTTTGTCTACCATTTTCCCTGCCATCTCCAAGGAGTCAAGGTGAATTTTCAGTGGCTCCATTTCTGTGAGAGTCATAGTTTAATTTTTCGAAAACTGTTTTTTCTGCAATATAAATTTTTTTCCTAACAATTGTTAATGCAAACGGTTTAAAAAAAACCCATTTTTTCTATTTATTTCTATTCTTCCAGTGAATTATTTTTATTAATTAAATATAATTATAATTTTCATAATATAATGAAGATAATAAAAATTATTTTCTCTAGTATAAAAAGAGAAATATAAATAATTAAATCGAGTTATAAATAAATAAGGTAAATTTTATTGTTATTTTTATAGTATACTTGAAATATTCTTTATGGTGAAAAACTTAATTTAAAAAGACTTTATCTTTTTAAAATACTTTTTTATAATTTTCAATGTATTGTCAAACTTACAAAAATTAAAAAAAAGTAAGGTTATGTGAAAAATGAACAATAATAATATAACGGAAATCATCTTTAAAAAATAACTTTGTGAAATTTTTGTAAATGAAAATATTCTAAAGTAATTACTTACTCGAAAAAATTAACTATAAACTTATTGTTTAATTTATTGACAATCAAAAAACCAAAATCCACCGGGCGGTAAGCATCGATTTCGTTTGATTTTAACTGACTTTAGGGCCTTTTTTACAATTTGTTGACTTTGTTGTGGAGTAGAACGTTCGAAATATGAAATGTACTTCCCTCCACACCAGAGATGGGTAAGTATGAAACCCGTAAACCTTAAGTACGTGTACACAACTCTGTTTATGAAGCTATAATTATAATTAATTAATTTTTAAAAATAGTAAATATTTTAGTTGTATCAACTAATTTTATCAATATATAATTATTAAAATATGCATATATATTTTATTTCAGCAATCTTATGCATATACTTGAATTAAAAATTATTGTAAAAATATTTTTTTTTTTAAAGTCAAAATTGGTCGGTAAAGAAGGTAGCAGAATTGAAATTGCTCTTGTTTTGTATGCGAGTGTGAATGTTGACATTCAACATGGCGGCTGTCGTCAGTGCTGTGCTGTTTCGTGGTGAGTTTTCTAAAAATTTCTATCATTTACAATTACATTTATTTGTATACAGTTAAATGATAACAATTAATTTGTTATCTTGATTGCTGATGATTCAAAAATTATGAAATTTTGGCGGTTATAGTGAATTTTGAATATATTCTGAATTCATTCCATTAAAAAAAGTGTTGGAATTTTAACCGACGACAGTGTATATTGGACACAATATATTTATATTTCATTGTATGAGCAAATAATTCTATCGTTTATAATTCTTTCCTCTTTTACAGTGATTAACCTATTTTTTTAATTTTTATTCTCTTTTTTCTCATTACTGAAAAAATTGATATTTATTTGCTTTTTATATAGTTTTATATTTCCAATTTTCTGACCCAAAAAGGCACATACTCAATGGAGTGTGTGTTACTCCATTCGATATTATGATTCAACCTCACTATAATGCAGATCAAAATTAATAATTTTTTGGTTAATTATTTATTAGTTTTGTTCAATTAATTAATATTTTGGAGATTTCTTTAAAAAATGTTTATAAATATCTTTAATTCATGTTTTACTTTTATCGGAAACACTTTTTTTTAACCATTAACTATTATTGTATGACATTCTCTAATTTTATTCGTGTTTTTTTGCTTTATTTTTTAAATTTAATAGCTGAATTTAATAAACTAGTTTTTATTTTTGTCTTTTATTTGAAGAGTAATATTAATTTTAAAAAATATTCTGTTGATTAATAATTATTAAAAATTATTATTGTTATTATTATTAAATCTAAGAATTGTCACCAGAAAAACAGTTTGTTTAGATTTGATATTACAATTTCAAATACTCAGAAACTTGCTAAATAAATAAGAGATTTAAATTCCACTAATTTATATTTTAATTAAAGAAAATGCATAGTGATAAACACATTTATTTTTGTTTTCAGTTTGTGTAACTGTTAGTTTAGGACATTTTTGAAACAAACGCTCAGTATAAATTCAAGATTTTCAAAGCTGAAGAAGAAGAAGAACGATAAAACAGAATTTTTGGAACGACACAACCACATTCAGCACGCATTGAAGACATCTGAGGATTTTCAAGCTAAATCATTTATCCTTTAAATTTCCAATGTTTTTAATCGTCTTCTTTTATAAAGGATGACTGATGTTTAAGAAGAAATTTCGGTTATTCTTGAATATACACTAAATTAAAACAAAAAAAAATTATCAAAAAACAAAAAAACAAAAAAAGCAGTTGTTATAAATAGAAAGTATCGACGGTATAAAGATGTGCTAAGAATTTTGTACACATATAAGGATTGATAACACTGGTATTAACTGTATCGTTCGTTTGTATATTTGTGCCGCGATACGCTTTATGAGAAGGACCTAGATACACAGTACGGTGACCGTGATTGCGGTTTGAAGAATTGCTAACTCTCCTTCCCTTTGTCAATGATATAGAAAAAAAAACATCTAAATTTTTGAGAGTGATAAAATATCGCTCATAATAATCCTGGTGCTTTTTTTAATCGGCTATCGATGATACGTATTGAAATAATACTGCAAATACCTTCCTTCCCACTTCCTGGTCACAAAAAAGTCAGCATTTCAAAGAGCCTTTCTTCCTCATTATTAAGTTCTCGTAAAGTCGTAAATAGTAAACGAAGATATAAGGTACCAAGAACCATTCTGTGATATCTATGTTAACACTTAAATAATTGAAAAGACTAAAATTTCTAAATATAAGTAAAAAAAAAATATATATATATATAATCTATCTATATATATATTGAGTGAGAAATAGGCGCAAACTTATAAAAAAAAAGGAATTACCTAATTGTTTCAACGATTAATTAGCAAAAAATCTAAAGAAAAAACAGCATCGACTTTAAAAAAAAGAAAAGAAAACAATGTCAAGTAATCCTCAGTGGAAAACGTTCCAGCCGCCGATCATGAATTCAGATCCAGCAATCCTTGATTATAAATCTATGGCCATAACGAGTCCCAAAGCTTTACCTCTGCCTCATCAATCCACCAATACTTATCGAAATGGAACCAATTACAGTGGTGATCATTATATGAATTCACCACCTGATTGTGGGAAAAGTTATGGAACTTTTCCCAATTCACAATCACCTCGAAATGGATCAGCAAGGTTTCCTATAAGCACATTCACAGGTATGGAGAGCAATATTAATTTCACTAGTGAAACAACTACGAATAATTCTTATCAAGATCAATCTGGAAATCAAGGAACACGTGAAACAGGAATTATTGAAAAATTATTGGTGAGTTTATTGTCCTTTTTTTTCGTTTCTTTTCATAAGAAATAAAATGTAATTTTTTCTTTTTATTATTATACAGCACTCTTATGGATTTATTCAATGCTGTGAAAGGCAAGCAAGATTATTCTTTCACTTTAGCCAATTTAGTGGTAATATTGAACATTTAAAAATTGGTGATCCAGTGGAATTTGAAATGACATATGATCGTCGTACTGGAAAACCGATTGCGAGTTTTGTCAGTAAAATTGCTCCAGAAGTGGTGAGTGAAAAATTTTCCCATATTATTTATGATTATGAAATTAATCGACTTTTTTTATAGGTAATGAGTGAGGAACGAGTTACAGGAAACGTTACAACGGAACTACAAGCCAGCGGTGATTCACAAGGGAGAATTAGTTACGAAAATAGAGGAGAATGTTTTTTCTTACCTTATACCAAAGATGATGTCGAAGGAAACGTCACTTTGCGTGCTGGTGATAAGGTTTCATTTCAAATTGCTACAAATCAACGGTGTGTTTGAATTCAAAAATTTTTTGAAGGAATTTTTTTATAATTTCTATTAATACGGATTTTATTTTGCAGAGGAAATTTAGGAGCCTGTCATGTGCGACTTGAGAATCCTGTTCATCCAGTACGTTACCGTGGAGTTGTATGCTCGATGAAAGAAAGTTTTGGTTTCATCGAACGCGCCGATGTTGTAAAGGAAATATTTTTCCACTTTAGCGAAGCTAAGTCTATGAAAGATGAATTAAGATTGGGTGACGACGTAGAATTTATTATCCAGAGTCGTAATGTAAGTTTAAAATTTACACAAATTTTTGATTATATTAATTATTTTTATAATTATAATTATATAATTACAGGGTAAAGAAGTGGCTTGTAATATAACAAAATTGCCACCTGGATCTATTGTTTTTGAAGAAATAAGCACCGATGTAGTTAAGGGACAAGTTTTAAAACCTTTGGAACGTGGTAATTCAGCTAGACATCAAAGTGATCCATTGCCGGGTAGGATACGTTACCGTGCACCGGATCATTCAGAAGTTGAAGTACCATTTGGTGATAAAGATCAGAAAGGAGATTTTACTCTCAGGTTTGTTAACTGAATAATAGAATTATTTAATTGTTTTATAACACAAAACGAAATAATAACTGAATTTACAGACATGGCGATTGGGTTCAATTTAGAATTGCAACTGATACCAGAGATCAATTGAAAAGAGCAACGGAAATATCACTTTTGCCTGAATCTTTTACTGTTTCTGGTGAAAGACGGGAACAGGGTATGATTGCTGCTCTTAAAGATGGTTTTGGTTTTATTCGCTGTGTAGATCGAGATCCGAGACTCTTTTTTCATTTTAATGAAGTGCTAGATGTTGATAGGGAAATCAGTGTTAGTGATGAAGTTGAATTTACTGTTATTCAAGTAAGAATTTAATTTATTATTTATTTTTATTATTTTCTAAGCACTTGTAATAATTTATTTATTCATATTTCCTTCAGGATCCTTCCTCTTCATTTTCTAATAGCAGACAAAGTGCGATTAGGTTGAAACATCTGCCACCAGGTAGTGTTCAATTTGAAACAGTAATAGAATCAGATGTGCTAGGTAATGTAATTCAGGATACCAATGGCAACGAACCAGGATTAATTGGTTATTTAAAAGATGGTCAACAAAAAAGCATTATTTTCTTTATCAAGGACTGCGATCCAAAAAGTATTCCAAACCTTGGTGATAAAGTAATTAATATATTTTTATTTTTTCAATTTTAAAATATTTCTTACTAATTGCTTCGATTTAATTTGTCAGGTCAAATTTAGCATCTGCCAAGTGAAACGAAATAAGGAACTTGTTGCGGTAGATATATCGCAACTGAATTCCACAACCAATGAAAAAGCAACAAATGGAACCAAAAAGCCAAGTGGACAAACTTACCAAGGATTTATAGCTGCTCTCAAAGACGGTTTTGGATTCATTGAAACAGTCAATCATGAGAAAGAAATATTTTTTCACTTCAGGTACAATAATAATCATAAACATAAAATACCCAAGAGTTCAAAAGTTCTATAAATTTAATTTTAATATGCTTTCAGTAATTTTGAAGGCGACGCTGCAACATTGGAATTAGGCGCTGACATTGAATGTACAATTAGTTCAGCTAATGGAAGATCAACAGGTGGATGTGTTGCTGCTGATCATGTGAAAATTTTATCAAAAGGAAGCATTCCAAGACCATCAATAGTAAGCGATGTATTGGATGGAACTGTATTGAGACCATTGAGAAGTGCAAATCCCGAACAACATGAGTATGCTGGTTTAATAAAAATAAATCCATCAACGGAAGATGAGGAAACGCCGGAATATGAATTTGGTATAATGGGTTTGATAAATAAACGGGAACTTTTACAAGCGGGTGATCCAGTGCAGCTGCAGGTCGACTCAGAGGGTCACGCTTGTAATATTGTTGCTGTGAGAAAAAAACGACGTGCAACAGTTGATGCTGTTAAAGGGCCCTTTGGATTTTTAACATATGAAATTGATGAGGGTAGAAAATTGTTCTTCCATATGAGTGAGGTACGTGATAATGCTACTCTTCAACCAGGTGATCAGGTGGAATTTGTTTTAGTAACAAATCAACGAACTGGAAAATCATCCGCCTGCAATGTTACACGTTTAAGGTAAAAAAAAACCTTTTTTTCAAATTTATTTATTTTCTTATTTTTTTACAAAAATAATTTTTTGTCAATTTTTTCAGTGATGCGATTCAACAAAGACCTGAACGTCTTATAAGTCGGCTGCGTACAATATCATTGGATGATGCTGGTCCTAAATTAACAGTAGTTAGACAGCCACGAGGTCCTGATGGAACACGTGGATTTGCGCAAGAAAGAACGCAACGTATTCCTGGTGCCATTGATGAAGAATAAAGAAAATGATAATACCTCCAAAACGGTCACTTTACCAGCTTGTATGTATATTATTTTTACTTTTAGTCCGCGCATAAAGGCGTCGAGATTATTACGATTATATTATTAATTAATTATTATTATTTTAAAAGAAACAAATACAAACGTAAGAATGTTTGCCAAATTGAGACTAATGTGACAACAATAAAATAATAATGGTGGTAGTCTGAAAAAAATCAGATAATTTTCCAACAGTTAGTATAACAAATTTATCTGATTAAAAAAAAAACAAAAAAAAAAGATAAATACCCATCAGAATCATTAAATTTTGAATTTGATATTATCATCACATGAAACACTGAGAGATGAATTAGTTGCACAAACATCGAAATCACTTTTTTTTTTTTTTTTTAATGAAAAAATTGAAAAGAAGTTTTTGATAGAGAAAAAAAAGTTTTGTTGCAGTATTATAATTCATCATACATTACAAAATCGATTTGAGTGGATGAAATAAAAAAAAAAAAAAGATTAATCAATGTCACGACTGTCTTTATAAAAAATATACTTAAATGTTAAAAACAATATTTATTTATATGAATTTTCTTTTACATTGTAGAAGGTAATAATAAAAAAAACATCAGTTGTAAATCTCATTGACAGTTGCTTAAATGCACTAAATTTGAGAAAGAGAATCTTTTTGTACAGTTTTATCTAAAATTCTATATTTATGACTTTCACTAGTCTACATTTTGTTTCACGCACGTGTTACCATGAAAACTTGTACATAAGCGTTTAGTACATAATTTTGTACATTATACACAAATGCAGACAAGTGAATTCATAATATATGAACAAAAACCTGTACCAATGGAATTTTGTGAACTTTATACGAAGAAAAAAAAAAGAAAATGTTATTGACATACCTAGTTGCTGCTCGATTCTTAATTAATTACATATATAAAAAAAGAAACAAAGATTTTTTTATCAGCAGTGGGTGCCGAGACTAAAAACAAAAAAATTCTTTCTTGTTAAAAATCTTTACAAGAATGTATTTATTATTTAGATAAAATCCCCCCCTCCCCCCAAATAGAAATCAAATTTAGCATAAAAATATTTTTTCATTAATTTAAAACTTAATAAATTTTTATCAGATCAACTTTTGTATAAAGATGATTGTAATTAAATTATTCAAATTTTACTTTTTAAAAGTGTAATTAAAAAATGAACGGCAAATGAAATCAAATTAATGGCTTACCCTTCGATTTTACATATAACTTTTTTTTGTTACTGTGAAATGAGGATTAAACTCAGGTCAAAGGTGTGCTCAAAAAGTTTTTAATTTGAAAAGAAAAAAATTAAATAAACATAATAATTTTAATTTATATGTACAAATAACTGTTTATTTAATTATTTATTGAATTCAAATTTCTTTAAGATTTGTTTTAAAAATGTTTATAAACTTTTGATTATAATTATTTTTTCAGTCTCTTCATTTAATATTAATTTTTTTTTTTTAGTTAAGAAAACATTAAATAATTTAAAAAATTTAGAAAATACTTTAAAAGAAATGAATTTATTAGTAAATTTTGTGAATTGAAATTGATATTTTATAATATAATTGAAAATATAATATTTTCTCAGTCTCTAATTTTGTTGAATAAAAATTTTTAATTTACAAAATAAATATTTTTCGTACATTAAAAATATTTATTATACATTTTGAATGTTATTGAGTTTTCTCACGATAGCTACAATTATTGGCAAAACTTATTAATTACTCGGAAAAAAAAAATTACACTTGCCACTAGGGATTGTGGCATTATTTAGAAGTATAATGAAAAGGAGTAACATAATCACAAAATAATAAATTAAAAAAACAAAAAAAATAAAAATAAACAAGCACGTACAAACTAAGCGCTTGTCTTGTGACCCATAGATACAATCATCGTATGACGACATACTGTAAAACTGTTGGTAAATAAACAATGAAAGCATCAGATATTTCAATAAATTTCCTAATTTTTTTGAACCATTTTGCATTTTTTTTCTTCGCATTATTTTTAAAAATAGTTTTTTTTCGTGCATATGCTTTTAAAATTTTCAAAGTTTGTTTTATGGGTAAAATTTTATTCTTTATAGGTACTTGAGAAACACTAAATAATTTATTATTTTATAAAATTTATTGTACGAAGATCATGTGACAGTTATTATTTTTATTATTATTAATATTATTATTGGTTTAAACTAGAAAATAAAAACTATCTTGTCGCATTCATTCTTATATGTAAATTATTATTAATAATTTTTTTTTTTATTATAAAAAAGAGAAATTGAAAAAAATGATGAATATTACAAAACGAAATTTTTGTAATATTTAGATACTTTGAATACTTAATTATAATTTGTTATGTACAAAAAAAATTAAATTTAGTTTACAATATTTAAAATCATAATAGATTAAAATAATTGATTTATATCTTAAAGCTTTTGTAATATTGAACCTAGATTACAATGCACTCGAATGGTCGAAAAACTCTTTGACGACGATCGAGTGGAACATGACAATCTGCAAAAAAAAACAAAATTTATTTTATAAAATAATATTTAATTATATTTATTAATTAATATTAACAAAATTTTCTGTGCATTAAAATAATAGAAATTAAAAAATAGTTACTTTTTTCACAGTTTAAACCATAAAATCCAGTACCCTGACAGCTACATTTATATTTAGGTGGTACTGAGATTTGTAAACATGCACCTGCATTGCATGGATTAGAAGAACATTTGTTTTCTTCTCCTATTGAAATGAAAAAAAATCATTTTATTAAATTCATATGGAATTGTTTTAAAAGATTTTTAGTTTGAAAAAATATAACAAAAACTAACAAGAAAATTACATTAATTTTGAAATTAAATTATCATCAATTAATTAATTAAATGAAATTGAAAACTATTAAAGTACCTTTTAAAGCTATTTTACATTGTTCCTGAGTTAAATATCGATACTCCGATTTACAGCCAAATCCACAATTACACTGATTATTAATAATCCTACATGCATTATGCATTTGATCTACTTCACATCCTTTTGCAAAAATTACTGGAAAAAAAAGATCATACTATCAAAGAAGCTACCCTTTCATAGCACATAATGTTCTTATTATATTCCTCCTACGTTGTTAGATCAACAGATATTTTATTCATTCAAATTGATAATATGCAGGAACTGCACTTCCTGCATTTACACTAGTTTCAATAATTGTATTTTAATAATTAAAAAAAATTATTATTAAAAATACTTATTTTGTACAAAATACTTACTTTGTACAAAAATCAAACAAAAATTGATTTAAGTTTATTGATAAATTTAAATTGATTAAAGTAATATAATAAAAATAGAATCGCGATATATTATTATTTTTTATAATTATAATTTTATATTGTACATACCTAATAATAAGATGAGGAAAGCAGTGAATTTTAAAGGCATTTTAATAATTAAAACAAGCTATCAAGCATCTATGATTAAAACGAGATGTCTTCAATGTCGATTAATTTCTGAAAAATATAAATAATAATTAATGTTTATAAATTTTTACATTCACTAATAATCAAAATTGTTTAATCATGTAAATTTATTTCAATTTCAAATTTTGGAAAAAAAATTTAGATATTAATAAACATTTAATCCTAAAATCAATAATTAATAACAATAAATTTGAGTAATTTTAATAAATAATTAATTATATAGGTAGTCATATAATTTTAAATTTATATATCAAAAAAATTTCCAATAAAGTATAGTAAAATGATTTTTAAAAAGCAAGCAAAAATAAAGAAATATATGTATATTAGTTTGAATTATTTTAAACGTATATTTATTTTTAATATACTCTCTGATTTAAAATTAATATATTTTGATTATACATTTTTTTATTAATCAAAGAATTATTTCAATGATGAATAACTATTGAATTTTCAGTAAATAAATAAATACATACCACAGTTTAATGAAATAGAACTAAGCCGAAGGATATATAATATATAATAAGAATACACCACAAGTATCTCGAGACATCTGAACTGTTAGTAAACCACGCGTGGGGTGTCGGCTGTGTGAGTGGATGATAAAAATGGTCTAAAGCCATACACATATGTACATATATATGTATATATCCACGCGAAGGCAATGCACTTTCTTCTTCTTCATCTTCTTCTTCTTTTACGTTCATTTTTATTTTACAATTTTTTCCGTCATTCTTTCCTCTTAAGATATATATATTTAAAAATTATTTTATGCTGATTTTCTTTAGTCATTATTTTTAAAGTTAACTAAAACATTGATTTTTAAATAAATTAATTAAGCAATTTATTTAATTTTAAAGAAAAATGTTTATTTTAAAATTAAATAAATTGAAAATATTTATTTGAATAAAATTAAAATATAAATTCTAGATAAAATTATTATATATATAAATATATACTTTTGTCATGTTATCAAAACCCCGTTATCAACGACGGATATTAGGATAGATGATAACATTTGACATTACAGTGAATGGAATGTTGGGAGAAAAATACTACTTTAATGAATATTAAGTATGTCACATATAAATAAATATGTGTCTGTGTTCTGCAATTGCAGCAAAAATTCCTAAAAAAAATCTTTGATTAGAATAGCTGAAATAAAACTGAACTTGAATGAAGGTGAAATTAAAATAAACTAATTACTCAAATAACATAATATTTTGTATATATATTTTCAAAAAAGTAAAAAATCAAATGGACGGAATTATAAGCAAATTAATTATAAAAAATGAAAATATTTGTATCATTTTTCCTACCCTTTTGTTTTAAAGAAAGGTGTAAATTAGAAACCTTTGTGTTAGCAATATAATCTAATAACATGATTATAAAATATGCTTATAATATTTTTCTTACAATAAAGTCAATAATAAACTTTATTTACATTATTTTTTTAATACTTATCCAAATGCGAATAAAATTTTCAAATTTTTCCCACTTTTTTTTGGTTAAGAATTTCTAAGATTATTTCTGCATCAATTATTGCTGCAAAATGAATTCTGCAATGTAGTCATATTCTAAAAAAGAGTATGTTTTTCATATATGAAAACTGATATCAAGTTTTTTATGATAAAAACAGTAAATATATCTTACATGAATGTTTGATTATGTTGTTCATGTATTATTGTTGATCTTCGAGATTGAACAATTCCTGATTGTCTAATTTCTCTCAAAAGACTATCTTTCTCTTGTTCTAAAATTGCAATTCGTTGAGATTTTTTACTTACTTCCTGTAAAAAAAACCAAAAGACAATTCGAGATAAACTGAATTTAAGAAAGAATTTAATTTTTATTTTGAAATTTACCTCAGTTAATTTTTGATTTTGTTGCTTTAATCTAGAGACAATATTTTGATTCATTTGAGCATTGCTACTCAAAAAAATATGAAACGATAGACCGCCACGTTCCCAACTACTTATCAATGCTGCTAAATGTCGATTAACTTCAAGAACTCTTGCTCTTTGTAATTCTAAACGCTCTTGTTGAGCTTCCGTCCATTGTTCCTGTAATTCATATTTTGTTAATTTGAAAAATTTTAATCTCCTTATATATATATATAATTAAAAATCATACCACATGAGAGCCCATTTGACCGAGATGTTTAATTTTTTCCTGTGTTACTGATATTTGTTTTAAATACCATTCTCTTGTTTTTTCAACAGCAGCGAGACCTTGTAGTAAAACATCTTTTTCTTGTTCAATTTGTTTCATTCTTTTCATCTACGATTATTAAAAAAAAAAAATTAATTATTAAGTTCTAAATATTTAATTAAATAGGAAAGAATAATTCAAGTGTAATTACCATATTATAATCAATTCCATTTTGCAATGTATGTCGTCTTGGTTCTCTACGTCTGTTTAATGCTTTTTTTGCATTAATATCAATATCATTATTTTGCAATTCAACTATTTTCTCATCACCCAAATTTGAAACATGCCTTAATAAAGATCTTGATTCTGTATGATATCTATCATTCAATGGACGTTTATCTAATTTATCATCACTCATTAATAAATTCATTTGCCAATTTTGTAGAGCTGTACGAATTTCCGATTTATCAAAATTTCTATCAGTATTTAAAGTTCTTCCATCGAGAATAGGATTTGGACGTGATGTTTTTGATAAACCATAAGGTTTTGTTGATGTTTTTTGTTGATGATCATGGGAAATTCGTGAATCTAAATTTTCAAATTGTGAATTTCTTTCTTTTTGTCCGGGTAATAATTGAGGCATACTGAGTGTTCGTTGTTGTGATATAACATTGTTAGGTCTAATTGTTGCCGTATTTGGTGAAGACCATGTTGATTTTGTGTCTGTCTCAACAAGTGTTGGTGCAGATGGTGGCCTATTAGGTTGAGAATCGTGCTTTTTGGCATCATTTTCAACTTTTAGATGTAAAAGACATATTTTTAAACCTGCACAAAATCTCTCAAATGATAACATTCCATTTGATGGTGCAACTTTTTTCAAACTTTCTAACACACCTTTGGGAAGGCCCTATTTTTAAATTAATAAATATGATCTTTATTTTACCTTATATTTAAAATACTCTATGGAAATTAGAATAATAAACAGAATAAAACTTTATTTTTAGTAAAATTCAAAAGATTAAAATTTTTAATTTAAAACTAGAGTAGATAAACAATAATTTTAAAATATGAGAAAAAAAATTATTACCTGAGCACCATCATCCTGCCAACGTTCTTCGATATCGGAAAATTTGATAAATCCCGTATTTTGATCATCCATAATATCAAATAAAGTTTTCATTGCAGAAATAAAATTTTTTGGTAAACCATCATAACCAGAAGTTTGTATTCGTGCCATTGTATTTTTGTTTACAATATTTTAGTTATTTAATGTTAAAAAAATATACTTTTTACAGTCTTCTTTTACATAAATATATGTATTTTTTATTGAAAATTGTATAAACTAATATATCACAATAATATTTACAATTATAACCAAACTGTCAAACATGGTTAATAAAGGTACTTTTACAGTTACTTTCACATTTATTTGAAGTAAAACATCCGAAGTATGACATCTGTTGTGAAATCCCCTTTATCCTTTATTTTAGATGTTTTACATTAAATAACGTCTCATCTCTGCTTTATGGTTGTTTTTTTGTTGTTGCTGGTTGTTGCTTATACAAAATGGCGTTCCATTGACGAGTGGTGTTTTATTACTCACGAAAAGTGTATAATATATTTAATTTTGGTGAATTTATGACATTATAAATATAAAACTGCAACAATTTATTCAACATGGGGTAAGTAGAGATAACAATTATATATTATTAATAATACACACTTTGTTTTGATACTTATTAACATGTATTTGAACGTCATGTATATTTAAAAAAAAATATTACATTGTACAATTAATTTTATATACATTTTGCTCTAGTCTGAAAAGTATAGTTAATTTATAAATAAAAATGTATATATTTTTTTAAAGAAATTTTTGCATTTGGAATATTAAACATTAAAGAAATTGACTAATTTATATTTTACAATTTCGTTAATTTTACTTAAATCATATTATAGTTCTTCGGATATGGAAAATACAGACATGAAAAAGGATGTCATGGAAGTGAATTCTGACTTGGAGATATTTAACGACCAGAAGAAAAAAAAGAAAAGAAAACATAAGCATCACAAACATAAAAGGGACAAAATTTTGGAAAAAGAAGACGTAAAGATTGATAAACAAGATAGGTGAGTATTTTTTTTTTTAAACATCTTTTATTGAATGTAGATCAGTTTCTTATTTTTTCTTTTATATCAGAAAGAAACACAGAAAACACAGACGTTCTAGAAAGACAAAAGAAGAGGAAAATGGAATTACAGAAATGAAAATAGTAAACCAACAAGTAGGTACAAAATTTTCCAATGTAAATGGAAAAGAAGAAGCATGTTTAGAAGTATTAACAACCGAAGAAAGTGATGAAGAAAAACTCGTTGATTTGGATTCAGATGAAGTTGATTGCACAATTATTGAAGATGATATCGATTTAGAAGAATTAATGAAACAAAAGGTTAGTGAATTATTATTTATTTTATTTATTAGAATTCCATATTATTTACTATATTGCAGGAACGACTTCAAGCTTGTTTAGTACAATATCTATCCGATGAATCGGATAAGGGGAAAATTGTAGATACACCGGATGTAATACTTGTAGAGGATGATAGTGCTGATGAAAGTATATCGAAAAAACGTCATAGAAGTAGATCAGATAGTAGAGAACGTAAAAGAATGTTAAAGACTGAAAGGCGTGTTATAGTCGATATGACGAGAGATAGAAGAAGTAGAGAAGATTTTAAAGATAAAAGGCGAGATATTGAGAGAAAAAGAGATGAGAAATCACGAATTAGAGACGATGTGAAGAAAGATGATGTACGAAAAGATGATAAAATACGTAAAATAACTGATAAATCGAAAGATGAGAGAAAAGATGATTTAAGAAAACGTATCGATGACGATAGACGTAAGGAGAATTTAAAGAAAGAAGAATTGCGTAAAAGAGAATTTGACAGAAGGTATGTATTTTAAAATTTATCCTGTAGAAAAATATTTAGACTAATTTTTTTTTCTTTTACAGGGAAGATGATAGAAAAAGAGAAGATCATCATAATTTTAAATCTAGACTTGATTCAAAATCTAGAGATTCAAGAGATGATTCAAGGCATCGAAATATTAAGCGTGATGAACGTCCAAGAACGACAAGTAAAGATTGTGATAAAAGAGAAAGTAGAGATAAATTTATTGGTCGTGATCGACACAGTAGAGAACGATATTTAGGACGTGAGAGAGGTGGTAGTCGTGATAGAGCCGAAAATCGACGAGACATTAGAAATCATGACCGAATAAGAGATCGTTCAAGAAGTACAAGAAGATCTCGTAGTCCAATTAGAGGTCGATCTGATCGTGATCGCAATGATCGATACAGAAGATCAAGATCCACATCTAGAGGACGTAAAGATAAGGATCGTTACAGTAAAGATCATGATCGTGATAGAGATAGAAATGGAAAAAAAGAACGTAGCGATAAATATAAAGATTCACTATCAGAGGGACTTAAAGTTGAGCGATCAGAAAGTTCAAGTGAAGAAGAAATTAAAGATATTGATATTGAGGAAGAAGAAGATGAGGAAATTATCATTGAGAGAAGAAGAAAGCAAAGGGAAGAATTATTAAAGGTAAACGTTTATAAATAATTTATATTTTTCTAAAAGTTAAAATAAATTTTTGTTTCTTTTTACAGAGACTAGGCGGACCAAATGAAGATTCTAATCTTTCTACTGATATGAACACAACGACAGTGACACCAAGATCAGAAGTTCAGTCTAATATGTCGCCAAAATCTGTTGATGTTACTTCTAATAATAACGGTTCTACCTCAGAAAGTCATACGCCACCATTGCCACAAAAAGTGAAATCTCCCGAAAATGTGAAGAAACGAAAATCAAGATTTGAAAGTGTTGAAAATAGACAAGAGGAAAGTGTTGCAAAAACTAAAACTGACGATAAACAAAATTCTAAAAAATCTAACGAATGGGATATGTTTGCCGAAGTGGATAATATTGGTGACTTTAATGTAAGTTTTTAAATATTTTTTTCTGAATTTTGAAATTAAAATTTTCTATATCTAATTTTTTATATTATAGAGTCCAACTGTTGAAGGAAAACGTCATGGTGGTCCAGATAATCCAAGTCTTACGGATAATTGGGATGATGCTGAAGGTTATTATAGGTAAGTGAGAAAAATTTTAAATTGCTAAGGCAGTGTTAAATATTAATAATTTTTTTTAGGGTTCGTGTTGGTGAATCTTTAGACTCTCGTTACGTTGTTTATGGATATACAGGTCAAGGAGTATTTAGTAACGTCGTAAGAGCAAGAGACAATGCTAGAGGAGGTCTTGACGTTGCAGTAAAAATTATTAGAAACAATGAAATAATGTAAGTTTTTACTGACGATTATATTTTATTTATATCTATTTTATTGAATTTTAATTAACTATTAATTGAACTAACAGAATAAATGATTTTTCTTTTTAATTTCTACAGGCATAGAACGGGTTTGAAAGAATTGGAAATTCTAAGGAAACTCAATGATGCTGATCCTGAAGATCGATTCCATTGTTTACGCTTATTCAGACACTTCTTCCACAAAAACCATTTGTGTATGGTTTTTGAACCATTAGCTATGAATTTAAGAGAGGTATGTTATTTGATTATTATTATAATTATTTATTTTTTACGTAAATACATAATTAAATTTTTTGTTGACAGGTATTAAAAAAATATGGTAAGGATGTAGGTCTACATGTTAAAGCGGTAAGGTCTTACACTCAGCAGTTGTTTTTAGCATTGAAATTGTTAAAACGGGCAAATATATTGCATGCCGATATCAAACCAGATAATATTCTAGTCAGTGAAAGCAAATTAGTGTTGAAATTATGTGACTTTGGTTCAGCATCACATGCACATGAAAATGAAATAACACCATACCTTGTATCAAGATTTTATCGTGCTCCCGAAATTAGTAAGTATAAACTAAAAACTTTAAAGAGAAAATTTTCATATTTCAATCATTTTATAAAAGTAAGTTATTTTTTTTTATTTTTAGTTCTTGGCATACCATATGATTTTGGTATTGATATGTGGTCAGTGGGTTGTACTATTTATGAATTGTACACTGGAAAAATAATGTTTTCGGGAAAAACAAATAATCAAATGTTAAAATTTTTTATGGACCTTAAGGGAAAAATGCCTAATAAAGTAATTAGAAAAGGTTCATTCAAGGATCAACATTTTGACACCAACTGCAATTTCCTCTATCATGAAGTTGATAAAGTTACTGAGCGGGTAAGTTATTTTATCTATATAAATATTTCCATCTCTACTCTCAAAAATTATTATTGGTAAGTGTTATATACTTTTTTTAAATCAAATCTTAATATATAAATATTTAATTTAAATTCGAGCTTAAAAAAATATCGTCTTTATAGGAAAAGATTGTAATAATGTCCACATTACCAGCTTCGCGTGATCTCAATACAGAATTAGGTGGAAATTCATTGCCATCAGAACAGAGTCGAAAGGTATCACAGCTTAAAGATCTATTGGAACGGACACTAATGTTAGATGCTGGGAAGAGAATTACAGTGAATCATGCTTTGGCTCATCCTTTTATACAAGAAAAGATCTAGGTAACCAAGAAAAAGCAGGCACCTACCGCGATGGAATTTCATTATTAATTTAAACAATAATAATAATTTTGCCTAATTTTTCATCAGTGCTGTTGTTAAAACTTCGTGATGAGCACAATAAGCTTGATTCATGCAAAAAAAAATTCAATATCATTCACACGAGAATATCTGCGTAATTTGGCGAGAAAAATAAGCTAAGGGGTTAAGAGACATTTAACAAATAATTGAAATTACTAGTAGTACTCTTTCCCTCATAACCAGTAGCTAAGGTGCGCAATATTAACTACTGGTTAATAGACCTTTCTTTATTTCTGCCTTATTATCGCAGTTCCCAAATGGAGTAAATGGCATAATGATAAATAATGTTTTTTTCAAAGAAAACGTCAAAAAAAAAAAAAAAAAAAAATATGACGTTTTACTTGATATGGATGTTTTTTTGTAAACCTCTGTACTACGATAACATATTAGCGATTATACATTTTTTGGTAATTTAATTCTTATTTTGAGATAAATTTAAATATCTCTTGGAAAGAAAATTGTAAATTATTACGTTTTAATTAATTGAAAATTAAAAGACGTATCAGTCTTATAATACACATTTGTTTTGTTTATTTTTTTTCGTTCTACGGTAAGTCAATTAAGTATAAATTAATTATTATGAATTTATTCTTTTGAAATTTAGCGACAATTTATTTGGTGTAATTTAAGGAGTCAAATTTTGTATAGTTAATAGGACTACAGTTGAAATAAAAAAAAAACAACACAGATTAAATGAAAGTATTCTCGTTGAGTTTTGAGAAGAAGAAAACAAAAAACCTTCGGCTTAAAATAATAATTTTTTTTCAGGGCTTGTCTTTTTATATTTATTATTAATTTCTTTTTAATTATTAATAATCACAATAGTTCTTGGTTGCAATTAACACCAAAATATTTGAAAAAATTTCTTGGTGATATTTGCATTATTTTTTTTAGCGAGGGAAGGGAATTATTTTTTTGGAGAAAATTTTGACAAGATTATACGAGGCTGCTTATGTTTCAGATGTGTCATCGTTTCAAAATTCAGCGATAAGTGATGGGTGGACTTTAAAACAATGGCCCTTTTAGCACTGTTCCGGTTGCAAGGTTACATGTTACTTTTTCACTCGACGTTATAATATGCTAATGCTCCTTTGTCCATTGTTTATTTTAAAGTGTAGAATTATTTTATATATTAATTAATTTTCTACTGAAAAAAGTATTTGATTTAAAAAATTATTTCGTAATTAATAAGGTTCAAATGACGGCAATAAAGAAATAAATTTTTTTTTTAATAACCATTTTAATTTTAGTTAATCACAAAAAAAGGAAAATACAAAATATTAAGTTCTTGTTTAAATTAAAAAATTAAAATTCAAAATAATAATTTGGATTTTTAAACAGAAAATAATAAAGAACAAACACTGTCGAAATTGATGTCATTATTCTAATTGACAATTTTGGTAATGTTTCACTTGTAGTCCTCTTTGTGAGGAGGTGAGGCAGTTGGAAGAGATGATGATGATGATGGATTCAATCTGAAGTCAACATCTACAACTTTGAAGTCATCAGTCTAATTCAGCTTCAAATCAACAGAGATTCAATAAACTAAATTGATGACTCGTCTAAGGTTTTATAATCAAAGTTTGGCACTTTAAACAGTAAGTAAGTTTATGACCACGAGTAGGTAAGGTGGTATGTACTTATTATTTTAATAATTTATTAATAACAATTTTTAAAACATATTTTTATTAATAAATTACGATTAAATAAAAAAATTACTTTTACTTGTTTAAATACTTAACATTTATTATATTTTTGTTATATTAAAATTAAAATAATTGAAAAAAACTTACTGCTTTTTTACAAAGAGAATTAATTAAACTAATTTCAGATATGGAAGAATCATAACTAGAAACAAATAATGGAGAAGAAGACAATTCAATTGTTTTATATTGAATAATAGATGAATAGAAAGTGTTCAAATAAGTGAATGTAACTTATATGAAAAACAAATTTTTTAAAGTAAAATTGAGAATAATTGATAATAAGGCGAATTAAAATTTATATAACATTTATTATAGACTATATATGGAACAATTTGTTAATAATGTTCATTTAATTTTATTTGGATTAAAAAATCCATTATCTTGTACAATTTTTCTTTAAGAATGGAATCTTCTGTGGAATATTTATTGTGTATATAAATTCAATTTTTTTTCAACATATTTTTTTAAAGGTTGTATATATACCCTGCGAGTCAATCAATTATAAAATAGATATATGAAAATAAATTAATGAATTTAATCTCGTTCAGGATAATATTGTATTAAAATTTTTGCTATTTTCTGAGCAAGTGACATAGTTGATGCGCACAATACTCTTCTGCTCATAACATCAAATGTCCCGCCTGAAAAGAAATTATATGTTATATATAATTTTGTACAAATTAAATTGATTAAATTTAATATTTTTTAAAATAAATAATCTAGTAATATTTATCTCAACAAAAAAATTACCCGCAGGATCAATACAGACACCACCAGCTTCTCTGACTATAAGATCTCCAGCAGCAATATCCCAAGCGTGAATTCCAAATTCATAATTAATATCAGCAGCTCCCATAGCAACCATACACATATTTAGTGCTGCTGAACCTAAAGCTCGAGTCCTATAGAATATAAATTATACATTTTATTTTTTTCTTTTTCTCTTTGAATATTATGTTCGAATTTATTAATTATTTGTTTGAAAAATAATATTTAATGGTACAAAAAATTGAAAAGTATTTAAAATAAAATGTAACATTTTAATCTAATTCGGCATTAAATAAATAGCGTTGCATCTTATTTTAATACTTCATAATTTTTTGGGAGAAATAATTTCGAAAATTACCCATGGATAAGAGGCGTTAATTTAGTAATATTTTCTATAAGAACTTTCGTCTTTTCAGGATCTCTGCTAGTTCCCATTTCCATCATAATTAATGCATTTTGCAGTTCTAAAAAAAATTATTTTAATCCAATTTGGCATTAAAATAATAGTTGTATCTTATTTTAATACTTTATAATTTTCTGTGATTATACCTGTTTCTTTAGAAACATTAATCGCTTTTCCATTTAAGAATGCTCCTTTTCCTTTTCTAGCTGTAAATTGTTGATCCAAAATTGGATTGTAAATGATTCCTATTTCAGCTGTTTTATCAATCAATAATGCAATTGAAATACAAACATGTGGAAAACTATGCACAAAATTCATAGTACCATCTATTGGATCTATAATCCATGTTGGATCATCAGTTAATTCTATTTTATTGTTTGTTTCTGCCGTAGTTTCCTCACCAATAAATCTAAAAAATCCATAAATTATAAACTTATTAGAATTTTGATAATTTCAGATACATTAAGATATTTTTTTTCAAATCATACTTATGATCGGGAAATTTTGCAGATATACCATCCATCAAAAGTCTTTCAACCTGACGATCACTTTCTGTTACTAAGTCAACATCGCAAGATTTAGTTAAAACATTCTTTTGTCTGTTGATATTATTTTTGATGAGCTGAAAAATAATAGGTAAAGAAATGGATTTAATCGATTTAAAACCTTATACTGTTATGACAGTACATTATATATGAGACAGTAGGAACCCTTTTTTCTTCATATATAGGAAAAATAGAGTGTCATTAAGTATTGTCATATTTTTAAAAAATAAAACTCATTTTACTATGACACGGCTATTAATTATTATTATTTAAACATCTAATCTTTTTATTACTGTTAATAAATGAAAAGAATCTTACCATTCCAGCTTCATTTACAAGTTGAATAACTGTTTCATAATATTCATCGGTATTTATCATTTTTTTAAATTATTTATTATTTATAGTCACTTCTTTTTTAAAATCGAAAGAATTGTAACAAAATAATCAAAAATATATCATATAAACAAAATTTATCATCAATAAGAGTAGAAAGATGTAATGTAGTAGTCCGATGATATCAAATATTATCTAACTCAAGTTACGAGTTGAACGAACTTCACTAAAACAACTTTCTCAGCTATATACAAGCAGGCAGTATCTGTTTATGTCTTTTAAGCTCACACTGAATATTTTTTGTTACCTGGAGAAAGCTTTAACCATTTGTGAAGACATATAAAAAAAGTAAGTGATGCGCAAACTCAAAGTCTATAATCTAAATCTCACACAAAGCGCATGTACGTACGTATTTATGTTAATTTTTCAAAATTTGAAAACGTGGAAAATGAATTTTGAAAAATTAAAAAAAAGGAAATTTCATTTTTAAATGTTATATTTTCTCTAACAGGATCCGGATGATCCGGATATTCAGGATGTCCTAGGGTTATTTTTTGTCCACGGATATTCAATAGATGTCCTAGGGATATTTTTTGTCCACGAATATTCCTAGGACATCTTAGGGACGTCCACAGCAGAATATCCTAGTATCCGTTACTGTGAGGGTGAGGGTATAAGTAATAAGAAAGACATTTATTTTTTAAAACAACAATAAATTTTATTTATTTCTCAACGTATACAATATACATTAACATTATTTTATATTCGCATCAAATAAAATGTATATATAGATTCGCATTTTCTTATGTTTTATATATAATAATAGTATATATCACACCTACTTAATATTAATGATATGTATATTGTTTCTTATCACACTTTTCATGGCAATTACATATATTATTATAATAACTATAATTATATATTTCATAAAATATACACTGAATGTAACATATTTTACATATCATATATTCTTGCACGAGTATTATTTAATTATTGTGGTGCGAAACGTCTGTAATATTACAGTGTAATATTCATGCAAGGTTGATAATTTATTATTCTTATTAAATAATCAGACCTAGAATATAATAACCTCTATTATATTTTTTGTATTTAATAATTTTCTTCTTGATTTAAAAGTATTATTTATTTTTGTAATATAATAAACTCACACAGCAAAAAATATTAGGTTATCATAAGCTTTTATACTAATTTGAATTTAGCGCAATTGATCACGTGACACGAAGATGGCGCTCATAGTGTTCGCTAACGTAAATACTAAACATCACGTCAAAAATGATTATATTTTGTTTCGTCGAATATATTTATAAATATATCAAGATTTAAATTGAACAATTAATTATGATTAATATGTTGAAATTATATTAATATAATTCAATTGCTTGTTGACGTTAAACAATTATTTCCAGGACTTTGTTAGTACACATTGCCGGGGTAAGCACGTGTGTTGTTATCATTTTTCTATATTTCATAATCCCATTTCTATAGATGAAAGTATAGATTATTATTAATATACATTCTTTTCGTGTGCTGATTAAAAATATGATTATATATTTTTATCTACAAAATATTAATTTTGTAGTATAAATTCCTAACCTCAAAAGTTTCTGTCAAATGATGTATTATATATATAAACTTATGATAACCTTTTACTTCAATATATGTTGTGCTATGTGAGAAAACGATTATATAACACACTTATATCAAATAAAAAATTAAATATTCTTGATTCGAGAATAATAATTATTCTAGGTTTGTGTATATTATAAGAAATATCCTTTTTTTGTTTCTTCAGTGTGTAGTACAACTACTTAAAATATGAATCAGCCGCATATATATGTAAGCATGTAGCTGTATATTCAATCCATAGAAATATTATGCGCGTATACTCTCATAATTTTGGTTAGTTTGCGAAAAAATTAGAGAAATTGTATTTATTTGTGACGCGCTGAAGAAAGGGACTTGAAAGCAAACAATTGTTTTTTGATAGGAATAAAAATACACAGAGAGGATCAACTCTCAATATAAACCATTGAGTCTTCATTACATCCAAAATAAAAACAAATTTTCATTTTACATAATTAAAACGTACTTTTTTATAAAATTGTCATAAACATAACCTATAATTTTTTTTATTTCTCTTAATAAAACGCGTCACACATATAAATAACTGCGAATTAGCAAAATTTTTACTGATTCATATTATATTTAAATCGAATAAGTGCGTATAACAATTACTTTCTTTTTATATCGAAGATATTTTGATATTATGATTCCACATGTTATATACTATAAATATAAGAGTATATCGATGCAAAATTCGTGTCTCAATCACCACATGTGGAACCAAGTTGTCGAGTCGTTGTGCTTTTCTAATTCTCTTTTTATTTCAGTTTAATTTACTGTATAACTTTCATATGCAGTATATGTGTGAATAACTAGTAAACACACATTACAATTATATGTTTGGAAGCGAAAATTTATTATTCTAAGTCTTTTTTGTTATATTTTCTAGAGATGTGCAACATCAAAAAAGATATTTTTGTGGTTTTTTATATAGGAAACAAACTTCATTAACTTTAGCATACACCATGCCCCTGTTTAATATCTTTTTCTCGCTTTTACCTGCTTATCAGGATGTATTTCTTTTATAGAGAAATTTTAATTAATCATCTTTCATTCATGATTTAATAAATTCATTTTTTTAACACTTTGTATATTTTATAATATGTACATGTTGGCTCAATCATTTTTTTTTTACTTTTCAGATATGACCACCTGATTTATCAAAAAAAGAAGAAATAGGACCTTTTAGTGGAGTCTTCTCTATATGCAAAAATCAGGCAGACATAAGAAAAATTTTGACTTAAACTCTGGAGAAATATTTTAAAAATGAAAAGGTGTTGAGTTGCGTCATTGGTAAGTTATTATTTCCTATACAATTAAAATTCAAATGCAAAATGCATTTGAACTTTTATACTCAATTTTTGAGACTGATGACATAATATATTTGTGGCATAGCTGGTATATAGTACCCATAAATATAAATGCAACTTAAATTTAAAAGTTGCAAATATTATTTAAATGAAAATTTCTATATTTTTAATAATACATCACAGAGTGTTTAAAGTGCCCACATAGAGTACAACAATGCACTAAGAAACAAAATTTTCTGTTTTTAAAATAAATCTTTTAAATTTTGATATTTCTCTTTTCATGGAATAGAGAATATTTTGAAAATTTTTGTTTCTTAGTGTAAAATGCAAAGTAAACTACTTATTACTACTTAGCCCCAATTTTTACATAATAAATAATATATATTAAGCGTTTATAATGGTGTTCCAGAATGACGCATAAAAATAAACGCTAGTTCTGTACATTTTTTATTTTTAAATTCTTTAAAACATTCCTTTAATTTTACATTGAAAAGTGTGCGTCATTTTTGCCAATTTTTCTTATATAATTTTAAATAATTTCCTAAAATCGAAAGGACCTCAGTTGTCAAATAAATTTTCCATATATCAGTTAAAAATTTTTTATTCAAACATGGGAAGTAAAATTAGAAAATTAGTAAAATGTATGTATAGTATAAAAATAGCTGATAAGAATCAGCAATTGAAGGAAATATTATATGTATAAATTTTCATATTTTACTTTCTAGGTTTGAATGAATTTTCAATTAGCAATTCAAAAATTCAAAACACTCCTGGAACGCCATTAAATATATAAAAACAAGCTTTAGAAAAAAGCTTTATATATTATCGTTGATTAGGTCTCCTATTATACTTACAAATAACCAGAATTCAATGTTATTTTTGGACTTATTCTGGTCTTTGATAGTAATAAATAATTATTATTGCAAAAAAATAACTGAAATGAACTAATAAACATTTTTTTGGAGGACTAGAAGAAGACATTTTTTTAAGCTTGAGGCCTTAATTGGAATAAAAGATCTACGATACTCTCATCGGCTAGTGTTGAAATATCACCAACATTTCGATCGCCAATAGCAATTTTTCTTAAAACACGACGCATAATTTTTCCAGATCTTGTCTTTGGAAGACCCGGTGCATGTTGAATTACATCCGGTTGAGCAAAAGGACCAATTCTTTCACGAACTGTAGAAAAAAAATTTTTAGTATAATAATTGTAATTTATTATATATTTTTTTTTATTAGTAACATTACCTTTCTTTTTTAATTCATCTTGTAGTTTTTGATCAAACGTAATTTTATCATTTGGAGTAATGAAACAATAGAGACATTGTCCTTTAACTGGATGTGGTTTACTGACAACAGCTGCTTCAGCTACTGATGTGTGTTCAGCTAAAACATTTTCTACTTCTGCTGTTGACATCAAATGTCCCGAAACATTTAACATATCATCTATTCGACCCGTCACCCATAGATAACCATCTGCGTCACGTCTTGCTCCTTATTTAAATAATTTATATATTAAAATTGTTATATAAGGAATATAATACAAAGCAACATAAAAGAGAATACCTACCATCTCCTGTACAGTAGAATCCGTGAAATTTATCAAAATAGGTACTTTGAAAACGATCATGATTTCCATAAAGTGTTCTCATCATTCCTGGCCAAGGCTTTCTGAAAACAAGATAACCTTCACCCTCGCCTTCTATTACGTGTCCATCTTCATCCAGTAATTCTGGCATTACTCCAAAGAAGGGGAATGTCTGAAATTAATATTTAATTAACTTTCAAATAGTTTGACTTTTGAAAAGCAGAAATTGTATTAAAAAGAATAAAAGCGACTCACCGCGGAACCTGGTTTCATTGGTGTTGCTCCTGGAAGTGGTGTTATTACATGACCACCTGTTTCGGTTTGCCAAAAAGTATCTGCTATACTGCATTTTCCATGACCAACTAAATTATAGAACCAGAGCCATGCTTCTGAATTAATTGGTTCTCCTACAGATCCAAGAACCTAAATACATAAAATAAAATTTGTAGCAACAATTGTATGAAAAAAATAGCAAACTAGTAGCAAATCTTACTCTTAAAGAATGCAGATTGTGTTTCTTGACAAGATCATCACCAAACTTCATAAGAGATCTAATTGCTGTTGGAGCTGTGTAAAATTGCGTAACCTTGTATTTGTCAATTATAGACCAGTACCTGTCGTTAGATGGATAAAAAGGAGTGCCTTCAAACTGTTCAGGAAAAAAATTTTTTTTAGCAAACACCTAAAAACAAAAAATATTCTTATGATAAAGAAACACCTACTAATACTGATGTTGCTCCATTAGCTAGAGGACCATAAACAACATATGTATGTCCTGTAATCCAACCAATATCAGCTGTACACCAATAAACATCACCAGGATGATAGTCAAAAACATATTTGAATGTTGTCGCTGCATAAATTAAATAACCACCAGTTGTATGAAGTACACCTTTCGGCTTTCCCGTTGAACCACTGAAAATTAATAAATTCATTGTTTTTCAATTTCGTTTCAATTTTTAACCACCAAAATTTTGTCTATTGTTACAGATTCCTGTCATCTATGTACGAAAGTAGAAAAAATAAAAACCTCGTATATAAAATAAAAAGTGGATCTTCTGCTCCCATCCAAACTGGATAACAACTTGGTTCCACATCCTCCATTTCTTCGTGCCACCAAACATCTTTATCTTCATTCCAAGGTATGGAATTTTCATCAGGTTTACTACCATTATTTTTACTCTCAACGCCATTTTTTTTACCTAAAAATAATTTCAAAATTTAAATGCGCGACTGATGATTACTGAAAGTTCATGTGTCATAAATTTATGTAACAGAATTTACATTCCCTAGGAAATATTCAAATTTCCGTTTGAACAGAATTTCTGTTTATCAAAATTTAAATTTGTTTTATTTTGTTTATTTATTTTATTTATAATAATCTATTAGACAGATTTATGTTCTGTATGATTTTTATTTATTCAAATGCTGCCAAATAGCTTACCACTGTTTTCAACTTTAGAATTACAATTGGTTATCCTTCTTAAATGTGAAACAACTATACATTTTTCAACTTCATGACCATTTAATTTCACTTTCTCTAGAGCTTCATCGCATATTGTTTTTAATAATAAAAGTTTTTCCCCCCTCCATACACCGTCTGCGGTGATTACAACTTTTGCCTTTGAGTCTAAAATTCTTTCTGCTAATGAATCAGATGAATATCCTGCAAACTGAAAATTGTAAACTTTTACTTTATTTCTAATGACGAATTAGGGTAATATTGAAAAAATATTTTAAATATTTTTTTAATGGTGGTTAATAAAAAAAAATATTAATCATCTCACCACTATACTGTGAACAGCACCAATTCTGGTGCAAGCTAACATTGCAATAGGAAGTTCCATAATCATGGGCATGTAAATAGCTACTCGATCGCCTTTTGACACTTCATTAGACTTGAGAACATTGGCAAATTTACAAACTTCCTGTAAGAGTTTTTTATATGTCAAACGAGTATAGTCTTCTGGATTGTTTCCTTCCCTAAAAAGCAATAAAATAAGTAAACAATTTTTCAGGGATTTAATTAATAATAATATGTACCTAGAAGTCATTTTTCAAATTTCATGTTTTTTTTTGTTTTTTTTAACACATAAATACAAATTATGCGGTTTTACTATTCAGCAGTTCGAATGACTTGCGTCTACGCATGAGAATCTTAATTTACATTGTAATTAATGTTCTCAGTGGTTCTTCATTCAATTTAATTCCGAAAAATTTTTTAAAAAATAAAACAATTCGTTACAATAGTGTAAAATGTCAGTTTAATTATTTTTTACATTATTATTTTGTTTTAAAGTTAAAATTATATTTCGGTATAGCAAATCGCCTTCGACTGGGGCAAGTTATCAAAATACTCTAAAACCTTTTTATTTTTTTTTTAAAGTTATACTGGAACATTTTTTTTTTAAAGCTACATAGTTTTTTGCTCGATAAAATTGTAGATGAAATATAAAAATGAAGTTAAAAAAAAGAATGAAAAGTGCACCACTGCACCTACACTTCTCTACAAATAATTACTTAAAAATAAAAAAATACAAATTGTCACAACGAACTCGAAGACTAGAGGTTCATGCATTTGACATTTGTATATATAATTTATTGCGGAGGAAGAGTGTAAATAATTTCAAAAAAAAAAAGAAAAAAAAAACCGTAACTGCACTTATCTCTGTCATTGAAAAAAAATCAGGCAGGTGACTTATTATACATGCAGTTACGGTATTCTTTCTTTATTCGTTATTTATCGTCCGATAATAACAATATCTTACCAATAAAAAGCCACTTTGTCTCCATGGCCATTTTTAACGTTCTTATCCAATAGATTAAAACTTAAATTTGTCGAAGCTCCTTCCATCCATTTAATAAAAATATCACCTTTATTTAAATCAAAATTGTAAGTAAAAAATTTTCCATCTATACTTGGTGTTTCCCAGTAAAATTCTTTTGCTATCTCTCCCCAAAATTGTTCAGGATGCTTGATTGACCTAGAAAAATTTACATCCACACTTCTGTTAATAAATAAACAGTAGAATAAAAATTTAATTTATTTAAATAAAAAAATTATTATATATAAAATTTCTCTGAGGTGACAACAAAATAAATAAATAAAACGAAATAAATAATAATTATATAATAGTTAGAACAGTTAATTTTAATAATTTTATTTTAAATTAATAATAAAATTAAAAACAAAAATTAATTTAATATTTAATAAATATATTTAGGTTGATATTTTTGTTTCTCTCTTGTAAATAAGGAGAGAAAGATTATTTATACCTGAATATAAGAATAATGTAAAATAAAAATAAGTAATAAATCGTTTCGGTTTCTTCCAGGAGGTGCAATGAAACAATTACTCCCTGGGATGTCTCTGTTTTCATCTCGAAGCATTGTGTTAATGTTTGGTGCGTATAGCAGGTCATAACTGGCAACAATACAAATACAAGAATCACAAATACCACAGGGGAAATAATTTTTGAATTTACTTTATATTTGCGATTCGTCCTGTTAGGAAGTGATTATAAATTCATGAACGTCACGTGTTTTGAAAATGCGATAATTCTTTTTTACTGATTAAACAAAAGTGTTATAGCTTCGGGAGTATACGAATTTTTTAAAACCGCGAACGATTGTAGGGTGTTTATTAAAAATATAAGTTTGTTGTAATATTTCAAAAATTTTCATGTTCATTAATTCTTTTTTTCAATTTTAAGCGCCACGTGGTGTCGCGGATTACGGATTGGTATTTTTTTTCTTTTTAATAATAATATTAATTAAATTTTGATGGGACTTAATATAAAAAAAATCTGAAAGATTTTGATAACCGATTTTATGCAATTTTTAAGTTTTTGTTTTTTTATGTTTCAGACTGAAGGACAGGAAGGAGGATGCAGAGAAAGCATGGCCCCTGCATAGAAGAGGGGCCACTGGGGGACTGGTCCAGAAGAGGCGATGCTGCCATCGCTCCGTCGAGGGAATCCGCGATCGGTGAGTCTTTTTTTTGCATACATAGCGACACTATGCATTAATTTCTAAAATCATGTTGGTAAATTAGTATTTTTAATATCAATTAAAAATAATGATTACTTTTAAAAAGAGATTTTTTAAATGTTTACAATTTTTAAAATGAGTTTGGAACTTAATGATATAAAAGTAACGGAACCTATACTTGATAATTGAATATTATTAATTAATAGTTTGATTTAAATTGTTTATAAATTATAAATATGTAATAATTTGTCAGATTCAAAGTTTTTTAAACCGTTGATAATTTTGTCTTATCATTGGGTCCATGACTAAAAACATATAAATATTTTCATTTGGCAAAATCTCGATCGACTATTGGGTCCGTTACGTTACTAATAATTTTTAAAATTAAAGAGTTCTTTTTTCAAATTATAATTTTGAAAAAGATACTTGTGTATGTGAGAATACGGTTATAAGGGATTTTTTCTAAATATAGCTATAGGTAGGCAGAATTTTTTTCGTTGTGTGTGTGAGAGAAAATCGGTTTTTTTAAATATAGCTATAGGTAGGCATGTAAAATGTGTTGTGTGTGAATGTTTATGAATTTAAAGTGTCGCTATGGTTTTTTTATTGTTTACATGTATTGTGTTTTTATTATCTGCTTCAGTGAATTCATCGTGGTAAGAAACAAAATTTGATTTTTACATATAAATATACTAATCAGGTATTTTTTCAGGTTCAGGCTAATTATTTTTTCTATCTTTGTTCAATGAATATTTAATAATTGAAATTAAAGGCTGAAATATGTTTTTATAAATTTTTTAATATTAAGAAATTTTTTTATTGAAAATAATTTTTGAAATTAAATTTTTTGAATAACTTGATAATAATTACCGCGTACTGCTGCAAACTTTGCGCAATCCTTTCGTTTTTCCTTTAAACTGTGTTATTTACTTTTTTTTCTAATAACTGGCACAATTTTAACATATTGTAATTTTTTTTTGCCCTTGAAAATAATTTGAAAGTACTTCACCTATTTTTGACAAGTTAATATTACAGTAAAAAAAAAAGGTGGACCCTTTTATTCCCTTATTCTCTAAATCTGAATTAGTAAAAATTTTAACTCACTTTTTTTTACTACTTCAAAAATGCCGATTTGTTTACTAAATGAATTAGTATTTGTTTGAAATAAATACGCAGCAAACGGAATTGCGCGGATTTTTAAATCGCATTTTTGAAAGTAAATTTTTTTTTCTATAGTGCTTTGAAATGGAAGAAAGTAATGAAAGGTAAGTTTTCGCATATTTTTTTGAATAAATAATACAAAATTATTACTATAAACATTATAATTATTAGGTATTAAATATATAATTATTTACTGATGTTTTTTTACTATTTTAGGTTCAACAGTTTTAAAAAATTATATAATGCCATTTATAAAAAATAAAACTAATGCCATTTTTGGAGTAATATTGTGAGGAGAATCGAGAGTTTAAAACATTGATATAGATTTTTGAGAAATTTTAAAATATTAAACGACCAAGGTAAATTTAAAAAAAAAATATTTTTCAAATTAGAAAGATTAAATTTTTTATATTTATTTGTTCATTAACTACGAAACAAAGTAGCACACATACATATATATACATAACGGCTTAGTGTCACACGGTCAAGGGTTGTCAGAAGATCAATATGCATATATATATACGTTTTTTATTTCTATCGATTTTTTTTCAATACAAATATAAATAAGAAAAATGTTATAAATTTTTATATATCAATATAGAATAATATCAAAATTTATTTCTTATCTATATGAAAGTAAAGAGGAAGTAAATATATTACCGTTTTTCTATTCTAATGTGTTTACTAACAAATCGTATAATTTAAATCATTTTTCATACAAGTATGAATACAAATATGAAGAATAATACTTTTTAATTTTCTATCGATAATTATTAAAAATGTTAAAAACTAAAATTTTATTTATATATTATAAAGAAACTTACTTTTCGTGCATTTCTTTGTACTGTTCCATGCTTTTGCAGTGAGCCTTTCTTACACATTCCTTATTTGGATGATATACCTTATCAGCCATTTTCGTGAGGTAAATCCAATTCTTCGTAGATTCTTTAAATATTAAATTTTGAATATAGCAGCAGTAGGATTAATAAAATTTATTATTGAGGGATAAATTATTAATTAATATTTTTAAAAACTAATGAAAGGGAGAAAAATAAATTTAACTATATAATTCAGGTGTTGGTTTTTGTCTTTCTATATAGACGAAGTTAGCTGATGTAATGTCAATTGTAAAGTTACACAGATAGATAACAATTGTTGGAAATTTTTTTTTATCAATTATTATAATAGTCCTATTTCTCCAAGTATTTGAGTCTAGTTTTCATCGATATAAACGGACAAAAGTTGAATAAAAACGTATTGTAAAATCACGAACTATAACGAACTGCGAATCGCGGATGACTGGGACGAGGTCGATTACGTACAACTTCTTCTACTACTGTGACCTGTGACCTGCGACCTGTAACCTAACCTGCACGCTTTACAATTGACAATATGTGTGTAAAATGAATAGCACTTTGTAGCAGTTACAACAGAATACAGTTGCTACTGCAATGTGTGCAACTGATGCTGTTATATTATATTATGTTGTAAATTTCAAAAGTTATAAATAAACTCCCATTTATTAATTATTATTTTGTTCACAATTATTTCATCAAAACTTCACTTTTAACCAATTTTAACTGAATTTAACATCTACAATCTATAGAATAACAAAATTTTGCGAAAATCACATTCCTTTATTCTGTACACCAGCTTTTATAACTCAAACAACCGATCAATAGGCGCGGGCGCAGCTTCAACTTAAATTGAAGTTAAAAATAAAAATTAGTTTCAAAATCAATTATAAACCGATTTTTATAAATTAAAATTCTTTAGATAACTTACTTTTAGAGGTTTCTTGAAAAGTGACAAATCATAATTCAAATCGAACATTTTATTTATTCTATCCATTTAATTTGAATTTAGATATTTTCACAAAAAATGGGTTAAAAATTAAAATATTCAAAGAAAAATAATTAAAAATGTTTTTATAATATGTTTATTATATACTTATTATAATATACATATATTACAATATAATGTTATAACTTTAAGTTATAAAACATATTGCTTTTTAAAACAATTTTAGGAAATTTTGAAAGTGAAACATATTACTCACAATTCAACATTATTTCGGTGCAGAACACATTTATTAATAAACAATATGCCATACATTCACTGCATTATCTACAATTATTTTCAAGATCATTTATTAACGTAATATCAGCATTTTTATATATATATATATTTTTTTTTTCGTCTTTGGTTCATTTGCAGAGGTTTCAGTTTTTCTAGTGTTTACAAAATGTATACGCAAATCTATCTGCCTAAAATATCGTGTACATATATAATTATATATATATATACGACAGATATATATGTCTCTAGATAGATATACATGATTTTATTTACCATTTACCATTCTAACGTTTTTTTTTTATTTTTTTTTTTAAGGCTTTAGGTTCTTTGGAGCAATTATCCTGATTGTGAACTGCATTTTATATATATAATTTTCCGAAAGTTAAACATTATACATATAAGTGTTTGTTTTTTCGCTTTTCAACTTTTTTTTTTATTATTATTTCAAGTATACATACATATAATTTTCGTTTTTTCGATGAATTTGAAATAGTCCCCTTTTTTCAATAAATATAGTTTAAAAAAATACTTTTATTTTTGAGAAATTCTATTGGCATTTGTTATAAATATAATAACATTATAGAAACAAAAGATAAATTGTTTAATTAAAATGAATCACTTCTCATTTAAAAGCGACTATTTCAAATTTAAATTTAAACGAGTTAGTTCAATTAAACAATTAATATTGTAATACAAAATACATTGACCGTTTTAGCACGTCAACAGAGTCAATAATGTTTAATATTATTTTATTTTGTTTTATACATATTTTGGGACATTATAATAGGTATAATGAATTTCACAAAAATTTATATAAATTATAAATTCATCCTCACTCCACTGCACCTCTTTTCAATACATACAGAACATATACACCTAATTTTCATACTTTAACATGAGATTATACATATATATATATATTTTAATATAATAATAGTAATAATAATAATAATTACTATATTATTTTTATTAATATTATCATAATTAAGATATTTAATATTTTAGGTTCATTCGTAGCATACTAAACTAATAGTAAATCACAAAAATTTTCTTTTTGGTAATTATATTTTGAAAGTTAAATCCTATATACATATTTATTTTTCGAATCTTAAAAAATACGTAAAAGATACAACATTTAAAGAACGAAGAATATATCATACATCATAAAAGAAATTTCCTTAATATTTTCTAAAGGTATTTGGAATCTGAAATTTTGCAGGTAAAGATTGAAAATCAACTTTAGAAAATGTTTATAAAAATATTCTTGTGTGCTGTATGTTTCAATTCTTCCACCAAAATTAGTGAGCCATTTCAAATTTTGAAAATCTAACTTGACATTCGTATATTTAGCGATCATCATTTCAAAAATATGCTTAATAAATTGTGTTTTCAATTTTAATAATCTGATATCAAATTTCTATTGAGTAAATTAAAAAATTGGTTAAAATTATTCAAAATTTTCCTTCATTGGCACTTTTTTGTACGTATACATACAGTTATGCATTTTGCCATATTTAAAAAAGAAAATTTTTTTAACAAAATTATATGATGTAGTAAAAATACACTAAAAGATAAAAAGTTGATTTATTATACCTAAAACATGTTCAATTTCGTAAATTTTTAATGCGGAGACTCATCCTTAATAAATAATGAGCTTTTTTTTATTAATAAAAAGTTATAATTTCAGATTATTTGGATTTATATACTGTAAAATATCTATTTAAAATTTATATTTTTATCATTTGCAATATATTTTTTTTATTACGATTGTCATGATGGATAAAAGCCTTTCAGACGATTTTCCAAACGCATCAGTCGTTCTTAATATTAAGGACACTTAACTTTTTAATTGCCTTTTTTTAAAAAATAATCACATTTACCACATATATATATAGGAGTAGTAGATATATATAGTCGTAAGAATATAATCGACAAAAGATAAATATATATTTATATATTGGTAGCAATATATTCTATTAATTTAAGTAAATGTATATAGATATGTAGATAAATAGATATGGGCATATAGAATTGATATAATTTGCACACCTCTGTAGTATTTTTTGTGTATAAAACTTATATCTTTGGTTTTTTCATATCAATATATGTTATAATTCTTTAGGATTAATCGCAAGAAACCCCAAAATTTTTTAGGTACTTTTAGTAAAAATTACGAAGTTTTGTATATTAATTATATTCATAACTACTATTGAGCCTGAGCGATTAGTTATAATTATTATATTCGCAATTAAAAATACATTTTTTTAATAATAAAATTTTTTAATATTTTACATAAAAAAAATAAAATTCTTAATTTTTATTCAATAAGAAATGACCCCGGACAAAATATATTGAAGGAAAGGTTTCGGTGAAATTTCTTGTAACTTATCATTAAAAACAATGTACAGAGGGCCACGAATGAATTTTGTTTTAGAAGATGAAAAACTAAAAAGTAGGAAGTTACAAAAAATTTAATAAAAATTTTTTTCCAATATATTTTGTGCGATGTCTTTTTAATATCAGTTAAACTTAACAAAAGTAATTTTAAAAAAATTTTGCTTTTAACGTACCAAAATTAATAGATCGATAAAAGTTTTAGGAACTAATTTTTTCCCTTTACCTACGACTAAATCAATATGATATAATATACTTATTGTCAGTGTAGTAATAAATTTAATAACTACGATTAAAATAAGCTCAAAAACGTCAAAAAAAAAGATTAATTAAACAAATAGCTCAGTCTCTATTTGTACAATAATTACATGTAAAGATTATTTACTTTCTCACATATTTATGTAGTTACACATACAACGAATTTATACTAAAAGACGCTGAAAAAAATTATTTTTGATGGCTGTTATTTAAATAAATTTTTTTTCAAACTATGTAAAAATTAGTGGAAGAAAAATTTATTTAAAAGTTTTGAAAATGCACTCTTTCATGTTGAATATATGTATTTTTTTGTATTTGTATTATTATTAATATTAATTAATAATTAATTTGGATTCTGTTAAATTTTGCACATATTTCCATTTTTTGATGTTTATATTATAATTTGAGTAAATTTTTATGTTTGGTTGTTTTTAAATTATTATTTAAAAAAAATTAACATACGTATACATTATCAGCCGATATGATTCTTTTCAACTAATCTTTGATATGATTTAATTGACGTATCTTGATATAGTTTTATGTCGACAGAATTCATATAATCTTTTAACTGTTTATAGTTTTCTTCTACAATAATGATAACATTTGCTGAATTAACTATATTTTTATTTCAATATTTAAATATGTTTATCTCTTTCATAACCTTTCTGATTTATTGTTTTTTCTCAGCTGCTGTTTTTAATAAAATATTGTGCATTATACAAATTACAATATTTTTATATATTTAGGCAATTAAAAAAATATATATTCATATTAAAAAAAATTATTTTTTTTTAAATACCAACATCAAAAAATGGAAAACTAAAAAAAAGTTTTTTCACCATCTAAATGATATGTGTTTAATGTGAAGAAAAAAAATATTTACATATCTTTTGAGTTTTAGAATCGTTTTACAATATTCTTATTTTAAATTCTATTTGAAAAATGATGTCAAAGTTTATGATTATACAGTGCATTTATATGTATTTATGAGTGTATGTACGTATACAAATTTTGCATACACTATTTGATATAGCTTTAAATATATCTCTGGTAGATAAATAAATCTCTATTTTGCAGGTACAAAAAGCTGTTTGAACTCGTGTGCTAATGCTCGTATATAAGGTTTTCGAGGTCTTTTATATATAAAAATATAATATATATTAGTATATGGTTGAAAAAAATGTAGATTTTTTGAAAATTGTTAACAATTCCAAGAAATTAACTATAATTTTTAAAAATTCGACTTTTTTGAACCACCTCTAGTATACAATATATGTTTATATATATGATAAAGGTCTGTTTATTTCAATTTGGAATATTTCTATATCGTATTATGTATGTACAATTACACCGTCTAATATATTTATAACAGAGTCGAGAAAGAGAAGAATAAAACAGTCATCGACAGAATACCTCATAGAATATCACAGAAGAGGAGTAAATTTGATACTATATATATAATAAGACAATGTCATAAATTCTGACTCTTTCATACACACACACATTCTCTTTCTCTCTCTTTTTTTCTCTACTTATTTGTTTCTATTTTTTCATTAAAATTTTTTTTACTGAAACTGGTACTAAATGACTTTCTGAAGTTTGAATTAATGAAAATTCCTAAAATTTAGTACCTAATTACCATGTATAATATTTTAAAAATTAATTTCTTAATAATAGAGATTGAAAAAATTTGAAGATTGTCAGGAAATTTTTCTTTAAGGAGGCTTGCATAAATTATGTGGTTTATTTTATTAGGCTGAATGTCAAATTATTGTGATAGGGGTTTAAAATTTGAGAATTTTTAAACCAACCACATATTTTATGAAAGTTCCTTAAATATATTGAACAATTTACGTTTCCATTTTGGAAGAACATGTTGTCAATTTATATAAGTTGAGATATAAGTATATATGTACATATATATATATATATCTATTTCATTCATACTTTCATTTTTACTCTCTTTTTTTTACTTTATCAATCTTTTGATTTCAAGTAACCCATTGAGTATAAAAGCTACTTAAAAAAGTATAATGACTAATAATACAGTGATCAATAATACAAACAAGTGAATCTCTTTTTAAGTGTAAATTTTTTGTTTTTAAATATTCTTAAAAATTCAGAACTAGTTATAAAACTTTTCATGAAATGCCTACTTGGTAGTAAAATAGTAATTAATTGATCATTTTCTTCATTAAAACGAAATGCGAATTTTACGGCACTCAAAACACATTAACTTTCAGTGATATAAGCTCGCTTATATCCTATGGCAATTTAATTAAATGTCCAATAAAAAGAGATTCGCTTGTACAGTATTTAGTCATTTTTGAGTAGTTGTTAGTCAAATATAAACTAATTCAAATTTTTCACTTACATTTTTACCGAAATAACAAATTATTTATATACCAACAAAAATTATAAATTTTTGAACGTTTGAAATTTTTGTTTTGTTTTAATTAAAGTATACGTATGTGCTGTGGCACAGGGTCTATGGAGAAATATCGGTCGTAATGAAAACATAATTTTTGTTGAGAGCAAATAGAAAATTTGTAAAGATATAAAAAAAACTTTGGTTCTACAACATTGAATTTTTTAAATGATAATATATCCGAATGTTTTGTAAAATAAATTATTATGTTTTCTATTTGCTCTCATATTCAACGAGTTTTCATTTCTGGACTAAAAGTCAATTATTGTTATACCATACTTTCCTATAAGCTTAAGATTATTAACAAATAATTACATTTCTAATTAGACATTTATCATTTTATCTTCTTGCTTGCGGCATTGGCAGATTTTTCGCCGTCAAATTTAAACTTTCAATTTGATGATTCTCTTATATTGTTCTAAGAATCCGTTAATATATGTATTTCTATAATTACAAAAGTTTAAGAAAAATGGAAGTGTTTCTAATAGAGAACAGACATTGTTTTTTTTATAAGTGATTAATTAAAATCATATTATATACCTTTTGTTTTACGAAAAAAATTATTTTGAAGTATACTTTCACTTACAATAACTCTTTCTCATAAATTAATTTATTTGACTCTTCTTTCTTGAATATATTTTCTTTATCAATTTCTAGGATAGATCCTATAGTCTTTAGTTTATATTTTGCAATTTTGCAAAAAATTCCATTTATATTTATTTCCCAAGAATACCACTTGAGTTATATGTTCACAAAAATGTAAGGATAATTTCACTTACAGTCTTTAGCGTATTCTCATGTCATTAATGAGGGACTGACTCGACTTCTTTCTAAATCCGAGGGCTTAAGACCGTCCAGAGAACAATTGGTACTGTAACAAAAAAGTTGAAAATATTATTAAGTTAAAAAAAAGTATCAATTTTTTTTCAAAATTGTATTCTAAACGTAGATACAAAGTTAAAAATTATTTTTTTTTGCTTTAACCTTCTTATATATTGTTGGCAACAATTAATAAATGATTTTAGTTCTTAATTACATTTATTTAAGTCAGCTAAGCAAAAGCGTAGCTGTTGCACCGCCATAAGCTTTTTCATGCACAGTTACAGATTGATCCAATAATTAAACTTTTGAGGATTATTATATATATATAATGTTTTTAGTAAAAGTACATATGCATATTAAAACGCATCATTAACGCATTTGTGTGAGGTCTGATTGGATCTAATTATTCCAAAATAATATTTTCCTTCTCATTTCCCACCAAAATTTGTTCTTAATATGCATACATTTTAGCTAAAAATGCCAATTATATATATATACATTAACTATATAATAACTGGATATAATTGATACTATAGAACAGAGAATGAAGCTGCAATTAATTTTAAATTTAGCCCATATACAAAAAAAATACAAATTACACATTTAGTGAAATAAAAATGATAAATTCAACAACATATTATGGACACTTGAGTGTCTTTGGCAAAAGCGTGCTTATAAAATGAACTACTTTCGCTTCACATAATTTATTTATTTATAAACGGGACAAGCAACAATACAAAATATGAAATATTATAAGGAATTTTTTATAAATGCAACAGAATTTATAACGCTTTTGCCAAAGACATCCATATATAACTGTATATATTATTTGAATATTTGAGAATTTTAAAAAATTAATATAACATAAAAAATAAAATTTAAGGCTACAGAGAATGTTTCTTTAAAAAATGAATATTTTTTTTCTCTAATGATTTATATCTATAAAGGCTGCCGAAGATAGTCTGTTTATTAAACATTTTTGGGATTTTAATTCTTGGACCCAATAAATTTCCAGTTATTTAAAATATTTTCTAAGAGAAAACTGGAGAGTTGATTTAGAGTACCAAAAAACTACCTAATCTGATAAGAGTGGTTTATTAATTTAATTAAATTAATATTTTGATATTTATAAACTCTCCATTTTTCTTCGTATACTATCTACAACTACTAAGATTATTATTTACTTAAATAAAATTAGAATTTTAAGAAATTACCCCAGTTTGAACATTTGCAATGAAAAGTATAAAAAAGACCACTCATAAAATGTATAGAATTGTGCTTTTCGGTTAAAAATTGAAACTGGAGAATTTTTAAAATAATTAGGACAGAAAAAATTCTCAAGTTTTGATAAATTTAATCGATAGTACAATTTTGTACATTTTGTGTGGGGATAAAAAAATTAGTACACACACATATATATAATAATAGCATAATTATAATAATATAATATATACCCATATAGCACATCTTTCTGGTACAGGACTAGTGTGCAGAAAGTTGTGCTGGTTTCTTGTATATATAATTAGGTATTATATAATTGCATCGCATATATATTATACAGAATATAAATATATTTTACTGTATGTATGTGCATGTGTACATAAATGTATATGTATTTCTGGAATATCTTTGGGGACAAGTTTTGAGAATTAGTGCATCTTTGAAAGAACTTCTTTTTTTTCTCTTTAGTATAGCCTCCTCGTGCATCCGTCTTTACGGTCATTACTTAGCATATAATATGATAGTGGCGTGCTTTAACCATGAGCAGATGCAAACTGCGAGAAGGATGAGAAGAAAGCTACAGAATAAATATATAGGCAAAGATAGAGCAGTATTTTTTTCTTATCGCAGAGTACGAAACAGACATAGAAAGGGCGAAGGAACTCATTGTACTCTTATTTTAATAAAAGTACTCGAGAGAATTGGTTGGCAAAGGAACAGAGAGATCCTTACACTGTAACCAAGGGTCAGTGGGAAGGCTGTCCCGGTGATGGAGAGAGTGTTGGTGGTGGTCCATTGAGGCAGATGGGGGGTAGTTGTCTTACCATGCCGCTAATAGATTGCTGAAGTATTCCCTGTTGTGATGTATTTGATGAGACTGAGGGTCGTCTTGAACCTCGAATACTGTTCATACTCGAGCTCAGAAGGTATGGAACACTGCTACTTGTAATAGGCATTCCACCCTGAAAAAGAAAATAATAATTAAATATGTCTGATGATCAGAAATTTCACAAACATAAAAATAGTCGAGTTTACCGTAGGTGGAGAGAGATTTATGTTTGAACCTCTTCGTTCTTGTGGACCTGTGCTAGAATGTCGTCGTATCGGTAAACCACCTCCTGGTGTACCACCTGGTGAACTTGCGCATGATGGAGCTATGCGAATCTTTGGTGTCATCAATGTGTTGTCTGAGAGACGACGGCATGTAAAAGTATTAGCTACTCTTAGGAAATTGTTGTCGTTCGTAGATGAAGATGAACCAAACCACCAACTTCCAAACATTCCTGAAAGATAAATTTTTATATAAGCAATGTGGAATTAGAGGAATTTTTCTTTTTAGATTTTATAATTTAGTTGATATATCTTACCAGCCATTGAATTTTTTCTTGCCATATTTTCTGCTGATGCAGTCATCGACATAGAACCTTAAACGGATTTAAAATTTTGCATAAGTTATAATTGACATATTTTTTCCAATTTCTATTTCAAACATACCGATTGAATTTTTTCTGGCCATGTCTTCAGCTGATGATGTTTTTCTTTGTTCTATGCGAAGATTAGGAATGTTAAACGGTGGAACGTGCATGTTATCTGTACTGCACTGATGTCTAAGTGGTCGACGCATATCTGCATCCAATTGCAATTTATTTCTTTGATTCCTATTTTAGAAAAGTTGAATGGATAAATTATTTTTCTACTATACCTATATTGATATTTGGTCTTCGTTCCGGGGATAATAATAAATTTCACTTTACCTTTCTATATGATTGAGCATTTCCTGTAGAACATCCAAAAGAAGATTGAAGTTTTCTAACTTTAGTGCTGGGTTTACTGTTTGAGGCAGCAATGATGGCATTACCCGCGTTGCCATAAGATTGACCGATAGGCCGTATTTTTTGTCGCTTAACATTAATCTGTATATGCCTAAGTATCATTTTAGTTAATTTCTAAATGGGGGACTAAAAATTATAGAATTATAGAAAAATTCCTGATAAATTCACTTACTTACTACTCGTACAACAATTTCGGGTTCTTGAAGTTTGACATTCCATAAAAGTGGCATTACATCATCAATAATTTGTTGCTTTTCAAGACGATCGAGAATACTTGCCAATGCTTTCATTAAAATTCTCATGTCCGTTGAATTCTTTTCGAAAGCCATTTTTATTTTTGGTAAAACAGTTCTTCTTATTACCAAATCGTCCAAAAAATGTGTCACATTGGCAATTGCAACAAAAGCAGCGCTCTAAAAATGAAACATTATTTTTTCTTTTTTTCTTGTTTTTCTTAATATTTCAATAATTTAAATATAAACACAAACCTCAACTTGGATTGTTGGACTGTCAAAAGATGTAAAAAGCATCGGCAATACTTCGTCTCTAATTACATCTAATGGCGTTTTTTCTAAAATAATATGTAAATTTTCCAAAAGTATAACAGATCCTTGCGTTGATTTTGGTATAGAGAATAGTGACCTGTTAATTGACATTATTTTTTATTAAAAATGTAAAACTAGGTGTGTCTTTAAAAAGGATTTTTTTTTACCTGAAATTGGGTAGAATAATTTTTTCATATTCGTCTTGAGTACTATTTTGAATAATGTAAAGCATTGGTTGCAAAACAGCCGCAAACACTTCTTGTGATCTCGATTCTTCTTGCAAATAAGGCCAAATATGTTGGTACCAAAGTTTCTGTCAATTTTATAAATTAAAATTAACTTATAACCCAGAATCATAGTGAAAATTTAAACTAGTGTTCTTAAATTTTAACTCACACGTGGAATATAAGGAATAGCTTCTTTAAGAGTTGTTCTATAGAAATGACCTTTTTGTGTTGGGTCCTTCATATTAATGACATCCAAAAATTGCAAGGCATATACAGATGGGTCGCTGAATAGTTATTGAACATGTTAGAATTTAAAAAAAAAATTTTAACAAATTTATGTTCTTCAGGTAAATACGAATAGTTACCTAAAATATTTAATGAGGGTGAGAAGTTGAGCTGTAGGTCGTTGCCTAGATTCTTTTTGCAAAAGCCTCGAGACAGCTTCTTGTAACGGTACAGGTACTCGTGGCAAAATATTATGCACTTGCTCTTCCAACTAAAATATCGATAATATAAATAATTACTATTGATGTAACAATATAAATAATTTGAATAATTTCTACACGTACTGTATCCAGTTGTCGACTATACTCTGAGCAATTATGATTCGCTTGTATTAAAGGACGACCATAATTGAAAATCGCACAAATTACCATTCCAAAACTATACATATCACTGAGAATACTACCTCTTTTAGACAGCTGCACTTCTGGTGCTAAAATAATGTTCTTTTTAAGTATGTTTTGAAAAGTGGAAAAAAAATTGCAAACTTAATTTTAAATATAATTGATAAAATAATAAACATTTTTTTTTAGAAATTAATATACTATATACCCAAGTAATCTAGGTTTGGTTGAGCCATTTTTGAAATTCTGTTTGTCCATTGTGGTAATGGAATAGGCTCTGCAGCATCTTTATCGTTTAATCCACTCTCTGTCATCATGTAAAAATAAATTTTTTTTTCAAGAATTTATTAGAATTAATTAATTCATTAGAAATTAGTTTATTACCTATAAATTCAAAACCAAACAATTTCCATGTTCCCTTTTTCGTAATCATTATGCTACTTGGACAAACATTTCGATGAAGTATTTGACGACTATAATGAAGAAATGATAGTGCTTCTGTTATCTGGAAATTTGATTTTTTGATAATTGCATGTAGAATAATTTGTACTAATTGTATTTATTATTTTATTTGTGTATTCACCTGTAGGAGACCATATTTGATTTCCATATCTAACAATTCATATTCTTTCATGTAAACTTGACGATTATGTTGATGTTGATGCTGATGCTGCTGTTGATTTTGTTGTCCTACAGACGATGTTGACGATTGTGCTAAAGATAATGCTTTTTGTTCCTCGTAAGCTAAAACGTTGGCTAAACTTGCAAGAACTGGTTCAGAAGCAAATGCTAATGTTTCTTGACACTGTTCTGCTGAGTGTATAACCTGAAAATGTTTCAAAAAATTATTTATTTTTACTCCTGATCTTAATCGGCTCCTACATTTTTTTCATGATATATGGCAGTAATTAATATTATTTTTACTTACTTGCAAAATTTTTGGATGTCGAAAACGTTCCAAGTTTTGTACTCCCGCGCGTAATGTTTCCGTAATAGTCTCTTTTCGTTTTGGTTTTGTTAATTTTTCCACAGAACGTTTTTCAAATAAAAATATTGAAACTTCCTATGATGAAAAAAAAATTAAACGTGTAAATTAAATATTATTTAATACAAAAAATAAATTATTGTATTTTTTATTTTAAATCTCAAATCTCTAATGTTGTCTATATATTATAGAGACACACACTTGCTTTTAAATATATGTATTACTATTTTATCTTCACCTTGCCATCACTTTTCCGATATCCCTCGAGAATTTTCCAAACATTTTCTGGTCCGGCAGTCGCAGATTGCTTTCCTATTTCAAAGTGGTTTAATATAGGATTTGATTCCAAAATATTTGGTGCTGTACCACCGCTTTTAAACTTGGAAAACATCGTTCGAGCGCCCATTCACGTTATTTCTTTGAATACACGACAATATTTTTTTATTCTGGAGAATAAAAAAAAAATTTCAAAAACATGAAAGATAATTTTTTTTAAATATAAAATAACTCATAATTATAATAATCAAAATACACAAAAAGAAATAGTTTTATTTTGCACAATTATTATAAGCGGATAAAAGAGTTTATTTGATTCAAATAATCGATTACTTGTCTATTGTCAAATAAATATTTATTTGAACTAATAATTTCTGTATTTGAAATAAGTATATTAAGATATACAGTTGAATAAAAACGATTTGATTCAAATTTATTAAGTTTCAGTTTAATTTAATTAAACAAACATTAAGATTAATTCAAACTTATAAATGCGCACATTGAGAATTTCTTAAAGACTTCCATAAGCTTGCACTGCAAAATTAAAAATATTTAATGCAAAGCTCACGATATATATATTTTTTTTATAAAATTGTTTATTATTATACAGATATTTTTATAACTATATATTATACCTAATATTTTCTGATCTTCAAATTAAATTCTAAAATTTCCTTTGCAAACTATTTATAGATTCAGGAAATTCTCAATGCTGTGTGGGGTAATATTTAACATATAATGTTTGAATTAAACTTCATTTAAGTTTAAATCAAGCATTTAATCAAAACTTATATATTTTGTTTTGAATTAATAAATTTAATTTTCCCTCCCACACGGCACAAGAAATTTTCCAAAAGTTTACTTTGAGACAAACATTAAAATATATTCCCCTGAAAATATCTGTGTAATATTAAAATGTTGAAAAAATTTATATTAATTTAACAGCTTTTTTGTGAATATTGCACAGCAATATTGAGGCAATATATTGTATTGATTTTTCACTAGAGTACAAATTGAATGAATAAACTATTAATTAATCTGAATCGAATATTGCTGTGAAATAATGCCCCAAGCTTACGCTGTACATTAATCAAACAAGACGAAAATGTAATCTCACCTTCCCTGAAAATCGTATTTTTAATCATCAAAATCTTACATCACAATACACATTATATTCATGCAAAAAATTGTACAAAAATAAATATATAATATAATATATTTTTTGAACTTTTATGAAAGTGTAAAAACAAAATAGAATTTTTGTTTTTTAATTTAACTTTTATCTTTTTTCCTCCACTATTAAACTATTATATCACAGTTGGTTGGTTTTATGCAAAACTTTTATCATTTTTTTTATTTTTACTCTATTAGGTATATAAATAACCAACCTTTGTCGATTTAATTAAAAATTATTTCAAATGAAGTTATCAAGGTTTATACACTCTTTGTCATCTCTAATAAGGGCTAAAAATAAATAATAAACAGATGAATAAAAAATATAAATTTTCTAAGTTTTTTCATTTTTTTTTTTCAATTTTATATAGTGTATTATGAAATTATAATATATAAAGTCTCTGTCAATAAGTAAAACATATCCGAGAATTATATATATGTAATACCAATAACAAGTTTAGAGGAACTTATATCAAATCAATTTAGAGTCAATATTACCAACAATAAAGATAATTAAGGAAAATTAATTTTTTTATATAATAATTTATATAACAATTTAATAATTTGTAAAATAAAATTGTTATTATCATGCCAGAAACAATATTCTATAACTATATATCTTATAACATAGAAATACCATACGTTTTTTAATTACAGGAATCTGTGAGCTTTTTCTTTTTCTTTTTTTTTTTTTGAAACGTGCCTATTTCGCCGGTCACACACACGCACACTCACACACACAAACACACGCACACAACTAGAAACGCATATTACACGAAAAAAAGGAACGCGGTGCAAAAATGAAACGCGACTGGCAGGGTCCTTTATCCTGTAAACAGGACTATGCTTTTCCATTTCTGTTAACGCATGCGTCAATTTTGCCCAGGGTAATACGCCTAGCCTGCAGCCTGGTTGCCTGGGAGGAGACCGTCAACTAGCGTAGCTCCCCGATTTCCCTAATTCCCTGTTAAGCATCTAGGTCAAGGTCGAGATTCCTGTCATAATACTAAACTCTCTTCTTGTATACTAAACTCATCAATGCTACCACCGTCCCTCTTAATAATGTATTGCGAATAACGCAGCCAATGACATTAATGCGTTAATTTAATTAATTTGCAAAATGTTTATTTTCCTTTTTTTTAGACAATATATAAACTTTGCATGAAACTCTCATTATAATTGCAAAAAAAGAATAATTAGCATAAATAATCCATAGAAATTAATTTTATTTTTATTACTACTGTCCAGTGGAGAATTCTGGAAATTTATCGCAGGGTAGTAAAACTAATGTTAAAAATTAATAATTATTAAATAAACAATAAAGTAAAAAATTATTTTTATTACTACAGAAACAGTACTGCGTCAGTAGTGAAACTTTTGAAATTTTTGGTAGGGTAGTAAAAATAATGTTAAAAAATAAAGTTTGTACAGAAAAATTATCTTGGCCAAATTGCAATTGAAATTGGAGCTTAAAATTTTCACTAATTTAAATAGATATTGAATGTTTGTTGTAATTAATTTAAAAATAACTTTAAATAATTAAAAACGTCAGGGTACTGATTAAAATAAATTTTGTTTGCTTTATTTAACTCTTTAAATCTTAATTATATGAAAAGTAGATCACCAATATTAGAAAGAACTTTTACTAATTTTTACTTTTTTTTTTGTTTTACCAAAAATTGTAGTAAATTCTTATTAATATGAATAAGTGGTTCATATACAGTTCAAATAATTATTTATTTGATAATAATCAACTGATTATTTGAATCAAATAATTTTTTTTAATGCATTCAATTAAAATATTAATTGAAATATTTATTTTATGCTTTAAATCGTGTTAACGCGAATAATTTGGACACTTGTGATTTTTGCAAATAAATATTATTATATAACTCCTTTATAAAATATATTGAACAAATTGAAGGTCCGACTTCTGCATTTTTTTTATTTTTTAATTCAAAATATATTTTATTTAAATACTGAAGTACTAATAGAAAATGATTTTTTAATTCATAATAAGTCCGTCAATAGACATTTCAAAAATACTTCAAAAAAATGGTGGTTATTTCAAGAAAAAAGCATTATATTTTATAAAATAAGATCATATCCTTGTGGGTCTGACTACTCTCGCTTTTACCTACTTTGAAAGAACCACCAATGCAATTTTATAAAACAATTGGTTCTAAATAAAGTAATTGTTATTATAATAATTATTTCATATTTTGTGTTTTTCTTCAATTTTTATAAACAATCGTATATTTCATCTGATTTTTAATAATAGGTCATTTTGTTCAATAGAAAATTGTTTCTTGTAATTAATATATTAATAAAAATATTATTTATTAAAAGCATTTATTTTGAAATAATTATTATTATATAACGATTAGAACGAATTGTTTTTTAAAGTCGTATTAGTAGTTGTTTTTTAAATTTATATAATTCCAATTCACAAAGCTCTGAACATTTTCTGAAGATTTCTATAAGCTGGCATTGCGAACTTTGAAATGTTTTATGCAAAACTTAGAGGAAATGTTATTGTGAAACTATGAAAATTTCCACATGTAAGGAAATATTTAACACAAAATTTTATCGAACATTACACACTAAAAAAATTATTTAATTTAAATAATCAATTACAAAATAAATATTTATTTGAGTATCAAATTATTTATTATTTAAGTCAATTAAACGGTATTTATTTTATTAAAAACAAATTATTAATTCGATCAGTTAATTTGATTCAAATAAATATTTATTTGTAACAATATTTATAGAATATCAAATATGTATTTTGATTTTTAGTTTACAGTAAGCTTACACATAAAGGTTGCGGTAAGCTTACAAGTTGTATAGGTTATGTTATTAAAATATAATCAATTATAAATGTATTAATATATTGTAAATTGTTTTAAAATAATTGACTAATATTATTATAAGTCCATACAATAATTTTACAGTAAGTTTACAATGTAAACTTACTGTAAGCTTACCAAATCTTAAAATACGTACAAATAAAAACAAAATAAATTGCCATGTGTCATTTTCGATCAATTTTCTTGTAACATTTTCATCTAAACTGAATATAAAAAATTACAAGACTTTAAAATTTCAAGTCATTTTAATTATTTTAAAATTTACAAATTCCAGTTGACATCCTTGTTTTTATAATCTTTTAATTAATTTCTTTATTGTAATGACGTAATAGTAACTTTCCCCCTATCATCAGGGATGAGTTTCAAATACACCCAGAGATGGGTAAAGGTGAAATCACATGGTAGTATTTTGAGTTACGTTTTGTAACTTAACCATGAAAGAGATGAAATTATACGTTGACCTTATAATTAAAAAAATAACTACACGGAATTTTTATTTTTATTATATTGTAAGAAATAAAGATATTTACTAGAATAGGTGAAATGTAATTTATCAGATACGAAACATTTCGGACGTTCTACTTTAATATCAAGTTCCCCCATAATGTTGATATTAGAGACGTTCTACTTTAGCACTATAATACATACTCAACCCTGTATACAATATTTACCAACGGAAGGTGTAAATACGTATAACCATTAAACTGTGATTGAAGTAATCACGATTGCAATTTGTAATAAAATTATTCGATTATCTAAGATCTAACCTTATTTTAAATTAAAACTTTTTAAATTAGTACAAGTGAATCTTTTTTTTAAATATAATATCTTTATTTCATACAATATAATAAACAGAAAATTAATAAACAATGTCAGACTGGGATACTGTACCGATTACACTTAGAAAACGTGTCCCAAAAGGGTCTGCTATGAAATCAGAGCAGGTAAGAACTTTTCGTAAAAAGTATTCAAATTATTCAAATTTGTAATAGTTGAGTCAACGATTAAAATAAATGTTTTTATTTCAGGCTGTAAATGCAGCTCGCAGACAAGGCGTTGCCGTTGAGACACAGGTTAAATGTAAGTTGTTTGCATTTATGTATATGGAATTTAAAGCTTCAAGGTTTTTTTTTCCTCATGATTAAAAATTATAATAATCATAATTTACTGTAGATGAAATATTTGTTCCTATTATTATTATCATCTCTATAAGCAATTATTATTTGCAATAAATAAATTTATGTTTTTATATATTTAAATGGAAAATTGAAAATATTTAATAAAATGTATTATGATATTCCAGGGGGTGGAGGAGCAAATAAGCAGCACGTTACTACAAAAAATACAGCGAAATTAGATCGTGAGACTGAGGAATTAAAACATGATAAAGTCTCTCTTGATCTTGGAAAACTAATACAGCAAGGTCGTCAAAATAAGGGATTGTCTCAAAAAGACTTGGCAACGGTGATTATTTAAATATTATATTGATAAAGTTACATAAATGCATATTATATGAAAATTTTGATTTCCGAACAATTAAATTTATAATATTTGTTTTTTCTATTATTTAATTATAGAAAGTGAATGAAAAAGCACAAGTAATAAATGATTACGAAGCTGGTCGTGGAATTCCCAATCAATTGGTTATTGGAAAAATTGAGAAAGTTCTCGGAATAAAATTGCGAGGAAAGGATCGGGGTACTACATTGGTTTCCCCCGGGACAAAGAAGTGAATCTCGGGGGAACAATAATTGATTTTTCGTCATTTCTTCTATATATATACACACACACAGAACCCCGTATATGAGACATGACGACAGGTGTGTCATTGTCTTTGGTCTCAATTTGTTTAATTATTTTTTAATATATATTTTCTTTTGCATAATGTAGTAGAAATACTGCGATTATTGTGTTTATATACATATATAGTAAAACTAAATAAAACAATAAAAAGAAAATAACTTAAGAAGAATGTAATCATTGCGAGAACTGGGCTTTTATGCATCCTGCTCAAAAAAAACTCAATGATAGACATATAATTTATATTAAATTTCTATAATAAAAACTATTAATTTATGTGATATTTAGAATATATGTTTGTATTTTATTTTTACATTATTTATTCATATTTGATATTAGATTAAATATAAGCTGTACTTGCAGTTTATTTCATTTTATTATAAAAAGCATTCAATAATTTTATTTGGAATTAGAAAAAAAATTGAAAAAACTTATTTTTATTATAAAGCAATTTATTAAATGTTGTATTTATACAGTTAACATTGTAATTAATCTTTTCTCAATCCAAATGTTTCAGTTTTTACTCCATCTTTTGTAATAATTTTGATAAGAATAGAATCACCAGTATAGATATCTCTTTCAGCTGCGGATGTAAAAACATCCTTAAGTACTTTTAAAGCCTTCTCTAGGGTTATTGGTACTTTTTCAACATTTTCTTGATTTTCGTAACCGATCTAAAATCAAAATAAATTATCATCAATTTTATAAATTTTATTTCAAAATATTTTTATTTATAACGAAATAAAATTTACCTGATTGTCCAATAGTGGTTGCAATAGAAGTCCTGCAGAACCTGAAGCTGAGAATTCGACTCTATATACATGTCCAATTGGATCATAATTGAAAACACAACCTTTTCCTTCTTCATCTAAACCAGCTAACACATTGTTAATATAGTAAGGAAAGAATCTTTTGTAGTATAAAATAATTGAAAGCATTTGTGCTGCTGCAGGCGTAGAGATTTCTTTTTGATGTTCATGCTTGTACATCTAAAAAAAATATAAAGTTGCTAATATTGTTTTCAAAGAGTTATTCTTATTATATTCAACTTATTTTTATACATGTTTATTACCTGCATACGAGCAGCTAAAACTCTTGTGAGACTTAAGGTATCGCACCAACATCCAGCACAACCCAAAATTGTTTTGTTTGAAAGTTGAAAAAGTTTTTCCTGATTTCGTGTATTGATCTGAAATCCACTACTCAAACGAGTATCGGCACCGATTACACAAAAATCATCACCTGCGATTGCTACGACACTCCTAAATAAAATATTGTTATATACATATAAATATATATCTTTTTATTGTTAAAACAATTAACTATATTAATATGTAAATGAGATAGACTTTTTTTCAATTAAAAATATTAATTGACAGTTATAATTAAACAATCTTATATATTCTTACCCTCCGTTGTCAGAATAAGGGTTGAAACCAACTTTTTTAGCACCTTGTAAGTAATCGGGAAGATTTCTAGCCAAACTGGGATCAGAAAGCGTCATTTTGAAAGTAAAAGAATTTTTTTCACTAAGTATAAAACTTCTTATTTTGAAGAGTAACTGTCTTTAGGTTAGGGCAAATGACTGATCACTTTTATGTTTATATGGGCGAGTCTCCAATGTGGATCTAATGGTGTTTCTACAATGCGCCTTATTGACAATCTCATGCAATATAGTGGAACGTTCAGAATATGACATGATTTATATGTCATATTTCGGACGTCCACTTTCCTCTGGTTGCACCCGTTGAAAACACACCCTTAATTAACGCGTTACAAGCTCAGCTCTGCTCAGCTGCTGCTCAGCAGTGCACAAAAGTGATTAGACTATTTTTATAGTCGACGTTTTTTATTCCTAAATAAATTTTCCAAGATCATTTAAGGGAATTTAAAAAATTGGATTTTTCATGATCATTTTTATCTCATTTCTTTTAATCCAAATAGAAATAAAATGATAAATTTTACGGTGAATCGGGTTATATATATTTACATATATATAATAATTCGTAATAGTAGCCTAATGAGATAGGTGCTTTCTGATAACTGCAGCCTAAATGTAAGTATTAATATCAAAATTTGACGTTGATCATTTTCAAATGTTAATGAATTTAAAGTGCTTTGAAAATATGAATTGTCAAATATTTTCGAAAGTTTAACAGAAAACATTGATATTCATTTTAACTAAACATATTTTGCACTTTTTTTTCTTATACATTCTATACAATGAAGTCTCGTTATTCTTTTGCTTTTGTAACGTTACGGACAGTTGGTGTTTTTTATTAGAGTATTTATTGTTGTAATAAAGAACTGATTTAAAGTTCAGGACAAAATAAAAATCAGATTGTGCTTTAATAATATTTTCAAATTATTGTATATAATTTAAATAACTTTATGAATAATAGTACTTAAATTTAAATAATTAATCATATGTGACTAATTGAATTTTTGAGAAAACAAAGAATAATTTTATTTTGTTTAAGTGTACTAAAATTTACAAAGTTGTAATGAAAATGTATATTTAGTTGCAAAGATATTAATTATATTGTTTCTTGCCCTAGATTTTTATTAAAAAATAATTAGAAATTGTTTTTACAATTATATAAATTAATATATATATATATATATAACAATTATTATAAACGAGTAAATTTTAATAATACTTAAAATAATTAAATCACTCCTATAGATACATGATTTTTATACTTGAAGATTTAAATATATATTTCAAAAAAATTTTCTAGAATTAAAATTTAAAATAAAATATCCAACGAAAATATTTGCAATTTTATATTACAAAGCACAATACTTAGAATTCCAAGAAACATGTTTTGTTTCTCTTTCAAGTAATACTTGTCTTAATATATTTAATGTTACAAGTGAAATTTTTGATACTTTTCCATTTCAATAATTCACTCAATTTAAAAATACATTACTGTCGTAAATTGTCCCAATAATTTCTTGTCCAAAGCTATGTAAATCGACAAATCATTGTCTGAAATTCAAAGGTCCGCAATATCTAAACTATAAAAATTAACATTTTTAAAATTTTGAAAGATTAGAATATATTGAAATACTGATTAATTACAACAGAAGTGTGTTTAATATAAAAAAAAAGAAAAAATGAATTGCATCTGATTCATTTATGATACAATGTGATGAAATCTCATTTAAAAACCACCGCCTACGCTTAACTTAAGTAAAATTGGTGCTGGGCGTTCTAGTTTTGCAGGATCTTTGCTCTGTATTTATAGAGTCTACTCATTCCTTGCTTCTATACGTTAAAGACACCAGTGTTACTATTAACTGACACTCTGACACGGATGAAGATTATTCACATAGTATTCTATTTATATGTATACATATATATATATAAAAGAACAACTATGAATGATAGAAAAGCGTGAGTGTGAGTGAGATGGTAATGAAATAACGCATAAGAGTGTCATCGTCACATTTTTAGGCTGATCCAAAATCATTTATTCTTACTATATATAACAATTAGATCTACTAATTTAATTCATGATGAAACTGTTTACATTCACTCCAAATGACCCTAATCTTTTTCTCATTAATTTTTTTTTTACTTTTTGTAGTTTTTTTTTATTTAAATAAATTTCATATTTTCCAACAAAAAAAATGTATTTAGAATATTTTTATTATATTATTTTATGATCTTTTTATTTCAGATAGTAATGTAAGAATGAAGAGATAAATTTGTAAAATTAGAAAGAAAACGGATTCTAAATGGATCATCATTTGCAAGGGAGAAAGCAAGTGGCTTCTCCTGAAGTTGCAATTGCCAATGAGGTTTTTGATCAATTTTGCAATGCTTCTACTCTTAAATCAATTCTTGGTTATTACCGGCATCTATGTGACCTTTTAAAATTACGGCCTACTAATATTAATCAATTTTATCCAAAACTTAAATCTAAATTAAGATCATGGAAGGCACAGGCATTGTGGAAAAAATTCGATCAAAGAGCTAATCACAAATGTTATAATAGAGGAAAGGCTTGCTCTTGTACGAGGGTAAGTAATAAATTTTTCACTTAAAATTTTTTTTAAATTTTATAATTTAGATCCTAAATTTTTTAAATTAATATTTTAGGTTTTAATTATCGGAGGTGGACCATGTGGATTAAGATCAGCGATTGAAGCTCAATTACTTGGAGCAAAAGTAGTGGTTATTGAAAAACGTGATCGAATGTCAAGGAATAATGTTCTTCATTTATGGCCTTTTGTAATACAAGATCTTCGAAGTTTAGGGGCAAAAAAATTTTTTGGTAAATTCTGTGCCGGTGCAATTGATCATATTAGTATTCGACAATTACAGTGTATACTTTTAAAAGTTGCTCTAATTCTTGGTGTCGAATTTCATGAGAATGTTAGTTTTGATCTTCTTTTATCGCCTCCAGAAAATCAGGATAGTGAAAGTAAGTAAAATTTTTTTTTCTCTAAAATAATTTTTTTCTAAAAGAATTAATATCTCTTTTTTATGTTAGAAATTGGATGGAGAGCAAAATTCACGCCATCTAATCATCCAGTTTCACAATATGAATTTGATGTGCTTATTGGTGCTGATGGAAAGAGAAATACTTTAGATGGTTTTAGGCGTAAAGAATTCAGGGGAAAATTGGCAATTGCAATAACTGCTAATTTCATTAATAAAAGAACAGAAGCTGAAGCGCGTGTTGAAGAAATAAGTGGAGTGGCATTTATTTTTAATCAAAAATTTTTTAAGGAATTGTATCAAGAAACGGGAATTGATTTAGAAAATATTGTTTATTATAAAGATGATACACATTATTTTGTGATGACAGCTAAAAAACATAGTCTAATCGATAAGGGCGTTATCCTTCAGGTATAATAACATAAAAAACAATTATTATTATTATTATTATTATTATTATTATTATTATTATTTTGTTTTTAATTTTATTGAAATTTCTTATTTTAGGATCATGCAGACACTGCAAAATTACTTGATAAGGAAAACGTTGATCGTGAGGCATTGATGCTCTATGCAAGAGAGGCAGCTGAATTCTCGACAGAATATCAAATGATGGATTTAGAATTTGCAGTTAATCATTATGGACAGCCAGATGTTGCAATGTTTGATTTTACATCAATGTACGCTGCAGAAAATGCTAGTCGAATTATTGAACGACGGGGACATAGACTTTTTATGTCACTTGTTGGTGATAGTCTTTTGGAGGTTTGTTATTTATTTTAAAATTTTAAAATTTTTAATTATTTTAAATCTCCAAAAAGAAAGAATATTTTACAGAAGTTTTATTTTTAATATATTTAAAAATGCCTTAAATTTAAAATTTCTTAATTGTTTTTAGCCTTTTTGGCCAACGGGTTCTGGTTGTGCAAGAGGTTTTTTAAGTTCCCTTGATGCATGTTGGGCCATAAAAGGATGGGGTGCATCTTTAAATCCATTGGAAGTTCTTGCCGAGCGAGAATCCATATATAGATTATTAGGTCAAACAACACCAGAAAATTTAAATAGAGATTATGCCGCTTATACTTTGGATCCTCATACGAGGTAAATTAATTATTCATTGATTGGTTTTTATTAATTTCCATTAAAATTGAAAAATTAATTAAAAAATCTTATTAATTTTTAAAGGTATCCAAATTTAAACATTCATTCAGTGACACCAATTCAAGTACGAAGTCTTTTAGACACTGACGATCCAGAAAATATAAAACAACCTCCATTTCTTTCAACAGTTGATGTTCCTAAAAAACGACGTAGAAGAGGTGAATAGTTGACAATAATTATTTTTCGTTATGTTTTATTAATCATTATTTTATTTTATTTATTTTTTTGTTTTAACAGACTTTCAAATACATCCGGAAAATCTACTTCGTTGGTTACAAAAGCAAGTGGACTTTAGCGATTCAGTTAAAATTAATGATATGGGTACTTGTTTCAAAAATGGTTTAGCACTTTGCGCAATAATCCATAGATACAGACCAGATTTAATAGACTTTCAATCATTAAGTTCTGAGGAATCGGCAAAAAATAATCAACTCGCTTTCGATATTTTACAAAAGGAATTCAACATATCTCCTGTAATTTATTAATATTTTTAGTCTATTTTTAAATTATTATTTACTTAAATTTTTTTTATTTCTTAGATAATGACGGGAGAAGAAATGGCAGCCTGTGATATTCCTGATAAATTATCCATGTTTTCTTATTTAACCCATTTATATGAAGCATTCAGAGGAGAAATTCCTCATATCAAACACCTTAAATTGGTAAATTTGATTTCAATTTCGGTATTAATTTTTTTTTTTAACAAGACTTAAATTCTTTTTTCAATTGTTATAAAGGAATTTGAAGAAAGAAAAGAAGAAAAACCAACATTCTCAAAATATTTGAGCCAAGTTAATCAGGATTCACAATTAATTAATCGGATTCCGAAACAGGAAACAACTCGAGTGCGTCACTCTCGTGTTTTTTGTGGTTATGATAATTTTTCTGAGAAGGTTGCCGATGTTACGAGCCGACGATCAAGAAAACGACGCAGCACAGAAAAAATGGGTGCCACTGTGGTGAGAATTTTTATTTCCTGTAATTCTTAAGGGTTTAAAAAGAATATTTTATATATTTTGTGCTAAACGCGAAAATAGTCTTTTTATTTTAATAATGAATATTCTAAATAATATATATAATGAAGGCGGAAAGGCAGAAGAGACTCGAAGATATAGAAAAAAATCGAATAGAACGTATGATGAAGCGTCAATATCTACGAAAAATGGCAACTCAACAATTTTACAAAAGTATACAAATGCTATCGGCTAATGCTAAACGCGAAAAGGAAGAACCTTTTGAAGATTATTCTATATTTTTATATCGACAAACCGCTCCCGATTTTAAGGACAGAGTGAAAGATCTCGAAATGAAAATACTTTATCCAGTAAGCCAGAGTGTTTGGCTTTTTAAATAAAATCCCTTGAATAATAATCTTTTTTTTAACATTGTATGTTTTGATTGTTTTTCTTTTACATTTTATCAGTGTTTTAGCATGCAAAAAACGCTCTATACATAGGGTAAAACCGGAAATAGAGTACGGTTTTACATTTAGCCACTGAATTCATGAAGGAACAAAGTAGTTTTTATTTTTATGTTAAAAAATAAAATAATTTTCAGATTTCATTTCTAATATCCGTGTTTGCCGTGTGTAACTTACATACTTTTTAAATAAAAAAAAAAAATGTTTATTACTAATGATACTAATGAATAACATAATATTTTTAAAAAATGTTGATTACAGTTATGATGAATGATATTCAATTAACATTCAAATTTTAACAAAAGTTTGTGTATAATAATATTTTTGAAGGTGTATTAATTAATTTTTTTCCCTTCTGAAGGATCGTGATCCAAAAATGCATTTTGGTCATCATAAAAAGAACGCAGACAATGAATTTTCTGGTAGAATAAAAAATATCGAGGACAAATTGAAAGGAACAATTTCTTCGGAAAAAAAACCAAAGGATCTTTTGAGAGCAATAGGTTTGTAACATTTCTATATTGTATTAATATTATTTAAATAAATGAATTTGATTTATATGGTTATTATTTAACAAAAAAAGGTAAAATCGAAAAAACTGATTGGAATGTAAAGGAGATTGAAAAGAAAATTGAAGAGAATAAAATGGGTCGTGGTGTAAGAAGTCATGATAAAGTGGAACGAGTGCCAAAATGGAGTCGTGAACAGGTAAATATTAAAATTCACAAGATAGTTATACTACTCGTAATTTTCAGACGTCTATATTTTTTATTCAGTTTTTAGCTCGTCAAATTAAAATGGAGAAAAAAGGTCATGATTCCTATGAAATTGAGAGTAAGTATGCCGATATTGACAATACACTTAAGACAATTGATCGAAAAATTAAAGAAGGCAATGTTCTTGGACATAATAAAGTCTCGGCAATGGCTGAGCAATTTTCGACTAAAAATCAAGATTCCGAACCCAAGGTGCAGAGATCGGTAAATATTAAAACAAATAAATAAATAATAATAATAAAATAACATGAGTTAAGTTATAATTATAAATATATTTTATTCTAAATTATTTTTGTGAAAAATTTTAATATTTTTGAAATATTTAACACCAAAGTTACCTATATAATAATTTTTGTTGCTGGGGGGATTAAAAAGTAAATTTTCCCCACGCTGACTTTATTTATCATGTAATATTTGCTGATATTTTATTGAATTTAAATCGTTTAGAATTCAAAAGTGACTGTTGCGTTACCAACGCAGGGTGGTTCTGAAATGTGCCACTTTTGTAATAAAAGGGTTTATCTTATGGAAAGACTGAGTGCTGAGGGAAAATTTTTCCATCGTGGTTGCTTTCGCTGTGAATATTGTTCAACTTCACTTCGAATAGGTAAATTAATTAACAAAAGAAATTTTGAATTTCAACATTTTCTTTTAACTAATTATTTATTTTGATTTTTCTAGGTAATCACACATTTGACAGAGGAAAGAATGGAGGACGTTTTTATTGTTCGCAGCATTTAGGCCTTTTAGGAACAATGAAGACAAGAATGGAGAAAAAAAAAATTCCAATGATGAACAAAGAAAATATACCAAATGTCTCGATTAACACAAATACACCCGATAAAGTATGGTCACTAATGATAATTTAATTTTTCGAATAATTAATTTTTTTATGAAACTTGTTTCAAAAATTATTTGTATTTAATTTCAGCCTAAAGTGTCTTTAGAAGGAGTTACCGGTCTTGATTTGCTTGATCGAGGTCAAACACCAGAAAGAATAGAATTTGAAAATTTAGCCAGAGTATCGGATGCTGAAGATGCTCACAGTCAAATGGATGAAGATGAGTGGACAGATAGAAATTTTGGCGCATCTGCTGCGGAAATGGGTTCTAGTGATGATATTTCTGATTTGAGGTAATTTTTCTAAAAATTATGATAATTTAAAGAATGTTTTAAAACGACTTAGCAATTTTTTTTTAAGTTTAATTTTATAAATATGAAATCTATTTTAAATTGATACTTTTAATCGGTCAAATTTACAGTGATTCAGAGGAAGATAATGAAGTTTTTGAAGAGGCAATTGATCAACCTTTGACAACAGAAGGAACACTTGAACTCGCAAAAAATTGGACTCTTCGCTACTCTCAATACCATCCTTCAGAAGAACATTCAGATACTGGAAGTAATGAATACGAGGATTCCACTGACGAGTGCACAAGTGAAGGTAAATAAATTCATTTTTAATAATAACAAAATATTAATTTTTTATCATTTAAATCTTTATTTGTCTAAAGAAGAGGTTAAAAATTATTTATTTTATTTTCATAAATGAAACATTTTTTTTTTTTGCATTTTCATATTCGCAGTTTGAATTATATATATTATTGGGGTAAAAAAAATTAAATAAATTCCTCAGTTTAGTAAATATTAAATCACTATGAATAGAAGAATTTTTTTCTAAAAATATGATAAATGTAAAAATGTAGGTATTGAAATAAAACCTGTTTGAAATGGAAGCTGGATTATCTGGGATCAAAAGGATCTTTTCCCCATTTTTAAAACTGATATCGGATTCAAGAAAAAGGAGTACTTTATTATTTACAAAGTAAATAAAAATGCAACTTTTGATTTTTTCAGTTCTCTCTATGTATTATCTATTTTTGTGAAATATTTTTTCCCCTTTTTTTTTATTTTTTCTAAAAATCTAATAATGATTCAATTTTTTTTTTACTTTTTAAACACCTAATTTCAATACCTAAATATGAAAAAAATTTAAGTACATGCAAACTGCATTTTTTAAAAAATTGCCCAATATATTTTTTTTATTTTCAAAAATTAATTTATTTTGTGTAAATAATCCTGTTTAATAATTTTTTTTCTTTCAATAAGAATGCGTGTTTGTGTAACATTTGTAGTGAGGTTGATTAATTAGTTCCAATATTTTTTTTACAGTCAATTTATTCTAGACATGTTTTTTTCTACAGAAACAAAATGATTCAGTTAAATTCCATTAATCGGTCTTTTTTCTATTTGTTGATTGTTATTTTAATTAATAAATATGTAAAATAAATTTTTTTTCTACAGACGATGATAGTGCAACGGCAACTGAGAATGAAGATGATGTTCGTGCAAGAGAATTGAGAAAACAAGAAGTTTGGCTAAAAGTACCATCTCAAAGTTCTGACACAGACACCGGCTCCGAAACTGAGGTGAAAATATGTATAGATAATATAATTCATGAACCAAATAATCCCGTAAATATAACAGAAACAAATTTAGTTTTGACCCCGATTGAAGTTATTCCATCAGATATATTAGAAACCTCTGAAACAGATGTTGATCAAAAAAATTTTGCATTTAGTAAATTTCAAACTGAGGAAAATGATATTTTATTAAAATCTCTCGATAATGATTTTAAATCATTAGAAACAATGAATGAGAAAGAACAGAATGAAATTTTACATCCAAGTAATCATGAACTTGAAAACGATTTTGTAAAAAATTTACCTGATTTAATTAATACTTCTCAAACTGTAGATAGTCAAAAAAATCTTGAATTAATTTCAAATATTCAAAACGTTAAAACTGATTCTATTTATTTATCAGATGAATATTTAGAATGTGAATCTAATGATAATAATTCTCTTTCTGAAAGTTCATCATTATTCATAAAAGAGAATAATAAAAATATTCCAATTGTCACTGTAACAGCTCCTTCTCCAATTTCTGAAAGTTCAACTATTGAAAATAATGTTTATCAATCTACAGCAATAACTTATCCATTAAATTTAAAACTTGAATTAAAACGGCGAAAAATTCTAAATAATAAAGAAATTAAAAAACTTTGTCCTCTTTCAAAAGAAACTGCTCGCGAACAAATGAATAAATATTTTAAATCCAAAAATGAGACATTTCAAACGGCGGAGGAGGAGCTACAAATAAAATCAACAATTTCCGATAAAATTAATCAAAAAGATTTATCAAAATATTTTAACGATTCTCAACAAAATGATAATTTAAATAATAAAATTGAAAATAGAAAAGATGCCAAAGAACCATTTCATTATGATTTTAAGACTGATATTGAAGATTTTAGTCTTATTGATGAAATTGACTCCGATACACTTAATAAACAGCTTAGTAAAATTGAACAAGAAAACAAAAATGATGAAATCTATGTAAACGCTAAGGAAAATATTTCGAGTTCTCAATTGAAAAATGAACAACTAAATAATAATACATGTTCTTTTAGAGAGCATAATAATGAAATTAATTTTGATCCTTTGAAATTAGATGAAAAATGTGAAAAAGAAAAAAGAAATTTAAAATCAGATAATAACAATTTAAATATTATAAAAGAAACAAAATCGTCAAATGAAATTGAAATTCATAAAGTTAAGGTAGTCGAAAAAGAAATTCCATGCAATAGGTCAACTGTTTTACAAAACAATGAAGCTAATCATTTTAATGAGAGGAAAATAACTAACATTCAAGATTTAAAAAATAATACAAAAAAAATTAAGCAATCAAATTCATTAAATATGTTAAATTCAAAAATGACAAGAGATTCTTTTTTGTCATTAAAGCATGATAAGAAAAAGGATAAGTGTACGATATCTTAGGATTTTTACATATATGCAAATGTTTATTTTTTTTCTTCTAAAAACTTGTATAATATTTTAACGATTGTGTGAGATATATTTAATAAAGTATAAAAAAAATAAGCAAGTAAACAAAGGCTGATGATGATATAAAAATATTTCTCAAACACCCACAAAGAGAACAGTGAAAATAAGGTAACAAAAAATTTTTCTATTCGAGTGTTTATTTCTCACTAAAATAATAACCACAACAACAACAACAACAACGAATTAACAAAAATTTTGAAACCGTTTTATTTGTATGTGTTTGTTTAGTGCTTTTGCTCACACCAGCAATTGTGTTTACTGTGTCTATATTAAATTTGCTAGTCAAAACTTTATTAATATCTCAGAAATTTTACAAAAATTTTCCTTGTGTCTTTAATTGATTAAAATAATTTTTTTTCTTCAGAAAAAAATAAACTAATACATATTAAATGCATCTGCCAAACTAAACTAAAATTATATCAATATAAAATCTTTTTTTTAATTTCTAGGTTGCATCAGATGAATCAACTGAGGATAGTGAAGAAAATTCAGCAACGGAAATATCAACAGATTCTGAATTTGAGCACGATGGAACAACACCAACGCAACATGAAATTCCAAAAATAACAATAAACGATGCTTTTGTTCGTAAGACAAGAGGCGATTATATTGAGCCAAAAATTGTTCAAATCAAAAGTCATGTGATAAATTCAAGTGGAAATCGACTGGTAAATGAAACAAAATTAAATCTTTCAAAAATTGATAAACCTATTCAACAATTGGATGAAAGTAATTCAAATTTAAAGCAACAACAAAAGCTTTCTTCTCCTCTTATTAATCCTCGAACAGGTGATTATTCTTTAAATCGTACTCATTCTACAGAAGGAATTGCATCAAAATTATCACTGGAATTGAAAAAACGTTATTTATTGGGTGGCTTAAGTATTGGTGGATCAGTGATAAAATCTGGTTCAACATCAAATGTTAATACAAAATTGACAAGTTTCACTGATTCAATTTCCCAACATCAAAAACTCTTGAATCCTGCACCTGAGCCAAGTCCAACAATGCAAGCATTTTTAAAACAAGGTGCAAATAAAATTAGTTCATCTTCTTCGTCTATTGTTTCGAAACCATCAAGTAAAACATTTATTAAATCAAATATATCGTCAATTGACGAAAGTCTAGCAACAACTGAAACTCATCTTCCTGATTTAATTAAAGATTCAAGTATTTTAAAATCGAAAACTGATTCAAATATTACATTGACAAGGAATTTTAACAATGACGAAAGTAAAATTAAAAGTAACATTAAAGAAAATAATGCGAATAAAGAAGAAAAGGGAATAAATGAAGAGAAAAGTAGTGAAAAATTTCAAAAACTTGAAAATAGTGATGATCATTATAGACCAAGAAGTCCTTTACATGAAACTTGTATCATTGTTCCACAAGTAAATTGGAATAGAGAAAATACTACGAATAGTAAGAAAGAAAATGAAAGTTCTGATTCGGAAATGGATAGTGATTCTTTATCTTTACGTGAAGATTTTATTGATGTTAAAAAGAAGGAAGAGGAAGTAAAAGAAAAGAAATTTAATTTGTCTCGACCAAAATTACAAATTCACAGCACTGATGGAGATCTTTTGCTAGACGAGACAAACGATCGTGAGGAAATTGAACCCGATTCAATAGAATGTATGAGATTAGAGGAAATATCAAAAGAAATAGAATCAGTGAAAAATATCGAAATAGTAAATAATAATATGAAACAATTGGAATTGGAGGAAGAAGAAGAAAGAGAAGAGAAAAGTATTTGCATTAGTCCGACTTCAATAGCTTCGAATAATAAAGATGATTCTGATGAAAATGACGTTACCACTGCTGCTTATACAGAAACGGAATATTCCGAATGGGCAAGAGACGGTGACGCTATTGGTTCCGAAGATATCAGAGATGTCGAACTTGGTTTAGATTCGGAATTATTAACAAAACGAAAAAGTAAAAATATACTGACACAAAATAAGGAAGATATAATTGACACAAGTAACGATGCATTAAAACTTCTTGCAAATGGTGAGGATTTAGATTTTATGGATACTGATAATGAGGAATCATTATTGGACGATAGTTTACGAGAAGCGTCAAATAATGCTCTATTAAAAAATCGCGGTTACATCGAGTTTGTTAATTTTAAAACATTAACACCTACGAAATTTCATAAATTAAGTGCTCCAATTGCCAAAATAGAAGTGGAAAATGATGTTGATGATGATGATGATGACGATTTAGAAATTGATAATATAGATGTGATTAAAATAAATCCCGTTACAATGGATGATGTAATTGATAAACTCAATGGTGCTGTGAATAAATTTGTCAAATTGCCAAGTGACAAAAATAACAGAATAATTGAAAACAATGATGTCGAACAAAGCAATAAGGAAATTTTACAAATGGATGAAGATAGTCTATTAATAGTTGAACCTGCCGAAGATACAACAACAAGTGAATTAATAACTGTTGTTGCAACATGTCCTCAACTGCCTATTGTACCGCAAAATAAAGATGAATTACTCGATGATACAACAAATACCGATTATTTGGAATACGTTAAACGTCTTCAATCGAGAATAGCCGAATTTAGTAATGCTAAAGATTCCATAGATATAAGAAAATCAAAACGAAAAAATTCAAAATCTTTAATTCAATTGCATACAAATGATATAATATCCGAAGAGATAAAAGATATCAACAAGGAGAAAGATTCTTTAGACGCTGTTGATACTACTAGAAAATTAGAAGAAATCACAAGAGAACGTTCTAAACAAAAAACAGTCATTCAAAATTTACTAATGGATAAACTTGAAGCCCATAAACAAAAATCGGCGGAGAAAAAAGCAAAACGAGCCGCGAGGGCTTCTTCATTTTCAAATAAAAATCTCTCACCGGTAAAAATTGGTATTTCAGCTCCTCCTAATCCTCCTCCTTCATCTTCTTCTACGGATAATCAAATTGAACAATCACCAAGAGAAAATAAAATACTCTCAGTTTATAAACCATTGGATTTTTCAACTCCACAAGAAAAAATATCGGAATTTACAACACCCATTGCTCCTCCCAGAACAAAACATGAGGAAACAAAGAAAACAACTGAAAAAGCAAAACAAGATGCAAGAGAACGTGCCCGATTGAAGAGTGATCAAGATCTTGGATTGAGTCCAGAGGATAAAATTAAAGAATTAAGAATGAAAGTTGCACGTCGACAACATTATAGTGAAGAAAGAAGAAAAAATGAAGCTGAAAATGTAAGACCACAACGCTTATTGATGAATTCACCATATGGATTGAAAGCAAGTAAAAGTACTGATAATTTTAAGACAATAACGAGAAATATGAATTTTGATGAATTAAAAACACCAACAAATGCAAAATCAATGGATGAATTGTTACAAACAATTGATATGAAGAAGGATGAAACAGCATGTGTTATTAAGAGAGATAAAAGAAAATTGAAAGATTCAGAAAGAAGAAAAAGTATTATTCAAGCTGTATCTGATTTTTTCAAGAAAAAAGACTCATCGCCTACAATGGGAAAAGAGAAATTATTCACATTTCGATTGACTCCAAAATCAAAGGAAAAAGGAAAGGTAAGCTGTAATATTTTTTGATTTATTATTAATTTTTTTTAAATTAGTCTAAAATATGTTTTTTTTCTAACTTGATTATTTAACGTGTTTCAGTTGTTTAAATCGTATTCGGATGCGTCGAATGTAAGCAATTCACTATGTGTATTTGTTGATTTTTTATTTGCTTTTATTTTTCTTTGACAATTATTCCTTCGACATTTTATATTTCTAAGCTTCTAAAATTATTATTTAATATTTTATAACTGAAGGTCTTTGAGAAAATAAATTTTTAATTAAACGACGCGAGAGAAAAAACTAAAAACAATCTCAAGACTTTTAATTATAAAATTTTTATTTTTCCTTATTTCCATATTTTGTTTACAAAAGATATAAAATTGTATCATATCTAATATTTTTTTATTATAATCAAATATCGTGCATTTAAAATTTCATTTCGTTTTATTTTTAAGTGACAAATTTATCTTTTTTTTTTTGCTGTTTTTGAATTTCGTTTTTATTTATTAATTTCTTTTAATGAGAAAATCGGTTAATTTTCTTTTTTTAGTAGGAAAATAATAAGTGTGATGTGAAGTGATTGAAAAAATGTTTGTTTTATATTGAATTTTTTAAAACAAAATTTTCTTTTTTCTAGATGGATAAATCAATGTCTCCAAAATTCGATGCAAGACCAAAAAGTGTAACTGAAGGAATGTTAGTGGAGAGTTTTCTTTCAGAAGTTCCACCACCACTTCCTCCTCTGCCTTTAAATTATACTGCATTAACAACACACATGTTAGGTATTACAAGGCAAATTAGTATTATAATTTTTTCCTTTTAATTAATTAAATACATATTACATTTTTTTTTTTTTTAAGATGGAAATTTGTCAGATGATGATTCGAAAACAACTGCCTTATCAACCTCGCAAGCAAATAAAACAGATGATTTTTGCAATAGCATTTCACGTAAAACTAAAGCTACTAAACGAATAGCAAGACAGGCACAATTAAAAAGGTATAAAAATAATTTTATTTTGAAAATTCTCTATTTCCCTAATTGGAAAATTTCTTAATTTATACTATAAATTCAGGTTACGAATGGCGCAAGAAATTCAGAGAAAATTAGAGGAAACGGAAGTTAAGCAAAGAGAATTAGAATGCAGAGGAGTTAGTGTGGAAAAAGCTTTAAGAGGAGAAGGAGGTGAATATTTTTTGAAAAAAGGAAAGCAAAAAAAATTCTGTTTTCAAAATATGATATTGATTTTTTTACTTAGATTGTTCGAATCGTGAAGAAGCTGATTTATTGCGTGAATGGTTTGATTTGATGAGAGAACGAACAGAATTACGAAGATATGAAAAAGAACTTTTGGTAAGAGCTCAGGAAGTACAGTTGGAAGATAGACATGAAAGATTACAGCAGGAGCTTCGAGAAAGATTGGCCGATGATGGTTAGTAATACTATTAAAGATTTATAAAATAAAGCATTATACTTTAAAAAGTTTATAAAATGTTATATATAGTTGAAACATATTTTTGTTCTTTTTATTAATTAAAGTTCATTATTTTACAGATCAAAACAAAACTAGTGCAGATGTTAAGAAAGAAGGAGAAATTTTAACAGAGATGTTAGAAATAGTTGCAAAGCGCGATTCACTGATTGCTCTTTTAGAAGAGGAGCGACAAAGGTGGCGTAGACCCTCATGCCCAATACAAACTATGTTTACTAATTCTTCTTCTTCCTCCAATTATACCAATAATTCCTTTCTTTTCTATGCATTTGCTTTCATTATAATTTTACTGACATACATTATATATTTTTATATTATTGAATTTTTCATTAGTTATCATAATGGGCCACTAATCACACTTTAATTTTTTTTTATTCTCCTCTTCCTTTTCTCTTTCTTTCTTTTAGCATTTTCATTTTTATGCATGTGCACTGTTGCATGAATTAATTTATTGCTTGAAAAAAAATTTGTCTATATATTACATCGTAAAAAGGGAACAAGATTTTAATATTTTACTTTATTTATTTTTAAATACTGAATTTTTACTTTATAAAATTTTATTTGTTGTCACGTACTTGTTTATGTTTCTTGTTGGAATTTTTTTTACCTATTTATTTATTTATTTAATTAATTGAAATGAAAAATATATAAAATATTTTTTACAGGAATTCTTATGATACTGAATTGTTTTAGAAAAAAATTATAGCTTTAAGAACTGTTAATAATTTGGTTTGCAAAATTAAAAATCATTACATGTTTTTGATTCTGAATCAAAAAAATTTTTTATAATTATAGTCAATTAAGGGGATACAAATCTTAAGATAGTAAAATTTTCATTTTACGTTGAAGTTTTCAGCGATGTAATCTTTAATTTAACTAACTAATGCTTAATGTTGAAATTATATATTATTTTTCTAAAAACTGTTACAATTTTAACAGTAGTAAAAATAAAATAAAATAAATTTATATTCATGGAATTAAAGAGATAGATACAGGTTCATTACATTTCGCAGACATTAATTCATTATATCACAATATTTTCCATGTAAAAGAATTGGGCAGAGAGGGTAAATAGGAAACTGTACAAGCTTCAATACTTTTTTTTGCACTGGTAAGCCTGTGCTAATAAAATTTAAACTAAAATTTGTTGCAATAATAATATTTAAAAAAAAGAAAAAGAGAAAGTGGGAAAAGGGTAAATAGGAGAAGGTGCAAGATAGAAAACAATTGTTTGAAATGAATTTAAATTGATTTGCATGTTTTAATTAACCACAAAATTTTATAATTAAATATTAACATTTTCTATTTAATTTTAGATATCAAGATGAAGATCGTGACCTTGAAGCTCAGATGTTAGCAAAAGGCCTCCGATTAACACCAGTTAAAAGGCGAGAAAAGCAATCGCTTTAATTCTCAAGTAAATCGTATATATAATTTTGTAAATAGTCTTTAATATACATTTTCACTGCAATGGAATTCAAAAAAAACATACAGCTCAAATATTTTATAAATGCAATTGTATTTCCAAAATAATTTATGTATCGAAGTTTTATTATATATATATAACACTCTGAGACATTTACTAATCTTTTTTTTTAATTCCGTATACGTCACAGTTGTGTTATATTTCCTGTGTATTATAAAATGATGTTCTATAAAAAAAGATATTTCTAATATGAACTATTTATTTATAATGTAACCATATATTATATAAAATGAAAATTCACATTCAGAACAACTGTCGATATTATTGCATAAATGTAGTTGCTTGGTTACAACCAAAAAATATATTTTTGATGAATTACACATGTATATTGTAAACGGATTCTATTATTTTCATGTTCGTAAGGAAAGTAGTATATAAAAGTTGAAAAAATTAGTAACTTTGTCAAGGTTTCAATATTCTAAAATTTTTATTTACCAAACACAATAATAATAATAATATGAATAATAACACAATAGGAGCTTATAATGAATCGTTCAAATCCGCTTTTGTTCTCCTCTCTTAAATTTTATTATTACTATTAGAATTTTAGTTTAAAACGAACTTTTGATATAGAATGTCGAAAAGTACGTTTATTTAAAAGATAATTTATTTAAAATGAGGGAAATTTTACATTTACAAGTTGGCCAATGCGGCAATCAAATAGGAACAAAGGTATGTTATTTTATTATCATAAATAAATTTAAATTACCTATATAATTTATATTTATGAAACTTGAAAGTAAATTATAAATATGAGGGATTTCATGTAAAAACAATTTTTTGTTAACAAATTAATTTTTTATATATTTTTCTTCATATTCATATGCATATAATGTATAATTTTAAAAAATTTTCTTTTTTAGTTTTGGGAAATGATTTCCGGTGAGCATGGAATTAATACAGAGGGAAAGTATATGGGATCAACAAAACATCAATTGGATAAATTGAGTGTTTATTATAATGAAGTTAATGATCGAACATACGTGCCAAGGGCAATATTGGTGGATCTAGAACCTGGAACAATGGATGCGGCAAGAGGTGGCTTGTATGGAAAGCTCTATCGACCAGATAATTTTATTTATGGTCAGGGTGGAGCTGGAAATAATTGGGCGAAAGGTCATTACACGGATGGAGCAGAGCTTGCTGAAAATGTTCTGGATTCTATAAGAAAGGTAGGCCTTATTAATAATCTTAAATTTCTGTATATTGAATATTTTTCTTTTTTGCAGGAATGTGAAAACTGTGATAGCTTTCAAGGATTTCAAGTTTGTCATTCACTAGGAGGTGGAACAGGCTCTGGAATGGGTACTTTTCTCATTTCAAAAATGAAAGAAGAATATCCAGATAGGTGAATGAAAAAACTTCTTTTATCAAAATTAAGAAGAAAAAAATACTTTAGCTTATAATATATTTCTTTTTTTGTAGAATGATTTCATCTTTTAGCGTGATGCCAAGTCCTAAAGTTTCTGATACAGTTGTGGAACCATTTAATGCAACTTTATCCTTAAAACAGCTTATTGAAAATGTTGATAATACTTTTTGCATAGACAATGAAGCTCTGTACGATATTTGTCATCGTTCATTAAAATTACAATCGCCAACTTACAGTGAATTGAATCATCTTGTCTCGTTAACAATGTCTGGTAAAAATAATTTTCATCTTAATATGAATAATAATTTATTAAAAATTATTATTTTTAAATATCTATAAATAATTTCTTTTGTTTTTGTAGGTGTTACTACAAGTCTTCGTTTTCCAGGCCAATTAAATGCTGATTTGAGAAAATTGGCTGTTAATATGGTTCCATTTCCTCGATTACATTTTTTTGTTCCCTCATTTGCGCCTCTTGTTGCTCCATCTTCTCAGAAATTTTCTGCTCTTTCAGTAGCAGAATTAACGCAACAGGTGAAGAAATGAAAAAAATATGTATATATATAAATATTAGTGTTTTCGTAATGCTAAAAATTAAATTAATTAATTTTTTTTTGCTAATATTTTAGATGTTTGATTCAAAAAATATGATGGCTGCTTGTGATCCACAACATGGAAAATATTTAACAGTTGCAACGATATTCAGAGGAAATATGTCTGTTAAAGAAGTTGATAATTACATGGCCAATGTTCAAAATAAAGAGAGTGCCTATTTTGTCACCTTTATTCCAAATAATATTAAAACTGCTGTTTGTGATATACCACCAGTTGATATGAAAATGTCGAGTACTTTCTTGGGAAATACAACAGCTATTCAGGAACCATTTAAACGCATATGCGAGCAATTCTCTCTTATGTTTAAACGTAAAGCTTTTCTTCATTGGTATGCATTATATTTTTATAATAATTATATAAGTAATCTGTTTTTAGGAAAGACGAAAATTCTTTTATTCGAAAACACACAAAAAAATAGCCTCGTAATTCTAAAAATATATACCTATATTTATACAAAAAAAATTCTTAGATTATATTCTGATTGATTGACATTTTAAACAAAGAACAAATTTTGATATTGAATAAAAATATATAGGTATCTTGGAGAAGGAATGGATGTGATGGAATTTACTGAAGCAGAATCAGATTTACATGATTTAATTTCCGAATATCAACAGTATCAAGAAGTATTGGATGATGATGATGAAAATAGCTATGATTATAATGATGTTGAACAGGAAGAATATAATTACTCAAATGAAGATGGATATGAAGAAGATTAGTCAGCGATGACATTTCGAAATATTTTAAAAAAAATTATTACGTTTATTAAATTGTTATTAATTTTATAGTTTAAATTTTAATTTTAAACTTTAACTTAATGAATCAGAATTTTTAAAATATAATTTAATTTATTAATATCACCATTATTAAGAATTAATTAATGATGGAGAATAAAAGAGAATAATTATAATAATAGCGATGCCATTTCAAGATATTTGTTAAATTTTTATGAATTTTATAATACTTTAGGGCAATTAAACCCTTTAAAGACAAAATAAATTTATACTATTCTTAAATCTTCTTACTTTTATTTATTAAAAAGAAATAATAATTTTAAATACTGAATTATACTTTACAAGATAAAAAAAATTATAATTTTCTATAAATCTGCCAATATTGCTTAATGTTACATTTAAATTTGTATTATTATTCCCGCCTGTTTTGGTGATGTGCATTGTACAACATCTGAATTGTGAAAATGTTATTGTAGAAAGACCCTTAACTCGTAGTTTTAAGACATTTTACTTACTTAACCCTGGTTGCTAGTTGAAGGAAAAATTTGGTGTATGATCCAACAACTGATCCAAATAAATCGCGCAGTCTGAATGGTTTTTTACTTTTAATCTAAAAAAATGACATTTGAGGAAATGATTTTGTAGTTTAGTTCGGCGATTTTGCTTCGGATTTCAAAATAAGAAATGGAAGCCGACTATCAACCGACGCCAAGTCGCCAAGTTTTGACAGGTCAGTGTATTATACACTAATAGTAATGTTGACGCTGCATTAAATATTACAATCTATAAAGAAAGCTTTTTACATATTGTCTATTATGTATCTGTGTATAAAAAACCAAGGCAATTGAATTCACTATTAATAGACAAAATTCTCTTAAAATTATTTTAAAATGTATAGGAGAAATGATTTTAAAATAAAAATAATAATTTAATACCGATTCTCAATACAGAATATGTTTTGTTTTTTGATATTGAAAGAAAATTAGAAGATGCTAATTAGCTATACGAATTATTATTTTATTAAGTTATAATCATAAAAAGTAGTTACTAGATGTTAAAAATTAACAGTCTTCTATAAGTCAGAATTATTCTTTTCTGTATTTTTGAAAATCTCTCCTGAATTCCAGTCACTTGAAGAAAATGGAAATTAATTTTTTTTTTTAATTATAGTAACGGCAGTTGATACTGAAGATCCATATCCCAGTTTATCAGATTATCATGACTATGAACCAAATTTGGAATTTGATGACACTGAATTACAAGCTACGACGACAAATGGTAATGGAAAAAAATATTAATATTGTTTAAATACACTCTTCATGTTTTGATGAACTAATGAAAAATCTCTTTACAGCAGCAAAACTTTTGGAGCAAGGTTTAGATTTAAATGCAAGTGGAGTTGGTACAAGTATAGACTACTTAGAGAGTCCAGTTAGTGATGGAACTATTGAAGAGAATTTTGAAGAAGCTCTCGTAGATGCGCCCGTTATTGAAACTGGTATGTAAAATTTTCTATGTTAATTCTTTATTTACTGTAATTATTTTTCATTATTTTGATTGCAAAATTAAAAATTATTAAATATATCTAATGTTTTATTTAATAATTTTTGTGTTATTTCGATAGCCGCTGATCTTGCAGCCCTTGATAGAGAACTGGCAGATGAGGAAGATTATTTAGATATTTCTAAACATGGTATAGTTGAAGTAGTTGGTGATGATAGCGCTGGACGAAAAATAATTGTTGTCTCTGCTTGTAAATTGCCACCCGTTAATAAAGAAGCATTTAATCATGCTAAACTTCTAAGGTAATTAATTAAATTAAATAAAAATATTAAAATGAAATAATTAAATATAAATTTACAGATATCTTACTCACACATTGGACACGTTTGTTGAACAAGATTATAGTTTAGTTTATTTTCACTATGGTCTTACGTCAAAGAATAAACCACCATTATCATGGTTATGGCAAGCATATAAAGCATTCGATAGAAAGTATAAAAAAAATTTAAAGGCCCTTTATTTAGTACATCCAACGAATTTTATTAGAATTGTTTGGCAAATATTTAAACCTGCAATCAGGTAATTTTTTTTAATAGAAAATTAATTGGTTTTTAATTTATTCAGAAAATTAATTTTATTATTTTTTTTATAGTGCAAAGTTTGGTCGAAAGATGATGTATGTCAACTATTTAGAAGAATTAGCACAATACATTAATCTAGATCAATTAATCATTCCATCTCAAGTGATAGAGTAAGTATGGTTTTTATTTTCTCAAAATAAAATTTAGGAAATGAATAATTGTTATTTTGTTTATTTTTCAGACACGATGAGCAATTAATGAATAAGCATAAAAAGAATTTATCTAAATTACCATCACCTAGTGGAATAGTATCACCAGTTTGTACAACACAATTTGGTGCAAGTCTTCAATTTATTAAAGAAAATAATGGTGGCGATCCTATACCACCAATTGTTCGTCAATGTATTGATTTTCTTAAAACACCAGAAGGTAAATTTTTATCAATGTATTTTTAAAATTTATGCTAATTTTTGTTTGTTTTATTTTAGTTTTAGAGACAGAAGGAATATTTAGAAGGTCTGCTAATGTAGTAGTGATTAAGGAGCTTCAAAATCGTTGCAATCAAGGTTTACCTGTTGATTTTCAAGGTGATCCTCATATAGCAGCAGTTCTTCTCAAAACTTTCTTACGAGAATTGGACGAACCTCTCATGACTTATGATCTCTACGATGAAATTACACAATTTCAAAGTAAGTTAAATAATTTTGTCGAATTATAATTAAAAATATGTTATAATAATATAAATTAATTTAGCTTTAGCGAAAGATGAAAGACCACGAAGAGTGAAGATTTTAATTCTCGAAAAACTTCCTCTTGACAATTATCAACTTTTAAAATATATTGTGCAGTTCTTGTCAAAGGTAATCTATTTAATTTTAAAATTTCGTTCTCAGCGAAATTTGTTCTACATTATTTTTTTTGTAGGTGATGGACAGATGTGATCTCAATAAAATGACATCGAGTAATCTTGCTGTTGTTTTTGGTCCAAATTTAGTCCGTGCGCCTCCCTCAAAAGGAATGTCATTATCTGCAATAGGTCCCATTAATCAATTCATTGATTTTGTCTTTACTTATCAAGATAAAATATTCATTATTTAAAAATTTACTTACAAGTCCTAAGAATTAAATGCAAGTTGGAACAAAGTGAAATTACTTTATAATTAATTTTTTGACTTGTATACTAATTTAATTGTGTATATAATCACACTTATTATTATTATTTATATCCATATTTTTTTCTAATGAGATAACCAAACTTTAAAAAGAAAACATATTTTCTATATCTATATAGTTTAAATTTTATTTTATATTTTTTCACAATGTAAAGTTAATATTTATTTTTTAATAATAATAATAATTATTATTATTTACTCATCGATTTAAAAAATTTTCTATTGTGCACCATAAAAAAATGTGTCACAATAAAAGACATTTTTTACTGTAAAAACAGTACAACGATACTTGTTAATTAAGATCGTATATCTAAATATTTATAAAAGAAAATTTGTTACTGTATACCAAAGATATATATGGAATGTCAAAAAAAAACAATTTTAATGTACAACTTAGAACTATATATAAAAAATTAGTACAATTATATAATTTTTAAAAGAATTTTTTTTATCAGTTATACACAGATCACAGAAAACACTCCTCTTTTAATTAAAATATTTTTTTTTACAGTAAAAATGTATTTTTCGTCAATTGTCAACTATCCATCTAACTTATTATTTGCATTTATTAATATATTTTAACATTCCATTTAAGTTAACCAAAGCCAAATGCACTGATTGTAGAACATGTTCGCAAGTCTTCAAATTTGTGTTTTTTTTATTTTTTATTGCTGTATACCCTGTAACATAAATATCGTATGTACATATATATATTAGATAATGTGTATAAATTATTAGTTAAGCTACACGAAATTTTAGAAAAAAAATAATTCATAAATGTTATCAACTTATATAATATAAAGTAAATAATAATGCGAATCATAAAACAAATATTTTCTCATCAATATGTGTTATTATTATTCAAATAAGTTAATTTTTCTAATGTACATATCATTTATATTTTCTCTGATGAATACAAAAAAAATTTAAATACGAGAAAATTGTTTTCGCACGGTAAAAAATACAAAATTTATATAAGATAAAAAATTAGCACTTGACGTATTTTGAAAATTTAATTCTCAATTATTATATACATATATAAATATATATAGAATATAATCGTTTCATAATTGTTAATCTGATAATGATATTAAACAATTTTAGAAAAAATTTCTCGACTCTTTTCATTTTAATAAAATAATTATTGCACTTGATTGCAAAAATTTATTATTAAATTCTCTTTTTAAAAAAGTTATTTTAATGTTATTAAATTATTTGTAAAGAATATACAATTATTCATAATGTTTACTCCTAAAAAAAATATATACACACTTTATAAATTAGGATCTTTGTGATGAACAACATGAACTTTTGGTTGATTGCGATTCTTCCGTTTCGTCTTCGACGACAACAACATTACGTCGAGAATTATTAGTTTTTGTTAAATTATTTTGCACTTCATCGGCATGTACCATCATACATCGTGTTAAATCAAAAAATACCTCTTCTATATTTTGATTTAATTTAGCTGAAGTATTAAAATGCGCAGCACCAACTTGTTTTGCGTATCTAAATCGAAATTTAAATGAAATTAATTATTTAATTTTAAAGAAAATTAACGCAAAATTTTTAATTAAATAAATTTACTCTTCCGCTTCATCTGAGGAAACATTTCTTTCCTTTTCAAGGTCAACTTTATTTCCAGCTATTACCAAACAAATATCACTTCCAACAATTTTTTTTAATTCTTTAACCCAGTCTTTAACCTTAAACAAAATTATTATTATTATTAATTAATATTCGCACAGAGTATATTTTCTGAGACCTGTAGAAAAAAATATTCTTCTCTAGAATTAAATTTTAGATAATTAATTAAAAAAATAGCATAAAAAGAATCAGTTGAAACCTTACTTTTTGGAATGATGCTTTATCGGTTATATCATAAACTAATATTGCTCCATTAGACATTCGATAATAAATTGGTCCTAACGAATGGAATTTTTCCTGTCCGGCTGTATCCCAAATAGCGAGATTTATCCTTTTTCCATTAATATTCAATTTTTTTCTAAGATATGAAGCCTTGAATAGAGTAAATGATTTTTTAATAATTGAACGAATGGATTATTAATCGAAATAATAATAAAACAATTAAGTCTTAAGTATGAAAATTTTCTTTACCTGTATTGTTGGTTCAGTACTAATATGTTTATCATTAAATTTATCTTCAACATATCTAAGGGCAACTGATGTTTTTCCCACACATCCTTCACCAAGGAGAACTACCTTAAAATTATATACATTGTTATCAATAGATAAACTGGCCATAGTTTTTTTTTAATTTTAATATTAAAACGATTTAGTGATATTTTTCTGAAACATCTTTACAACTGAAAAATATTTATCTTTCCATTTTTTCTTAATGTTTTTCAATGAATCAGAAATGAAAACGTCAAATCAGCTGATGAAAACATTGTAAAAAAAACCGCCGACAGATGGCGGGACCATAATAAAATTTAATTTTTATTTTTATCTCTTTTTAAATAAAAAATTAGTAATAGTTACACTTTTTAAAGTTAATAATTAGTTGTGAAAAAGTTTTATTTTTAAATAATGAAAAATGTTAATTACATTTAAAAATAGTTAACGTTTATTATAAATTGAAACTTCAATTTTTAACCGGAAGTTATAATCCATGGTTGTATATTCATATTCCTAACCGTTTTGACAAAATTAGAATGTGCTATTAATTGTTTTGACATTGACAACTATTTTTTCTTACTTTTATAAATGTTTTTCAACATAAAGAATAATTAATTTTTTTAAATAAATTGAAATAAACATTAAAATATTTTTGACACAAGAGCGCGAAACATAACTCATAGTGCGTTGGGCTGCGTAATGACGTTGCGCATAGAAACTTGTGTCCGTCACCTGTATTGAAAGGTAAGCACAGTGTATTATCCTATATTTAATTTGATTTTTAATTGAATATTGTGGAAAATTTTTAATTAAATTTATAAGCAAAACATAGTTTAGTGATTTCTTTCTTGTCAAACGTATTGTCATTGGTGTTTATTCATATTTCTTAAAAGTATAGCAAAACTTTAGTGTAGCGTCTCTACAGTGTAGACCGGAGTCAAAATTTGGCTTCCAGCTTGACACACGATTTAATGAAAAATTTATAAATTCTGAGTGGAAAGACAAGTTAGAATTGAATTTTATATCAAGTACGTATAATACTCGTTATTTGTGATCATTAGAAGTTTTTTCTTCTGTCAGTTTGTCAACTGTCGGCACTCGGCACGATACGATATGATATATGGCAGATAAACAATAGACGTCAAATAATAAAATCATTAATATTTCAAATATTACATCTATTTATATATATATAGAATTGAAAATTTATTGTAGCAGTGAATTATTTAATTGATTGGTTATCGTTCATTTTGTAAAAATTTTGAACAAGTTGTCAAGTAATTTTTGGTTCAAGTACGAAAAGCGGTTATGGCGGCGTTATGTTGAACACACGTCATTCACCAACCGCACGAGAAACATATATACAAAACGTGTGTATATACATATATACACTGTACTACATATTTATATATTTATTTTCTTTTGTTTTAAACTTTTTAAAAGTTATTATTTATAACTAAAGCTTTTTCATTGTAGTGTTTGTTGTATTCACATACTTTTAATTATCAATCATCCCTATATAGAAGCTGCTACATAATATTAAGCATTTTTTCTGTGATTGTACAATTAATTTTTAATTTTTTTATAAAATACAAACAATAAGATAAGTAAACAAAAATTTCATGATTATAATTATTTTAAAAAGTACAGTTTTTAAATTTTCAAAATCATAACCTATAAATTACTATAATAATTATATTTACTTGTCAGTGACATAAAATATTAATCGTATTATGTAGAAAAATACGGTTCTCTTTTTTAATAATAAATATTTTAACTGATAGGTGATTTTAAACAAATTTTCATTTATAATTTTTATGTTATTGAATCTATTTTTAAAAATTTTTAAATTTCAAAGTGAATTGAACTTTAATGTATATATGTATATAAATATGAGAGTCGAGTATAAAGTTTTGTGCTCGGTGAAAGTAATGGTCACTGCAACAGAGTGACTGAAAATAACTTTTTTAAAAAGTGATTTCATTTGAGTATATATAAAGAGAGACACACACGTTGTCTGCTCTATATGCATCCTTGAAATTTTATTTTGAAAATTAATTTTCTTTGTAAAAAATATTTTTCAAATTTTTTTTTTTGCATTTGATAAGTTAGGCACAATAGGATGAATCTGCATTAAGTTTAACGCGACGTCATTTGTCGCTTAAATTTTGACAGCACCAAATAATAAATTTGAATTAATTTTCAATTCATACACATCAAATTCCCTATATTTTTTACACTCTTCAATACTTTCATTGTTTGCTGATATTCGGGATTGCTATATATTATTTATTCTTTTGTATGAAATTAATAAGATTAAATGAAAAGGAAAGTGCTTTTTTAAAAGCCAAACACTAAAACGAAAATGTTATTTTTAGAAAAGAAATGTTACGACATTTTTAAATCAGACTTTCTTGATTTTTTTTCCAGTTTATTTATACTTTGTGATTATTTCATGATCACATCAAGTAGAAAAAAGTATATATATACATTTTTTTAAATATCAATAAAAGTGACTGCAGAAAGTACTTTTTTTTGGAGTAGATTGTAATTTATGATTTTACCGTTAGGACCATTTCAGGCATTTATATCTTCCCAAAAGCCAAAGTAACAGAGTAGAGACTGAAAGTTTGGATTACCAGGTAATGGTGTCAGGGCTGAATGACATCGCCTAGTTACAGAACGTTTCCTCGATAATTGAGGCTAAATAACAACCGTTACGCAAGAGAGAAAATTGTTGATCAGAAAATTTAATTCGAATTTATGCTCCATTAAAAAAGTCTTAAAAATTTATAAACAATAATTTTATGACTATGAATTACCTTAGACATTGATTAAGCTACAGCTTTAAAAAATACCATTCCATAAGAGACAGGATCTTTTTTTTTAAATTATACGTCTCGGACTTAAATAAATATTATTAAAATATTAAATGTTTAAAAAATGTTAGAAAAATAAAGTGACCTGAAAACCTTAATGTTTTTAGCTTAAAATTTTTAATAATCTCCATTTTCTTAATTTTTTTAAATTGTCAACATTGTTACTGAAATGTATACATGATCGTGTTTGATATCATAATATATATAGGTATATTAAGTTTATCATATCTTCTCTTATCAATTGACAACAATTTTTTTGTATAAAAAATTGTTTTTCCAAAAATAAAATATATCTTGAATACTAAAATGGATAAAAATAAATTTAATTATAAAATTATAATTGCCGTCAATATTTTTTTCTGTCTTCATCTTATTTGGTGAGGCGTATAAAATCCCTCTATATGTATACATATAGGTATATATATATATATATATTAGCAAGCGCGCATTAAACTTTATACTTGTTGCTTACTATTTTTAGATATATGTGTTTTGTCGCACGGCAACTTTCGCTCGTGTGGCAAGATTCATAATATGCACTTGATACATATACATATATAAACACATTTGACATTTTTTAAAATTTTCAAAAATTTTTTTAAAAGATCCTAATGAATTTTGGTTCTAAATTCAAAATTAAAAAAAATGCTGCAAACCAAAAACAGCGGTAGGAGTAAACAAAATTCCCTCCGCAAAATTTTCAAGTGTTTCTTTTTTTTAAATTTGAATAATTAAATTTTGTTTTAGAGTCAAACATCAGAAGAGTCAAAATGTTTAGCTTTCATAAACCGAAGGTTTATCGTTCGAGTAAAGGCTGTTGCATTTGTAAAGCCAAATCAAGCAGGTAAATTTCTAAAAATAGATATAATATGTATATATAAATTATTAATTTTGCAAAATTTTAATGAGAATATATTAATCTGACAATATTAATTATTTTCAGTTCAAGGTTCACGGATAGTAAAAAATATGAAGACGATTTTATAAAATGTTTTGTACTTGAAGAACGACGAACGGGAGAAATATGTAATGCTTGTGTACTTTTGGTTAAAAGATGGAAGAAATTACCAGTTGGCACCGATCGCAATTGGAATCATGTAAAAAAAAATATTTTATTCATGTAATAGTTTTTATCATCTATTTATTATTTTTGTACTAATATCATTAATTTATTATTCACAGGTTGTAGATGCACGTGCTGGACCGGGAATAAAATCATTAACGAAATTTAAATCTAAAAATAAAAAGAAAAAATTAAAAGATGTTAATGAAAAATTGGAAAAAATAATAAAGAAGAAACATGTTTACCAAAAGCGAGAAAGAGAAGATAGTCCAGCGATGAGTGATGATTTTACTGGTTTGTAATATTAATAATTTGTTTAAATTAGTATTAAATTAATTTTTTAATGTAATTTCTCTTTTTTTTTGCAGAAGAAGATTGTAATGGATCTGGAAGCAAAAATTCCAGCAGAGCAGGAAGTCCAGAAGAGAATTGTGATACTATTACAGAAGCAAAACTACTTAACTTGGCTTTAAGTTACTTTAAACAGTAAGTATTTTTATAAATTGAAAATCACTTAGGAATATTTGTAATAATAATTTTTTTTCTAATTTCTCTTAGGGAGATGATTTGTTGTGGGATGGTATTCAAGGGTCGAAATGGTGAAGTAATGATGGATGGAACTTTAGTGAAACCATGTTCAGGAAGTGTTTCCAAACGACAGCAGCAACAACAACTGCAACAGCAGCAACAACAACAACAACAAGAAATTACAACACTTAGGAAAAGTCCATCAACAAGTCCATCGCATAGTTCGGCGTCAACAAGTCCTGCTTATAGTGTGGAATCAGCTGTTGAATCCTCAATTTCAAAATTATCCAAACCAATAATGAATCATCGATTCTACGAATCATCATCAGATTCAGGATATGATGAGTCTTCCAATCAAGGAGTAGGTGAGAGTAAATTAGCTAAAATAATTCAAAATTCTACGTCGTCAATTGGAATTAAAGTCGAACCTCCAAAAAACGTGACACTTAAAACAATTCCAATATCAGAAGCTGTTCGAATAAAAAATGAAGTGCCAATAAAATTAGTTCCAATGAAGCCAATATCTCTTAGTACTAATCTTACTTTGAGTAATCTCACATTAAATGATGGTACTTCGATTACATCTAATCCACTCGTAGATTTTGCTATTCATGCCTCTTCCAGGCAACCGGTTACTAATTAATGTCAGTCACTCGTAGAATTTTAATTTATTGTTTCTCATATTTAGTTAGGTTAGGTGTTCTTAATCATATATAAATATATATATATATATATAAATATATAAAAACTCAAATTTCGAGAGCTACGAATGGGTTGAATTGAAGAAAATATTTATTGATCCACTCAAGGCAAATTGACTTGGAGTGATTTTTTTTACATAATATTTATAACATCCCATTCACAGCTTTTGTTTTCTGGGTATTCATAATAATGCAATTACAGAAAAATACATATATAGTATACATGTATATGTATACTAAATAATTCTTGTATAGTTATTCCAAGATGCCAATTAACTTTTTAATATTGGGTCCAAAAATGAAAAGGAAACAGTATCACACATGCATTTAAAAATAATTGCCTCATTATTTGATGCAAATTTACATTGATCACAAAAGTAATTAATTTTATTAATTATTATATTTTTTAAATAAATCCGAAGAAATACATAATAATAATAATAATAATAATGCTTTATTAACATATTCTTAATAACTTTTGACTTTTCTTTTATTTAAACTTCATAAGTTCAAAAAACACAAATTCCATTTTGCAGAAAAAATTACATTTTTAATATTTGTCCATGTCAATTTTATTTTGTATTGCATTTTTTAAAAATATTTTGTAGGTAAATTTTTATGAAGAATTTATAAACTATATTTTTTTTGACAAAGTCAGTCAATTATATTTTCGTAAACTTTTCCAGCTTTTTTACTTTTAAGTAAAAATAGTTTAGATTCAATAAATTTACAATTTTGAAAAGTGCATTGCTTTTTTACACAAAAAAATTTTGAAGAAAAGAAATTAATAAATTTATACATTAAAAAATTGAATTCTTATTTCTTGTAAATATAAATTTGATTGTTTTTTTTTGAAACTCTAAATTTAAATAGAGAAATCAATTTTTACAACACTTATACAACACCAATTGAAAAAAAAAATTTTTAAAAATGGCTTCCATCTTTTATTTTTTCTTTTAGATGAAAATAAAAATGTACAAAATTTTTTTAAAAACATTTGACTTTTTCTTTTCATGTAAAAATAAATGAAAGAAAAATTTATGGGAAAAAAATCTATCATTTCTATTTTAAGTTTTTTTTAGGTATTTTCAATTGGTGTTAAAAAAATTTTTTTATGTATAAAGTCATTTGTCTTAAGTTTAAATTTATGTACACTAGTGAGTTTTATATAAATTCTGTAAAATTCCTTTTTTGTGTACATTTGTTTTAGTAAAAAATTGCTGTCATATATTTTTGTCGTGACTTAGTTTTCCGTTCATTTTTTTTTGAAAATTTCGTGTATGTTAAGGTAAAATTTTTAACTGTATTTATTGTTTTCGTGTATTATTTATTTACAATTCAAGTTAAAAAATGTATGTTTTATCATTAATATTAAACTGAACGGAAAATGGTTCTTAGGTCAACGACAGTATAATTTTGCTCAAAATGACAAACTTTTTCAAAATTGAAATTTTTTGATTGAATTTTTTTATTGACAATTATCTTAAATATTATTAATTAAATATGAATTAAAATTTAAAAAATTGATAATTTATTAGCAAATTTAATTGTACATTGTTGCAATATTATAATATTACTTATTTCTTTTTTTTGTTAAATCGACTTTATTTTTAAATCGCGAATTGAATATATTATTTTTATTGTAAAAAAATATTCTCTTGTGTATAAACTTGAAGGCATTCTTCTTGTTAGACATGTCTTATTATTTATTTTTCAATTTGAATTTTTGATTAAAGAATTTTACGGTATATGGCAGTAGCTATTTTTGAAATTCAAACTTTTTTTATTTTTTAAATATTGTAGATATAATTATTTTCATACACATGTTATTCTGTTGCAATGATTGAGAAATTATGGGCTTTTTTTACATCTTATCTAAATTTTCACTTTTAATTGTATTTTAATAATTAGCTGTGACGGTTAATACATTATTAATTGAAAAAAAACTTTTGTAATTCCAATCAAAGGTTTTTTCTTTGTAATTCAGTATTTTCAGTTATTATTAATTAGTTATTATATTTAATAAAAAAAACATGTGTTATCGCGTTGGTACTTTGGTATACTTTTTACATTGCAAGAATTAACGTATAGTACAAACTTTTAACTATCATATTTTTGATAGTATAAATAAAAGTACAATATCCAGAAAACCATTTTTTTTTGTTTTTTTTTTGAAAAAGAAACAATTCGATCAATCCACATTTTTAGAACAGTTATATATATAACTTTTATATAATTAGATAAATTCTACGAGAGGAGTGGACTGACACATTTTTTTTTAAATTTTGAACAACAAAAAAACGAATATAAAATGTAATAATATTTCAAAATTCACAAAAGAATAGTCGAAAGATTTTGTATGTATATGAGCAAAAAAAGCTTATATTAAAATTAAGGTATAATTTTTTATATTGATATACCAATTTTTAGTTTGTAATATTAAGATATAAGAAGTTTGTTTTTATATAATTGGGGCTTGCGAATATAATAATAATAATAATAATAATAATATCGACTGCAAGTGAAGTGGGCACATAATTAATTTTCTCGGGATAGAAAAATATAGATGATGAAAAAAAATTAAGGATGGATGTAAATATTGTATTTGAGTGGATCTCGCCCGCAATTTTTTTTTTTTTTTTTTTTTTAAATAATTCACAGACTTTTAACATCTTATATAGAATTTTCTGAAGAACAACTCTTTAATAATGATTGTGAGACTGATCGATATATTAAGGAAATAATTTTTATTTACATACAACATTTAGAAATAGGGAAGATTTATAAGATCCATATTGTAAGTGAAATTTTTAAATAATCAACAAATGACTGCCATACTCGTTAACTCAATGTTTATTTGTTAATCTATAAACATAATAATATATTTGTACATATTGTGTAAGCATTAAATATCTTTGCGAATCGAGGTGTGAGATGCATAATTTTGGACAGATTTTTTTAATTTATTTTTTCTCGTTAAAAGTATCAGTCACACAATATTGTGTACGATTTTTACATCATTCATCCCCCGAAATAAGGCCCTGTTTCACTAATCGTCTTTTGTATATTACATTAATTATGTAATCGATCAAAAACTGATCGGCAGCTACAAAATATATATATATAAATATATATATTTAAATTTATTGTATTAACGGATTGTGAAAAGAAAGAATGCTTTTCTTTTAAAATTTGAATGAAAGTTTTGTGCCAGTTTCTATGATGTTTTTTTTAGTAATATTATAGTTAGGAAGATTTGATATTCTGGTAAAACCAAATTATACATATGGAGAAATTAGAACTGCGTGTATGTGTATGTATGTATGATAAAAAAAAGAAAACAAAGAAAAGCGAATGATTTTGTATAATTTTTCTATTGTGCTGATAGATTATCGACTGGCACGAAAGGCTCGTTAAATATTTTTTAACGCAATTAATTTCATTATAAGATCGACGTCCTGTGATATTTAAATATCAAGTAGAAAAAGAAAACTATAATTGTTGCTACAACCTATTAGATATTTAAATATTATAAAAAAATGGAATAATATTTAAAAGCACAAAATCAAGGAACCACTATTGTGGAGAAAGATTTATTGTTTTAGCAATCGGTTGATCTCAATATGTTTACTAATAAATTTGTAAAAAACAAATGTTTTAAATCTTTTTTTTCAATGGAATACATAATTTATTTTTATTTGCACAAAAAAAGCGTTGCATAAATTATGTATTTTTTCATATATGTATATGGATAATCTTTTTACAACGAAATGTATTTCTTATATTTTCTATTATTATAATCCTCTCTATAAATAATATATAGATTATACTGTTTTTAGTGATCTGATATTGTATAAGTTAATTATATTTTATAGATGTCTTATAACAAATGCGAATATGCTTTTTGTAAATTGACAATATTTTTTTCATCTATCACAGTAACTATATGTAAATATAGTAATATTCCATTATATTTTGTTAAGCATTAAAATTAAAGTATTGTGTAAAAAAAATAATTTGTGTTTATTAAAAAAAATTACTTATAAATTCAGTGGAAATTTCTCTCTCTTTTTCCTTTTTTAAAAATAGTTACTGTTTGAATAAATTTTCAAATATAACACACGTAGTATACCTATTTTAAATTTGACCACGTTAGTTTCATTTAATAAAGGTCTTTCTCCAATAAGATTCTAACAGCATGCGTTGCGTTGGTTGCTATGGCAACTGTTGATACAACCGTGTGCCCACATTCAATACGCAACATTTCGGACGTTGCACGTTATGTGATGTAAATATAGTCAATGTTTTTAGGTCTATTGTAAAATGGCCTGATGTTATAATAGGTTAAGCATTTGTTGTCCTTTGTCCTTTGATGTTTACATTTATCATTTTGCTTAATTGTATTAATGTTCCCGTGAAATATTAATAGTTTTCATAATGAATATCCTAAGTATTCGTTATTAAGTTTTATTAGTGAATTTATATGTTGAATATTTTAAATCAATTAATTTTAAAATTACTTGCAGCTGTCATAATTGCTTATATGACAGCTTTTGTGCGTGTGCAGTGTTAACAATAGTGTAATAAAGGAATAAAGCATTTGATACACGTAATATGTCCAGAACAAAAGATGTTCCGTATGGAGCGCACATTGTCTCGAAAATTACAAATAAATGTTGCCCTTGTCATCAATCAACACGATTGTTATGGAATCAAGGTGTTATTTTGGTTCTTACTTTCATCGCCTACATGTGCTATCATTTGACAAGAAAACCAATATCTGTGGTTAAAAATGTATTGACTGCCAATTGTAGTAATTTATCGCCACCGCCAAATTTTTCTGTCAACTCTAGCAATCGAGACACATGGTGTGATTGGGCTCCTTTTGGTATGTCATTTTTAATAATTTATTTCATATATAATTCATTCTACAAATTGAAAAAAAGAAGTAATAGTTTCAGAGATGATAAAAATCATGATTTTATTTATTAATATACAATTTTTTTATTTAAGGGGCCTTCTTGGTTTAGACTTGAGTTTGAAATAATTTTTTAAAATTTAATTTCAGTTTAATTTTTTTTACATCTATAAAAATTAATTTATTATTAACATTTATCATTATTTTTTTTCATTTCGTACAATAATACTTTTGCTTTATAATTTTATTGAAATGCAGTTTTGTTCTTTTATTAAATTTTCAGCAATTCGCTTCAGTCACGTATGTTTTGATATCGCATATAGTTGAAAGAAAGAAAGATAAATTTTATTATTTATCATGTCATTATTTATGTGTTTAGTTTTCATTAACATAGATTGTCTTAATTGGCATGAAAGAATTTATTGTAATCTATTATTTTTATTGCTTTCTTAAAGAGAAAATGTAATATCAAAAAAATTTAATGTTTTTATTATCATTAATTTAATTAAAATTAAATCTAATAATTTTAATTTTTGCTCAATCAATAAAAAAAAATTTTCCATAAGAAGAAAAAACATGGAAATAAATTTCCTGCTAGGGGATAATAGAAAAAGAATTTTTTAAAAATTAATTTTTGAGTTACCTAATAATTAATTTTATTTCTGATTCAATCTTTTCAATGATATAGTTTTTATCTTCTTAAATTTACAGATTCTCATGATGCATCGGCATTACTTGGAACTCTTGATTCAGCATTTTTATTTGCATATGCTGGTGCGATGTTTCTTAGGTAATTATATATTTTTATAATTTATGATAATTAAGAATATAAACTGTCTTTTTTTATTGAGGTTCATCTATTATTAAAGAAAAAATAATAAAAATTTATTATTAACAGTGGCTTTATTGCTGAAAGGGTAAATCTTCGTTACTTTTTGGCTCTGGGTATGCTTACATCTGGAATCGCATCTTATTTATTTGGAATAGCAAGATCATACAATATACATAGTCTTTCTTATTTGATACTGGTTCAGGTAAATTTCACATTTTAGCTCATGAAATTTTAATGATTAATTCTTATTGTTAATTTGTTTCTAGACATTTGGTGGAATATGTCAAACCACTGGCTGGCCAGGGGTTGTTACAGTCGTTGGAAATTGGTTCGGAAAAGGAAATCGCGGTTTGATATTTGGAATTTGGAATTCACACACTTCTTTAGGAAATATTTTAGGCACTACAATTGCAGCTCAATATGTTGAAACTGATTGGGGTTTAAGTTTTATTGTGCCTGGAGCCATAATGGGAATTTGTGGCTTTATTATTTTTTTGTTTTTAGTACCTCATCCAGAAAATATTGGCTACTCGACACCTGGACCAATTGCATACAGAAAAATTGATACACCTGGAAGTTCAGATGAAAGTAGTGGTGGAGATGAAGAAGCACGAAATAGTGATGAGGTATGTCCTTATATAATAACAGTTTCAAGCAATTTATGGATGACACAATTTCACATCATAGTAAATTTTGACGAGACGATAAATTTTATAAGGAAACTGCAGAGAATAAACAATAAAGAAATCAATTTACTTGATAGTAGTGTGGCTAATTTTTTAAGGAGTTACTGTCATTTTTAAAATTTGATTACTTCATATTATACTTTTAAAGATTTTGTTTTGCAAGAAAAATATTGTCAAAATTGTTAATTTTTTCATCTCTACTAATTGCCAGTAACTTCTTAATATGTAATTTAAGTATTTCATGCAACCACAGTATTTAAAATACTAATTTGATTATTTTGTAATTTGACACAATAATATATCACAACATAGCTTTTATTAGTGCACTTTTTATATTGAGTATGTAGATGTATTTATACAGCATGCTTCACACTAACGTAGAAAACATCATTTTATATACTTAGAATGTGGCTTATCGGCGTGGCTGGCACCAACAAAACGATTTTAATGTAAGTGCATGTCATTAAATTTCTTCCAAATTGCAATAATATTATTTATTTAAATAAAAAAGGATTTTGCATTTTATTGTTAAAAATTTATTATTGTTTTTTAGAAATAAAACATTAATTTTATAAAATTACATATTACAATTTAAGAACAAAGCACAATCTTTATAACCACCTGTTTTACTACTGCTATTAAAAATATTCACATAGTTTGAATGGGAACTGAATAATCGGCAAGCAAGCATGTCCAGCGGTTTAGTGATCCATAAATACATTTAAATAAATTTAAACTATTAAAAATAATATATCTTGTAATTTTGTACTATTTATAATTTAGAATTTGAATTGTTATTTTTATTATTTTAATATATGGTTTTTTTTAAAGGAAACGGAAAATCTACGAACAGAAACGAGTCCTATGCTGTGCATCAATAGACATAATGCAAAAAATGAAAAACCTATAGGATTTTTAGGAGCAATGTATATTCCAGGTGTTCTCGAATATTCATTTTCATTATTCTTCTCTAAACTTGTCAGTTACACATTTCTTTACTGGTTACCACTCTATATAGCTGCTTCATGTTAGTATTATAATAGCAATAATGATATTCATGTCTAATTATATAGATCGATAAAGATTTATCAATTTTATTTTAATTTATCAATTTACAGCAAATTATAGTGCATCAGATAGTGCTAATCTTTCAATTTTATTTGATATTGGAGGAATTTTTGGTGCCATTGTGGCTGGTATGCTGTCGGATTATTCTGGAATGAGCGCTTTAACTTGTGCTGTAATGCTTTCTTTTGCAGTTCCTACAGTAAGACTATATTATTAGCTTTTAATTAAGATTTTTTTAAACCTAGCTTTTATTTTCAATTCCGTCTGTTTATTTTCAGCTTTTTATTTATGATTATTTGGGAACAGTCAGTGTAGGTGTGAATATTTTATTATTACTTGTGGCAGGGTTTTTAGTGAATGGACCTTATGCTCTTATAACAACAGCTGTATCTGCAGAGCTAGGTACACATTCAAGTTTGGGCAATAATTCAAAAGCTCTTGCAACAGTTACGTCCATTATTGATGGAACTGGTAGCATAGGAGCCGCTATTGGCCCATTATTAGCTGGTCTTGTTTCCAGCTATTACGGATGGCACAATGTTTTTTACATGCTTATGGCTGCGGACATCTTATCTCTTTGTGTAAGTTCTAAAATTATTATTTAATCTTTTACGTTCGATAAATATTATTTATTTATTTTAATGTTTATTTTTACCTCTCTTTAAGTTGAAAAAGTTATTCAGTGTTAACTATTTTAAATCAAAATTAAATTAACTTTAATTTTTACTTTGTTATTTTTAGCTACTGTTGAGGTTGGTTTATAGAGATATTAGAATGCTAATCCAGAGAAGATGGACCGTTTGACTGTGATATTATTTAAGATAAGAATAATTCTCAGTTATTTAATTATACAAGAAATATAAAAAAATATATTAAGTATTTTATTGCTAAACACAAAGATTTTACAAATCTCTTACAGTATATTTTTATTTACTGCCAAATTGGCTGTTGTAAAAAAAATGACAAAAGTATTCAACTAGTTTATTTCATTAATGTTATTAATTGGAAACTTTTATATTAATAGTTTTAAGTGTGAATCCTTCGTATTTACACTAGTTGGTTATTTCTAATGCTGTGAATAGTAAGGTCAAAAATTTAATTGAGTATGCATTTTTAAAACGTACCACCCAAAACCGTAAGGAATTTATTTTTTTATAGTGATGTTTATTAAAGTCATTATACTAAAGAATTTTTAATAATATTTGTTTTTGTTATTAACAAATTAAAGATTTTTTACTTTTTGAGTCAGAAAAATTAAGCGATAAAAATAATAGAAACAAAATTATTTGATTTTTGATACATTTAAGAAATCCTCAAATGTGAATATTAAGGGGTTAATATAAAATGGAGTTAGCTCTTAAAAATGAACTTTTTAAAGGCATTTAATTAAAACTGATACCAGGAATAAAGAATTTATTATAAAAACGAAAAAAAATCAGAATTTAGTATTTTCCCTACCCTCTTAATGTTGGAAATAGTTTTTATATTTTAAAATTAAACAAAACTTTAGTTTTACATATTACCATTATAAATTTTTTTATTAGTTATTATCAGCACAATAGGTACTAATACTATAGTAGGTTTTAAATATATACATTGAGTTAAATGACAACAACATTATTCAAAATAAATGATTAAATAATTATTTACAATATTGGTAAATTCACGATTCTTCAGTCGCAATTTATATAATTTTGATTTCACACTTTATCATTAGATTTCTGAATTTTGCAATATAAAAATAAATATAATAATCATTAAACGAAAACAATTGAAAATATAATAAGCAATCAAAAGTCTTTATTTGAATTAAAAAAAATTAAACAAAACTTTAGTTTTACATATTACCATTATAAATTTTTTTATTAGTTATTATCAGCACAATAGGTACTAATACTATAGTAGGTTTTAAATATATACATTGAGTTAAATGACAACAACATTATTCAAAATAAATGATTAAATAATTATTTACAATATTGGTAAATTCACGATTCTTCAGTCGCAATTTATATAATTTTGATTTCACACTTTATCATTAGATTTCTGAATTTTGCAATATAAAAATAAATATAATAATCATTAAACGAAAACAATTGAAAATATAATAAGCAATCAAAAGTCTTTATTTGAATTTATTAAAATTTTATAGGAGTGTAAAGTTTTGACTTATCGTAAGGAATGTTCATACGATTACCAGGCAGTAACATTGGAACCACCTTTAGTCGAAAGCTGGTTGGTAGATATTCCATGACAAAATCTATGAAATCCTTATAATTAACAATAAGTCCAATTTTTGCCATGTGCTTCTTTAAAGTTTCAAGATCCTCCTCATAATTTTTGAACAATTTTGTTTTCATGGTTTTTTTAACAACTTGAGACAAATGAATAACAAATTCTCCTGATTCTATTCTAGTTTGCATACCATATTTTGGTTCTATTTGTTTTTCAATATACTTATATAATCTATCTGTAGCCCAAGGCATTGGTCTAGGAAGTTTTGGTTGTTTATAAACTTTTCCATTTACTAAATAAGCCGAATGTATTGGTTTTTTGGGTTTCTTTTCTTTTTTTTCTTTTTTTTGAATTGACTTAGCAATTTTTTCTTCTGCCTCCTTTGCTTTAGCCTCCTTAATTGTTGCTATTTTTATTTTATTTTCTACCTTAGCTTTAGTATCTGACAATATTTTAAGCAATAAATCCAATTTCTTCTTATCATTCATTATTTCTGTAACTGTCATTAAATTACCTTCATATTCAGGGTTCTGATTCATTAATTTCGGTGAGGAAAATGTTTTTCCTTTTGGTTCAAAAAAGTCTTTGATATTTTTCTGTTTTAATTGACCTTTATTTTCCTCAAAAGTTTTATGTTTTATGTTCTTTTCAATCATTGGAGAAGTAAGAGATCTTTCAGATCTATTTTCTTTAGAGATATTATGTTCATTGAAATCCTCTTCTCGGTAATAGGACAATAAAGGATTCTCACTAAGTTCACTTTCTTCTTCTTCTTCTTCTTTTTCTTCTTCTTCTTCGCTCTCTAACGTTTTTCGTAGACTTTTCAAAGAAGAATTTTGTTCCATCGTCAAAGACTTGCTTACACTTATGGAACGATTTTGAGAATTATGTGTACGACCATCGGAAGTCGATGGAACTTGTTCATCTTCAATTCCATGCATTTGGCTAAATTCTTCTTCAATCGTTGATACGCGAGGACGTTTTGAAAGAGTTTTCAATTCACTGTCAGATCTCTCAAGATTGGCTTCATTTTCGTCCGTTTGTTTATTTCCTTTAAGTTTGTTTAAATTAATAGCGTTGGATTTTAGTATTTCAAAATTGGTAATTTTTGGCTTTCGGGTTTCATCTTCCTTTGAGTTAATTGTTTGTGCGGTATTTTCATTTTCTGGTGTTAAATTTTTTTGAGGACTTTTAGTGAAGCTTGTCGACAAACGTTGACTACTCCTGTAAGAGAGTTCCTTGATAGATTCATCACTGGTCGTTTTACTTGCATGTGACTCTCCCTCTGATAAACTAACGGTAAGTGATTTTTCAGAATGAATATCTTCAATATCTTTTGAAGTCTTTGACTTTGATAAATGTTCCAAATCATCAATTTCATTGGTTGTGGATTTCTCTTCAAAACTGGGAATATTTGACTTATTTTTCAGACTTGTATTTGTAACTTGAATATCCTCATCTGAAAGATCTCGGTTTGGAATTTTGGCATCTGATTTTGTTTTATATTTTTCAGGTTGTATTTTTAGTTTTGATAAAATTCCCGAATCTTTATTAGCATTTTCGATATTACTCAATCTTGCTTCTCTAATACTTTCTCGTTTTCTTGGACTTCGTCTTAATTGATTGAAATCTATTTTTCTTGTTGATTCAAATTGTGGCTCCTCAATAAAATGACTCAATCGATTTGATAATGATTGCTTATCGAATTCGATACTTTTATTCAAACGAGAACTTCTCCTAGGAGAATTTACAATAGTGTTAGTGTCTGAAATACTGTGTCTATTAGTTTGTGATACGATGTTTATTAACTCTTTTCCTTGTACACTCTTTAAGACATTAACGTCATTAAGTTGAACATTTTTCATAATATTCGCAGATTCTTCATTCTGTGATACCACATCAATTTCTGATTCTGAACTATTGTTAGTAGCACTTTGTTCGTTGATAAAGGAAACAGTATTGCCTTTAATTGAATGATTAGAAGTACTTTCAGTGGTAGATTTATTTAGAAAATCTTCAACAGGAGATATGGTACTTTTTCTATTATTCCTGGATTCATTTTTACTTAATCTGATATCTTCATTTGAAATCGGACTTGACGTAGAGTCAGTTGATTTTTCTTTTTGTGACTGTGTAAATGTATTACTTTTATCTGTGTACTTTAATTTTATACTTGGACTGTGAGAAGAATTTGAACTTTTACCAAAAGTCGATGAGATCTTCTTTTTGGCAATTGGTGAATTGTGACTTGTCTCAAGATCCAATGTCTTCCTTTTTCGACTATATGATGTAATTGATTCATTCGCAGATGCATTTTCTTTTTTGTTACGAAAACCTGATTTTCTTGTGCTTGTCTCAAGGTCCATTGTTTTCCCTTTTCGACTATGTGATGTCATTGATTCGTTCGCAGACGCATTTTCGTCTTCATTACGAAAAGTTGATTGTTTTATGCTTGATTCGAGATCCATAGTTTTCCTCTTTTGACTATGTGATTCATTCTCAGTCGCATTATCTTCTTCTTTATGAAAACTTGATTTTCTTCTGCTTGTCTCAAAATCCATTATCTTCCCTTTTCGACTCTGTGATGTCATTGATTCATTCACAGACGCATTTTCGTCTTCATTACGAAAAGTTAATTTTTTTCTGCTTGATTCATGATCCATAGTCTTCCTCTTTTGACTATGTGATGTAGTTGATTCATTCTCAGACGCATTATCTTCTTCTTTATGAAAACTTGATTTTCTTGTGCTTGTCTCAAGGTCCCTTGTTTTCTCTTTTCGACTATGTGATGTCATTGATTCATTCGCAGACGCATTTTCGTCTTCATTACGAAAAGTTGATTGTTTTATGCTTGATTCAAGATACATAGTTTTCCTCTTTTGACTATGTGATGTAGTTGATTCATTCGCAGACGCATTTTCGTCTTCATTACGAAAAGTTGATTGTTTTATGCTTGATTCAAGATCCACAGTTTTCCTCTTTTGACTATGTGATGTAGTTGATTCATTCTCAGTCGCATTATCTTCTTCTTTATGAGAACTTGATTTTCTTCTGCTTGTCTCAAAATCCATTGTTTTCCCTTTTCGACTATGCGATGTAATTGATTCATTTGCAGAGACATTTTCTTCTTCTTTGCGAAAACTTGATTTTCTTCTGCTTGAAACATCCATGGATTGTCGTTGATTTTCTTTGAAAGCATCGCTTGAACTGTCATCATCAAAAAACTGTTTGAAAGCATCTTCTGTTGATTTACTTACAACGTTTCGAATTTTTGTTAAGGTACGTGGTTTGCGTTTCTTGAGGAACTTTTCGGAATAATTTAATTCAGAAGACTTGTCGAATTCAGACATTATTGAACTTTTTGTTTTATTTACAGAGTTTTCTCCTGAAATAATAAATTTCAATATAATAGAATTTAAAAAAATAACTCTAACTTTACAATACTTACGTAATGTAAAAGTTGAGACATCATTCAATTTAAAATATTATTTTTTAAGCTTTTAAATAATTAGAAAATTGATTAAACGAAAAGAAATTATTATTCTAATAATAAAAGCAATTCAAACGTAATTAGTTTAATAAATGCTTACCAGTATCGGGTGAATTATTTTTCTCCTCTTGGAATTTTATATTTTTAGAAGCTCGAATAGATTGTGGCCCTTGTGAATTAGAAACTTGTAATTCACTACTTGAATCTTCCTCTTCAAGAAATTTTTTAAAAGGATTTCCTGATTGTTTTTTTAAAGTGAAATTTTTCAATTTCAGAGACTTTTTTGGTTTTTGTGTCTTGAACATCTTTCTTGTGTAACTACTTTCACTACTTGACATCTCGGAATCTAAATTGTTTGAGGTATTGAGAACCACTTCTGAATTTGTTGATTCGTCTTCTAATGCTTCTTTCATAGTTGTGGTATCGTTATTTTTAAGTTTTAATGCGTTCATCAAATTAATTTTCCTTATTCCAGTAGGTAATTTATCCGAATCGGATTCAATTGTTAAATCTTTTGAAATGCTTTTTTCTAAAACACAAGATTTGATTAAATTGTTAAAAATCATTTCACATAAATCCCGTTAAATAAGAAAAGAATGTTATATAACAAATAACTTGATATAAAATTAAAAATAAATAATAATATAAGATGAATAGGATAATAATTAGAATATTTTTATTCTATAAATTTTTTTAAATTGTTAATAAAATTTGTGTAATAGTGTAAAATTTTTGTAAAACGTCACACAGTGGGAAGAAGCTTATTGTTTTGGACAGAATTCAGCTAATAGGTTTTATATCTTATAAGAGATTTCTTACCCATGTTGTTTAATTGTACATTTCTTCTTGTACTGCGAGTTTGGCTTATATGAGAATCTGTCAGTGATTCATTATATTTTTTCAAATCTTTGTACCAATTTTTAGGTGGTGTTCCCTCTGCTAAAATTGACTCTGGAGTAAGTTCGCTTAATGATCCTGTTTGAGTGACATCTAAGGATCGTTTAAATGTTCCCATTCGAGTATAAAATACAGGATCGTCTAAAATTTTCCACAAAATTATTTTTAAATCAATTACAATAAAAACCTATTTATATAGGTTAAATAATGTCAACAAAAGTGATTTTAATTTGTAACTATATTTTAAAAATAATAACCAGTAAACTTGAGATAATTTTGACTCTTTCCAACGATTATAAAATATCTAAGAAAAACATTAAAAATAATATAAATTTCTTCCAAGCAGAATTTTAACTTAAAAAATGAAATACTTCCCGCCTGCTATATATTATTTACAAAATGTAACTTACTTGTATTAGATACATTTGAATTTGCACTAAGATTAGCCGTTGTGTTAGAGCTTAATCTACCTATTGTAGAATAACGTTTAAAGTTTGCACTTTTTCTTTTAGACATTTTGTCACTAATTAGTAAAATAAAAAAGATAAATAAATACTTAAAACGACAGTTTAACGTTTTTGTTTGACTGCTCTTAAAACTCTACATATACACACGGTGAAAACCGACTCATACGCAGTTAGGTTTAAGATGGGTAAGTCGATTCAAATTGAAGTGGAACGTCCCAAATATTGCAACAAAGCATGATATAGAAAAGGATAGAGATAGATTTGTCCTTTTCTATCTTAAAGGTGCAATCGCATGTGAGTTTCTGGTTAACTTATAACGCACATGTTTCTTTTTATTTTCAAACTAAAAATTCTAAATATATCTAAAATTTGACATTTTTAAATGAACTATGTGTAGAAATAACGTAAGAGTAAGACTTACCAGAATTCGAGAGTCAATCGAAGAATTTTCATTAGTTGAACACATTATGTTAAATTAATCAACAAAATAAGTAAAAATGATGCGTTGTGTATTTATATATAGAAATTAATACAATTGACACAGTCGTAGTATTCATTTACAAACATTTCAATGTTTTGAATAGGTTAGACACATGACAGAAAAAAGTGACGATCTCCACACCGCTGCTAGTGCTTGTAGTCAGGGATGGGATGCGTACGTAACATACTTTATGTAAAGTGAAACGTCCGTTATGTGACACTTTGATAAAGGGAGATACGTATAGCTTAAGCTTCTTTCACATTTAAAAATGGTGTAACACGCAGGAATATGAAACTATATAATAGTCCGTCTACAATCTCGCTGACACAAAACTGAATGATCAGGAATATGATTTTGTAGATGGAGCAGTGTAGGAACAACCAACGGTTGGTTTAAAGGTGTTTTCACAACTCAATTAGTATAAACATTTTAAATAGTTCACTTATTAAGAATGTTAATTGTTTATACCAATTCTTTAACTTCACTATAGTTTTATTGATTGAGTCCGAATCTCATTAAAATCCTAAAGGATTAACTTGTTGAGAGGAATTAAATATAAAAACAAAACACAATTAAATTTCATATAAAATCACTAATTGTTTTATTCAGTAATTAACTGAATCTGAGTTCTATTAAATTAAATCTTTCTAAGATTCTCTCAAGACATTTCACTACGCAATATTAACTTTAGAATATTATTTGCTACGAAAACCGTGAATTATCAAGAATCTTCTTCTACTTCGTCTTCTACTCTCTCTCACTCTCTTCTCTCTGAATTCTGCTCTCGGTCCTCATTCTTTTATAGGAGTATTCCTACTCTTTTCCCGATCTTGGGTCTATGATCCCAGCCAATCCTGTTTCAGAAAAATGATTCACTCGAAATAATGCCACCAATGAGAGTCAAGTTCTTGGTTTTGATCTGTCCTATTTTTCTCCTCTATTTTGATCTTAGATGCAGGTGTGCTTGCAGGTGTCCATAAAACGCAGTTTTTGTACTAAAATACGCATTATGAGTCACGGTCTTGTTTGCGTATTTTAAAGAGTGTCCTTGACATTTACAAACGGTCATTTACGGCATGAGTCATACATAACCTTCTACCTCTGACCTTGGAATATGCAGGTGTTCTTGAGATGACTCATCTAGCCAAAGTAATTCCTTAAATCTAACAGTAGTTTTTGACCTTGTATTTATTGATCGTAAAAAGAAAGAATTTCATTTTGACAAATTTTAACCCTTCTATCAAAGTTTGATCAAATAATAATTAATTATTTACAAATTAAAAATGTTTAAAAGGAAGAACTCAGATTCATTGTAAAAGGACCTTAATTACATTATTTCTTATGTCCTTTTAACGTCTGCAGCCGATTTGTAAATAGGTACTCGCATTCGCCTGAACAACCTTTCAGAGGATAGGGGAAACTGCAGAAAACCCTTCCAAAGTACCTCTTAAATCTTATCATTTCCTTATCATTATTTTTATCTCTCTCTCTTTCTCATGTCTCTTAATATATATATACAGATACACACATATACACATACTCATTTTATCGAATTTCATACTAACTCACATATATACATATACACAAACATATCCATAAACATATTCTTATACATATACTATACATATATACTTTTATTCTTATCTAGTCAATTCGCTTTTCCTTCCCTTTTCTCTCTCTCTCTCTTTTTCTCTCAATTGGGAACTAATAACTATGTCTTAGTGTTTAAATAAATAAAATGAAATATTATTATAATTATTTATTAAGATAAAATACGTCAAGTTACCCAACCCTGATGGTTGGTAACAGCACAGCGTTACATTCCCCCCCTTATTCAAAAATTTTGATTTCCAATCAAAATTTTTATTACTCAAAACACAAAAAAAAACTGATTATTCACATATATATAGTGCCCCCTTTTTTTTCTATTAGGGTTTGTATGTAATCAACTGAAATTTTTTTTTTTTTTTTTATTTAAAAATATATTATGATTAAATACAATTATCAAATGGTTGTTTTCTTTTTTTTTTTAAATAGGCATTCTAATTATTAACCTATATCACAAGATGAGCGATTTAAAATGAGAATATATATATATATCGCCAATTACCAAAAAAAAAATTATATTGATTATATTAATTGAGATCATCTGAATCACGCGAATGTCATGTGACCGATTCAAAATAAGACGTATATATCGCATTTGTAACTGAACGAGCAGAAAAACAATATCAATTACAACTCTTTTAGTTTAATTATGAACAGAGTTTAGTAAACACTATTATAAAATGGTTAATATATATTAAATTCACAAATTCCAACTGGAATTTTAACAAACTGTTAAAAATTCGTATATAAATAAACACTAAATTGTACGAAAATTCACATTCGATAACTTTTGTTCGAAGTACGAAATCTCATGTAAAAAAAAATAAAAATATTAATCATATATAAGAAAAAAAAGGTAAATAAAAAATAATCTTTAATAAATTAAAGAGTTTTTTTTTTTAAACTGAGGATAAGAAATCCATAACATCATAAGGTCTTCGCTGAAAGTGCTGCCAATTCTCGGCGTATTTTACTCGGCAATGAACACATAATTCGGAGTTTACAACAGCTTTTGGTATTGCTTTTCGACAATTATCGCAATAGAAATGTTTTAATAATGGTGCGTTAATCATTTCTGGTGTGCGCATTTGGTGGTAAATATAACGACTATAAGGAGGAACATAATCAGCAGTTTGGCCTTCCCTCTCTTGCCAACGCCGTACCTGCCGAATCATACTTGTCGAAAAAATTGCGCAATCTCGGCAAACTTTATCCGATCCTGATTTGTAATAAATAAAACTTTCGTGGTAATAGTCTCTAAATCCGGCCCAAAAAAGATTATCAAAATAAGGAATTAAGGTCATGTCCTTTGCCCTTATTATCTCCGCAGCTTTTCTTTCGTCATTTGGAACCTATAATATATTATATAAATTTCAAAGAAAATCCTTATTTATGCACGTATAAATGAACATAAACATAAATGCCAAACACCCTGTACATATGCACATACCCTCATCAACATTTTTTTTTTATAAGATTTGAGTGAAATTAATTTCATTAAGAAAAAGAAAATCATTTGCGACAAGTATGAAGAAAATAAAAGAAAACTTTTCAACCCCAAGATTCAACTAAATATCAAAAACAAACTTTGAAATAAATGAGAATTAATATCTTTTGCGAATACAAGGAAAGTGTCATCATTGACAACAAAACCTAATGTATGCGTAATTATATAATATATTTGGAATTTTATCAAAATTGTTTCACTCACTAAAAAAAATAATAAAAAAGGTTAAAAGACTAAATAATCATTAAAAAAAAATATGAAAACATTTAAACTTTAACACTGATAATTAATAGTAAACACTCTTTTATTTAATATTTTAAATTTATGTACGTTACTCTTCAACATATATATATATATATACACATATACATATATACATACATATTTGTCTGTTTATTAATTGAATTTATTTTCGTAAAATGTTCATAATTATACACATAACACTATTCAGTTTGTATACACACATACATAAACAGATGTACATACGTATTTTCTTCCCTTTTTTTATACTTACATAGGTCGTATTATTCGAAATGACTCTAAAACTCCAAGGCGGATAAAAGAAACAATCAAAATGCCACAATGCGGATCCGAAATTCTAAAGGTTGGAGATGAGACAATAATATAAATAATCACTCGCCACAACTGTTCAAATTTAACAAATAAACAACATATATTAACAATAGATTCTTACCCGTCTGAAAGTGCCGTCAGGTCGGATATTATTTTTTACACTAAAATTCGACATTCCAATGATATTCAATAACAAAAAGTGAATAGGAATATAGCCGTAATTTAATAAACAGATTATATGTCTCGCTAAAAATAAGCACAAAACAATTCTGACTAATTGCAATATACTTAGTGAAATAATCTCAACGGCTAATACGGACAATGATTATAATAAATAGATTTTATTCATCAGCTAACTATGGACGTATGCCAAACGATTATGTTTCAAACATGAACTAACATACCAAGGTGATTTCAAAATTGTAGGGCGGTATTCATAGTCGATACTCATTTCTTAAGCAGCGACTTAAGCTGACACCTAGATTCATAGTCGTGCATTGTGGATTGACTTAAGTCGCAACTTAAGCATTTGCTTAAAGAAGTAAATGCTTTGATTTTGAGATGCATAGTCCCATCTTAAGAATGCCAAGTATTCATAGTCAAATAGGATTTTCTTATTTGACATTACCGGTGAACTTATTTGAACGAATTGAGGTTATGATTTAAAGTCAACGTTTTAGTTGACTTAAGCAATAACTTATTAGTGTATTTATAGTGAAAAAAGTGTTAACAATGGATATAATGCATTATTTAAGAGACATTGAGGATGATATTGATAATGAAGATGGTCCAAACAATATAAGACGTGCAAAACGATACATTCGAGATGCGGAAAATTCTTTTGAAATAGATGAGTGAGAGTTTCAGAGACGTTATCGTTTTCACTCCACGCAGCCTCCTTAGCTTTCAAGGAACAATCACTTTTGCGATTTTCAATAACATGGGCAAAAATTTTGATAGTTTGCAGGAAAAGTTTTCTTTATCCGTATTGGTGTAATGCTTTTTAGACATTTTATTACTACAAAAAGTTTCATTAATTAGTATTAAAATTTAGTATTATTTATAATAATTTAATTATTTATTGTTTACAAATTTTATATTCCATTATATTTTTATTTTAATATATAATTTAAGGGAGTGAGAGTAGCAGATTTATATTTGGATACATTTATTATTTCTACAAGAAAAAAGAATTTATGTATGAAAGTAGTTATTTTATGTTTATAAACAATTAAAATTTTTTAGCGTACAGCACTTTTTTAAAAACGAGAGTATATAAGATAAGATATAAAAAAAATTACCAGTCTTTTTAATTTGAAAAAGAAAAAATAAATTGTGTTCTACAAATTGTACGCCTAATTTTAAAAATATTAATGTTAATATATTGATCATTATTTTGAATATTTCACTATTATGTATCATTATTTATCAAATTTTAAATATATTTCATTCGTTGATTATTAAAAATTTTTACTTTTAAACAACATTAAATATATTCACAGGTTTATATTTTTGAATTTTGTTTTATTACTGTTTTTTATTACAAACATTTAATAAGAAAAATATTTTACAAATTTACTTTTTTCAAATGATTAAACAAAACAATTTTATAAATAACATTAAAAACGCTGAAACGAAAAACTCAAATTGAATACAACGCAAGTATAAATATTCCTTGGCGCATTGAGGCGAATTTTCAAAACCATTTCTTATTGGTGGATTCAAAAGAATATTGACGGAAAAATCCGATCGTTCAATAAGATCATCTTAAGCATTTGCTTGGTCAAGAAATTCTTAAGCTGCATTTCCTTTACCAAGCAATTGCTTATTTTTGACTATGAATATATATGGTCTTAAGCTCGACTCATTCGAATAAGACCGTCTTGATCAAGCAACTCTTAAGTCCTTGCTTAAGTCGGAACTATGAATACCGCCCGTAGTGTGAGAACTAAAGGTAAATCCATATGTGTATTAAATGCATAGGACGTCTGAAATGTGACTCCATAATTTTAAGGTCGTTCGTCAATACTACTTCAAATGCTATTCTTACTCGAAGTACATGAGTAAGAAAAGAACTGATTAAACAGGTTTTTTTTCTTTTAATTGTAGATATTAAAACAAAAGAAATATTAATAGCTCTGAATTTCCTATAACATTTTTGAATAATAATAATAATAAATTGAATGTATGGAACTCAATATCGCGACACACACCTAACCCTATATTAATTCTACATCTTTAAGGTTGTTCTACAATGACATTTCTGAATTGAAAGTCACATGTAATTAGTCAACTTATTATTAAAATCTTATTACATTCTAAGAAATGCGTGTTTAACGCGATTTACATGAACTATTTTTCTTTCGTCATAGTTAATTTCAATTTCTATGTTAAATTCATTTATGACTCTAGCAATTTTAAATGGTCCAATATAATGATCTTCAAATTTATTTTCTCTGGATTCTTTTATTAAGTAAACGTACTCTCCTGCTTCAAATCTTTGTTCATTTAATTTTTGGTCGTAATATTTCTTACATCTTTGCTTTGCCGCTAATAATTTGGCAACTACTGTTTTTTCTGTTTCAGATATTCTTTTTAGTAGTTCATTAACATAACAGGCATAAGTCATCGGTATTTGTTTTTCAGAGAATTCAGATGGAATTCTAGCCTTTTTACCAAAAATCATTTCATGCGGTGTAACGCCAGTTGATTCGTGAACAGAAGTGTTAAAGGAAAATATTGAAGATTGTAACCATAAATCCCAATTATCTTTTTCGCAATAATGCCTAAGGTATTCAATAAACGTATGATGGCTCCTTTCTAATGCTCCCAATGATTGTGGATGATAGGCGGTTGATTTATATTGTTTAATCTTAAATAATTTCGCGATATTTTCCATTAATTCACTCATGAACTGACTTCCCTGATCAGTTTGTATGGATTCTGGACAACCAAATACACAAATAAAATTTTCTACAAAAGCTATTGCAATTGAAGGAGTATCTACACTGGATAATGGAATTGCACCTGAATATTTACTTAAGCAATCTTGCCAAGTCAATATATATCTGTTTCCTAATTTTGTTCTTGGTAGAGGTCCAACAATATCCATTTGTATTTTTTCGAAATTTCGAATTGGTGTATCCGTTATTTTCATAGGTTGTCTAGTTTTTACTCTTACTAATTTTTTTCTTTGACAGGATTCACATGTTTTGATGTAATTTTGAATATCTTTTCTCATTCCTGTCCAAAAATATCTTTCCTTTATTCGTTCAAGGGTTTTGGTTTCCCCTTTATGTCCTCCTGTAACACTATCATGACATTCCTCTATTATTGAAATTCTGTCTTCTTCTTTAGGAATCTCAATTTCCCCTGTACAAACGGTAATTTTAAAACCCTCATTTTGAAAATGATCTCTTAATACTTTTTCAATATTACTCCATAAAATTTTATCAAATCCATTTCCTTCTCTTGATAAACTAAATTTTTTAAGCCCATCGTGAACTAATGCGTTTTTTAAAGTTTCTATTGTAAATTCATATCTTTCCATAGTAAATCTATCATTAAATAACTCTTTAATAAATAAATGAAAAATATAATGATTACCATTATTTGTTCTTACAACCTGGCCCAATTTTGGTTTTAAATTTGACAAATTTTGTGAATCAAACAATCCTAAATTTAACAATTCTATACTTTGCTGATTTTTAACTACACAATCACAACTCATGAAATTTAAAATATGATCCTCACGCATCCATAATCTTTCTTTTGACTTTTGAATTAGTTCATCTGTATCATTAATAACTTCAACTACCCCATCATCATTACCAATTAATATATGCGCTTCTCTCTTGAAGCCCTTATTTATCTTGAAAACTTCCTTTTTCTTAGTTTCCAAAATCATACTACCATCCGATTCATCTGAATCATCATAGTCTACAATCTTTGGATTCCTTGATAAAATTATATTTTCTGTTTTTATGCATAACCATGGATTTTCTTTTTCAACATCAACCTTGTTCTCTTTACGCGAACAAGTACATTCATCATTTGGGTACCCAATATTACCACACAAATTTCCGTGTGCACTACCAAAAACACATATATTGACAAATCCGTCGGAATTCCCAGGGCGAACTTGATCAAGGTTCACCCCGCATTGCCCCCCGCAACATTTGTCAACAAATACACAATCCTCAACGAGTCCGTCGGAATGCCTAGGATGAACCCGATCTAGCGGGTCCAACCCAGTTTGCCCCCCGCAACACTCGTCGAGCTCAAAACCTTTATATCCCATAAAAAGTCTTTCTATAGGATATTCATCATATATCATATATGGAGAATACTCCTCTCCTTGGTTCTCACGAACCTTATCAAATCTTTTTGTTACAAGGACTATATTTTCAGAAATAGGATTTCGAGAGAGAGCATCAGCATTAGCATTTACCCTTCCCGGTCTATAAACAATTTCATAATCAAATTCTTCTAACTTTATTTTCCATCTCGCTAATCTTGAACTGATAGTCGGATCTTTCAACTGATATAACCAAATTAACGCCTTATGATCCGTTACTATTTTAAACTTCATTCCATAAAGATATGGTCGAAAATGTTTTACCGCAAACACAATTGCTAATAATTCTTTTTCTGTAGTAGTATAATGTAATTCTGCCCCACTCAAGGTTCTGGATGCGTAAGAGATCGGTAAATCTTTCCCAATTTCTCCTTGGCTTAAAACAGCACCAATAGCATAATCTGAAGCGTCGGTAGTCACAATAAACTGTTTACTGAAGTCTGGGTACTGCAATAAAGGTTGCGTACACAGCTTCTGTTTCAGCTCATTAAATGCTACTTCTACTTCAGAATCCCAATTAAAATTACTCTTTTTCTTTAATAAATTTGTTAAAGGTTTCGCAATTTTAGAAAAATTCTGAATAAAACGCCTATAATACCCAGCTAATCCAAGAAATTGTTTAACATTCTTTCTGTTCTTTGGTTGTGGAAATTTTTGTACTGCTTCTAATTTTGAAGGATCTGGTTTTACCCCTTCTTCCGAAATTACATGACCCAAATAACCTATTTCTTTACACAAAAACTTACATTTATCTGGTTGTAAAACCAATCCAGCTGTTTTTAATCTACCTAATAATTTTTCAAATTTTTCCTTGTGTTCTTTTAATGAATTTGCATATATCACTATATCGTCCATATAAACAAATAATTCTATCCCTTGCATTCCTGATAATACTCTATCCATCAACCTTTGAAAGGTTGAAGGGCTATTTTTTAACCCAAAGGGCATTCTGTTAAATTCATAGTGTCCGAATGGTGTCGAAAAGGCAGTTTTATGTCTATCCTTAGGTACAACTTCTACTTGATGAAATCCTTGAGCTAGATCCAATATAGTAAAATATTTAGCACCTCCAAGCTGATCTAAAATATCTGTAATATTAGGTAGTGGATATGAGTCGGATACTGTCTTCTCATTTAATTTTCGATAGTCAATCACCATACGCCAACGTTTATTACCTTGGGAGTCTGCTTTCTTTGGAACTATCCACACTGGTGAGTTGTAACCAGATTTAGATAATGATATTGATTTATTCTTTAGTAAATCATTTGTTTGGTTTTTAATTTCTTCTTTGTGAACAGGTGGGTACCGTGGATATTTACTATTTACAGGATTATCGTCCGTCGTTTCTATAGTATGTTGAATTTCGTTTGTACATCCTAATTTATCACCTGGGATATGAAACTGATGTGAATAGTTTTTTATAGACATGAATAAATATTCTTGTTCCTGCTTATTTAAATGTTTAATTTCTAGCAGTTCTTTTAATTTGTTAATTCTCTCTGCTTCTAAATCGGTTTGCTTTGATATTTTCATTCCTGATTCCTGTTCCGTATATTCTAATAACTCTACTGGAGGTATTGACAATTCTACTTCCTGATTAGTGGTATTGATGACAAATACTTGTGCCATTCCTTCTTTTACAGAAACTAATGCTTCTCCCAAATATATTCCAGGTCCTGTCGATATTAACGGTAAATATCCGGTTTTTAAGTCATTATTTTTTACAGGTAATTCAATTAATTGTTTTGTTCGTCTTTTTACTTTAAATGTTCTTCCCTTATTTATAGTTAATATTGGGAATTTTCCAACATCATGAATTAAAGTTTTCTCTTTTAAGTCTATAGTAGCATTCTGTAAGAAAGGCATTCCTATTAGTCCATCGCATTTAATAGGAAATACATTTGGTACAACTTGAAAAATCTGGATTTCATTTTTAATTAGTATTTCTACTGAACCGATTGTAATTATTCCGTTACTGCCTATTCCAAATAATTGACATCTATCCTTTTTATTTATTATTAAATGTGGCTTTAAGGCCTTAACTTTTATTAAATTCAGTTCGGCACCTGTATCCACTACTAAAGTTATTTTTTCGTTTTCAAAGTTCTCATTACATATTTCTACTTCTGGCGATTTTACATTATCTTTATGTGGTGCCATTAATATTATTCGCTTATTAGGCGCTTGTTCGTCCCTGATAGACTCAAAATCGCACCCCCATGTTGAGTCTACTATGTGTTTTTTGGATCATCTTCATCCTTAATTTTCTGGCTTCTTTCTACTTCCTTCTGCCGCGCGAAACAATTTTCGTATTTATGCCCTGGTCGTTTGCAATAACCACACATTCCCCAACATTTTTCAGCCGTATGCCCCGTCATTTTGCACTTTGTGCACTGTCTCTCCTCGGATTTATTATTTTGAAATTCAGGACAATGGATTTTATGATGTCCTTCCTTGCCACAATTATAACAATTAATTATTTTTCTACAATTCTCTTTAACATGACCCGGTTTACTACAATTAAAACAAAATTTTGAATTGCTACAATCTTTTCTAACATGACCTTCTTTACCGCATTTATAACACTGAATAGATTTATCATATTCTTTTGGTTCCCTTTTTATAAATTTACTTCCAGAATTCGCATTCTTATTTTTATCCTGCTTACTATCTTGATGAGATCGTTTTTTATTATTTATTGATTCTTTTTCTATAAATCTAACTCGCGGATGTTCCTTAAATCTTTCGTTATATTGCAATTTTGAGTATTTTTCACCTGCATTATTATTTTCCGTTAAATCTTCTAAACCTTTAACATATTCTCTTTTTAAAGATTTTGTAAAGTTTAACTCCCACTCTGCTTCTCTAGCTAATTTTACTGCTTCAAGAAGATCTACAGGACGTCCTAATCTTACCCGTAAAGATAATTCCGTTTTTAATCCTAACAAAAAACTTTCTCTTGCAGTCTGTGTAACTGCTTTTATCATCCCCAGTGCAATCTCAGGAAGATTTCCATCATTAATTGCTTCAATAATTTGATTTAATAATGTATTTACGCGCTCGCTATACTCGGTTACTGACTCATTTATTTGCTGTGCAACGGTTGCCAACATTGAATTTAACTGACCCAAATTTTTGTGCTGCGTATAGTTTAATTTCAAAAATTTTAACAAATCATTTAAATTATTAATGTCTTGGTTTTGTAAACAACTATTTGCATTATTTACTATTCGAGATCTGATAACTAAAAATAAATTAAATCGTTCATTTGGAGAAACTGAGTTTTCAACAGATCGACAAATCTTTATAAATTGTGAAATTGGCATATTACGCCCGTCAAACTCTTTAGGTAAAATTTCAAGTGCATAACGAAATGGTATGTATTCTCCTTTCCTTTCTTTATCATTAATCATCATTGATTCCCTATCGATATTTATAACAGTCTCTACATTAGTCACATCCCAATTATTAAATTTTGTAACTCTACTGCTATCGATGGCAGAATCACCGAGATCACTATTTGAACTTATCTCAATATTCTCCATCTTGTAAAAATGTTCTCTATTTTAAATTAATAGAACATATATATATATATATTTTTTTTTTAAACAGAAATGAACTGAGCACTAAGACTTTTTCTTAAAACAATACAGTTTGCTTTTCTTTAAAAAAAATCGAGAGAGAGAAATCACAAAAACGAATTGACTTACCCATCGGTGTTCTTTGTCTTGATTCTAACACTTTACAAAAAAAAATGATTTTACTAGGTTTTCCCAAAAACCTTTTTCCCCTTTTTTTCACTTCACTTTACACTCTGTTCCTTATTAATTCTTGTGTCTTTGTTCTTTTCTGATGATCTGTCCTCCTCCTTCTTGGCTGATCCTCCTTGTCCTAGAGACGCCCTTTACTCAGCTACTGGTAATATTCGGATTCTCCTAATGATTATTTTTTTGCTAATTTCCATATAGATTACTTTATATGTATAATCGACTGCAGGTTCAGCGAAATGTTCTTGGAAATGTATGACATTTTCTTCTTTATTGCCAAATGACATTTCCTTTCTTGTCCTCCCTTTTTTTTTGAACAAAAAATTTTGAATTTTTAAACAAAATTCTCTCAGCAAGTTGAGAAATATCCCACCGCTGTCACCAAAATTATTCCTGTAACACGCAGGAATATGAAACTATATAATAGTCCGTCTACAATCTCGCTGACACAAAACTGAATGATCAGGAATATGATTTTGTAGATGGAGCAGTGTAGGAACAACCAACGGTTGGTTTAAAGGTGTTTTCACAACTCAATTAGTATAAACATTTTAAATAGTTCACTTATTAAGAATGTTAATTGTTTATACCAATTCTTTAACTTCACTATAGTTTTATTGATTGAGTCCGAATCTCATTAAAATCCTAAAGGATTAACTTGTTGAGAGGAATTAAATATAAAAACAAAACACAATTAAATTTCATATAAAATCACTAATTGTTTTATTCAGTAATTAACTGAATCTGAGTTCTATTAAATTAAATCTTTCTAAGATTCTCTCAAGACATTTCACTACGCAATATTAACTTTAGAATATTATTTGCTACGAAAACCGTGAATTATCAAGAATCTTCTTCTACTTCGTCTTCTACTCTCTCTCACTCTCTTCTCTCTGAATTCTGCTCTCGGTCCTCATTCTTTTATAGGAGTATTCCTACTCTTTTCCCGATCTTGGGTCTATGATCCCAGCCAATCCTGTTTCAGAAAAATGATTCACTCGAAATAATGCCACCAATGAGAGTCAAGTTCTTGGTTTTGATCTGTCCTATTTTTCTCCTCTATTTTGATCTTAGATGCAGGTGTGCTTGCAGGTGTCCATAAAACGCAGTTTTTGTACTAAAATACGCATTATGAGTCACGGTCTTGTTTGCGTATTTTAAAGAGTGTCCTTGACATTTACAAACGGTCATTTACGGCATGAGTCATACATAACCTTCTACCTCTGACCTTGGAATATGCAGGTGTTCTTGAGATGACTCATCTAGCCAAAGTAATTCCTTAAATCTAACAGTAGTTTTTGACCTTGTATTTATTGATCGTAAAAAGAAAGAATTTCATTTTGACAAATTTTAACCCTTCTATCAAAGTTTGATCAAATAATAATTAATTATTTACAAATTAAAAATGTTTAAAAGGAAGAACTCAGATTCATTGTAAAAGGACCTTAATTACATTATTTCTTATGTCCTTTTAACGTCTGCAGCCGATTTGTAAATAGGTACTCGCATTCGCCTGAACAACCTTTCAGAGGATAGGGGAAACTGCAGAAAACCCTTCCAAAGTACCTCTTAAATCTTATCATTTCCTTATCATTATTTTTATCTCTCTCTCTTTCTCATGTCTCTTAATATATATATACAGATACACACATATACACATACTCATTTTATCGAATTTCATACTAACTCACATATATACATATACACAAACATATCCATAAACATATTCTTATACATATACTATACATATATACTTTTATTCTTATCTAGTCAATTCGCTTTTCCTTCCCTTTTCTCTCTCTCTCTCTTTTTCTCTCAATTGGGAACTAATAACTATGTCTTAGTGTTTAAATAAATAAAATGAAATATTATTATAATTATTTATTAAGATAAAATACGTCAAGTTACCCAACCCTGATGGTTGGTAACAGCACAGCGTTACAATGGCGGCAAATGTATTTACAATGAAAAGATGGATGAACAGTACGTTATGTCCATTGTAGAAATAACATAATGCCGGCCGCTATCATTATGTATGTCTATGTAACAAAAGTTGACCGAATATAAATTAATATAAAATATTGAGTGCAAACAATTTTAATAAATTAAAATTAACAAAAAAACGCATTTATTTTAAAGTTCAAACAATAAAAAAGAAATTTCAAGAAAGGAAAGTAAATTGATTGTGTCGTCAAGTTGCATAAAAGCGGAACACCGGAATTGGAATTACAGACATCATGGCTGAAATTGTGAACATGTTGAGTGCTAACTATAGCGCGCGATCAGAATTTTCAGTAATTTAATAACTAAATTTTGTTCATTGTGCTTTTTTTTACGAATTTTGTATGTTTCACATATTTCTTATACATTTTTTAACAATAAGTTGTTTGAAATAAATACGAAGATATCATGTCTGAAACAAATGAAATAGTGGAGAAGCTTCCACCAGAGACACCACTGCCAAAGCCATTAGGTGAGAAGAAATTAACCGCTGATGTCTCTGTGAATGAATCAAAAAAAGATTCTGACATTTCAATGCTAGAAGATGAGGAAATGCCAACATATAGCACCATTTCCAGTTCAACAAAGCCTAATAATTCAGTTACAAATTACAATCAAAGAAATGTTCCTATGGAAAAAAGTCGCTCTCAAAGTCCAGAACCAAGTGAGGAACAGGATAACGAGGATAATGAAAGTGTATACGTCGTTTCATCTACTCCAGATACTGATCGCAATTTTGATGATATTGATGATGAAGAAGAGGAAGGAGATTATGATTCAGAAGGTATTGAAAAATTAGATAGTTTTTAATATTATTTTTCCTTAAATATAAATTGAAGTTTATTATATTGAGTAAAAAGTAATTTTCTTCAAAAAATAAAATTAATTTACAGAAATGAATGATGAGGAGGAGGATGATGAAGATGATGATGACGAGGATGGCCGTGAAGAATATTGTCGAAAGCGTTTCGAAAGAGAATCGGATGATTCTGATCAAGATCGATTTGAAAGAGCTTCAGATGATTTTGTACTTCGTCATAATAATAGTTTAAAACAATATTATAAAGAGAGAAGTCTATCTCTACAAGATTTAACAACAGCAGATGTTCGTTATAATCGAAGGCAAAACTTTTCACGTCATCATCAATATTATGCCGATCAACCTGTATTCAAACCAAATGTTTACAGTCCCTATGCTCTTAATTCAAAACCATATCAAGCGATTGATAGATATGAAAATAATGAAAGTAAAGTCAAGCGTTATATTCAAAATATAAAAGAACAGGGAAGACTAGCTAATGTTCAAAATCATGCTAATATTAGAGGTAAACTATCACTTTTTTTGTTAATTATACATTTACCTATTTTGATCATTATTGAATCTGTTTTCTTTTTTAGATTTCAAGGAAAATAATACCAAACAAATTGCTACAGGTGGAAAACAAATAAAGGAATATGCTGAAAATGTTATAAAAAAATTAGAACAAGATGAACTTTGCGAAAATCAAGTTTCAACATATGCTACATTAGAGCGTGTGGAAAATCCAGAGGAACAATCTTTAAAATTACCCACAAAAAGTGACTCAACTGATATGCATATTCCTATGGAAGTTGATAATTCTCAGATAAACACAAAATGCAATAAGTATAAAAAAATTAATGGAATCATTGAATTTGATGAAGAGTCTGAAATTACTTGTACACCAATTCTCAAAGAAGAACTAACTATAAATCAAACAAGTGAACAAATAAATGGTACTGAACTTACAAAAAATGTTATTAATCTCAGAACATTAAGTTATGAAGAATATATGCGAGGTGCTTCTCAAGTCGATGAAGAAGATGAAGTTTATGTTGATGACGGTAGACGTCATGATGATCATGAAGATGACGATGAAGATAGTGGAAATAATGATGATGATGATGTCGAGGAAGATGATGATTCAGAGATAAAATCAACAGAAATTTGTTTAATATCACCCGAGAAAACTCCATCCGATACATTAAATGTAAAACAAACTTATACTAATGCCACCGATTCGATAAAAGTAACAAATGTTAAATTAAATTTTAACGATATGAAATGTGATGAAAAATACAAAGATAAAAATCACATTAAAATGATAAATCAATCAACAGAAACAAAAGCAGAAAATGTCGAATTGAAAAAATTACAAACAACTCTCACCGAAAGAAATATACAATTTGAAAATTTAAAAATTGCTTATCAAAAAACATTACAGGAAAATTTCACCATGAAACAAGAAATTGATAATTTAAAGAAAACTGTAAAAAAATACGAAGAATATAAAAGTCGAGTAACAAAATCCACTTCTGTGCAAACTGAAAAATGTGAAAATGAAAATTCAGAGAAAATTAACGATAGAAATAAACTATCAAATAGTGATACTAAAAGTCAATGGTCAGAAAGTGGTTTCAGTCCATCAATTTCAAATGATATACCAAAAATTATAAATACCGATGAGAGTAAAAGTGTATTTGAAAAAACAAAAAATCCACCACTTTCCCGTGCTTTTATTACTTCGTCACGTATTCTTCAAACACTTTCAAATATAACTAGAAAAATATCGACTAATTTAGATCAGAAAAATCAAGTATCATTTTCCGAAGATCCATCATCATCTGGAACACCAATAAATTCAAAGAAACGCAAAGCAACTGAAATGCTTGGTGAACAACCATTTAAAATACCTCATACTTCTGGTTCGGTACGAAAGAAAATAAATCAAGATTCACAAATGAATGGAATATCCCCCGAAAATGAAAATTATACAGAGAATAGAAATAATTCTGAAGGAGAGAAAAAAGAGGATGAAATAGAAGACGAAGAAAAAGAAGACGACACGACGAAAAATGATTTAGGCGAAAATTTGAAGTACTACGTTTATCACGATGAGGAGAACAGTAAAGAACGTAGTTTTCTTATTCAAGCAGAAGAAACTGGAAAAATTCCAAATAAAGGAAGTGTACGCGAATGTGGACCATATCTTTTGGGAAATATGGAAGTTCGAATGACTGAAGTCAATGGCACAATTAACATCTGGGGCAAAGAGGTATAAAATTTCATTTCTAATTCTAATTCGATTTAAACAAAAATTTAATTTAATAAAAAAATAAATTTAATAAAAAAATTCTTTTCAGATTAATGTCGATTCGACAGAAGAGGAATTAAATTCAACTGAAAAATCAACTGATAAATCAGCTGATCTAAAATCAAGTTTTTGCTGGCAAAAAACACCACAGACAAATCTATTAAATAGGAGTTATACATCATCAACAAACAAAAAATTAAAATCACAGTCACGTTTTAACGATTCAAATATTTCTAAATATTCCTATTTCTCTGATAATAATAGTATTCCAAAATATTCACCTGATATTTTTCATCATCGAAGATATTCAATTGATAACAATTATAATTCTCGTCCACAACGATTATCATGGTCTGGTTGTAAACATTTAATGGAAGAACAAAAACATGTCTATCATTCGCAACACAATGATTTAGATTGTACACGATGTAGTTGTAATAATCAACATAATCATCATCATCATCATCATCGTGTAAAAAAATGTGAATGTCATTCATGCAACAGAATACAAGGATGCAACAGTGATAATTATCGTAGACATTCCTTTTCTGGTGATTTAAATAAATTTCCCATGGATAATCAATGTTTAAATCATCATTGTTTAAAATCAGAGAACGATGATGTTTTCAAAAATAAATTCGATCATTGTCAATCTAATGACAAGGAGGAGAATTGTCATCATTTTTCAAGACAATGTCACTCATCAAAAGAAATTACACATTCCTGTAATAATAAAAATAATCCCATTCATTCCGAATGCAGAGGTAATAATTGTTGTCGAAATTCCATCAATCAAAATGATGATGATAATGATGATGATGATTTTATCTCTGCTCAACAAACACTTGAACAAATTGAGGTAATTATTTTACATGTTTTTCTATTGTAATGAAAAAAAACACCTTTATTCGATTTTTAATTATTTTTTTTCCCCAGGTTCAAAAAAAACAACTCAGCGGTAAAAAAGTACGAACACTTTTAATGGATTTATTAAAAGGATGTGGAGATTTTCGAACTCCAAATACGGGAAAAATCAATAAACAACCAAACACTGCTGGTCGTGATTTTAATAAACCAGAGATTATTGTCACTCCATGTACACCACGAGCTTCCTATTCAAATCAATCACAGTCGATGGAAAAGTAAGTTCCTAAATATTCAAGATTACCCAAAAAAAGACATTTTTCGGTAATTTCGCGGTCTCTATTTTTTTAAAGAAACAGGTGTTGTGACACTTGCTCACGTCGAACTGAAGTGACAGCTGAAATTGAAGCCCAATTAGAATTTTTTCGTATTGAAATGGAAAGAGTACGCTCGCGTTCTGATGCTCTACTGGATAAGCTCAACATGCTGAAGTCCACAGATAATTAAAAAAAAATCGATTTTTCTGTTAACGTGCATTTTTTTATGTATATAAAACGCTTTCATTTTTTTTATGCAAAAAAGTAAATTTAATTTCTTTTTAGTTTCTATTTGCGTTTATTGCAATGGTATGTAGTAAACACTGGTGAATTTATTAATAAAGCGTTCACATGTCTGTATTCTATTTCAGAGTAATTATTTATGTTGTGCTTTTTTAAAGAAATCGTACAAATTCATAAATTGAATTTGAATAGTTATTTCTTTGGTGTTTTTTTTAAATTTATCAATTTTAGTAATTACAATCACAGGTATCGTAACCTTGACTAGCAGCAGCGGCAGTAGTTGGTGATTCTCCTGGTACAAAATTAACTGGAGCCTCTCCTTGACCTTGTGAACTAAAAATATTGCTATAAGATGTTTTTAAATAATTTACATGACCTTGCAATGATTTAATACGTCCCTGTGCATGTTTAAAAGATTCATTTAAATTATTGATTTGACCTTGCATCTTTTGTCTAATCTGTTTATAAAGAAAAGGAAAATTAGAAAAGTATGTCTTGTTTGGAAAATTTTTAGTTGAATTACCTCATCTCTGTCTTTTTGTGCAGCTTTTGCTGTTGCACGACATTGAGCAAGTTGTCTTTCCATTTCAGAAATTTGATTTTGCATCGTTTTTCTCATCATTTCACTTCTTTCTTTTGTTCTTGCTACTTGTCTTGCTGAATCTTCTCTAACCTTAATTGAAAATAATTGTAAAATGATTTTTTTGTCTCTCGTACATTTTTGTTTTAAATAACAAAAATTTACCTGCTCTAGTAAAGATGTTAATTGAGCGACTTCGTGTAATTTTTCATCATTACATTTTCTAAATTGAGTTTCTTGTTCCTCAAATCGAATCAATGTATTTTTAAGCCTATCATTTTCGGTCCTTAATTCACTATTCTCTTTTTCTAATTCATCACATTTTTCTGATTGCTGACTACATTCTTCCTAATAGAAAAAAAAATTTCATGTTAGTCAATTTGTGAGACTCTATTTATTTTTATTAATTTAATCCTACTTGTAGGTTATTATTTTCACTGCGAAGTATTTCCATTTCTTTTTGTAAAGTTTCTATTTTATCTTTATAATCTAAAATTTCTCGTGAATAATCTTCACAATGTCTTTCAGAAATTTGACGTAATTGTTGTGATTCTTGTAATTTTAATTGTGTTTGCTTTAAAATATCTGGCAAGGGAGCTAATTCAGCAAGTTTCTCTTGAAACTGATTCTAGAAAATATACTTCAATAGTTATTTATTTTGTTATTTAATCATTTATTTATTATTAATAATAAATAATGATTAGATAGGATTTATTATTAATAATATCAAATACCTTAACACGTCCAATTTCTAAAGTTACATTTTCATTCATTCTAACATTATCCAATTCCATAAGATCAAGTTGATGTCTTTGTTCCTCGACTTTTTGCTGAGCCTATAATGATAATTAATTTAATTATATATTCTATAAATTCGAAAGTGAATTATAGTAAAAATTGATAAACCATTAGATATTTATTTCGATAATCCTCAAGTTGAGCAGATTGATCATGTGTTAAGGATCGTAATTCTTCAAGTTCGTCTTGAGCATCTCTGAATCTTTGTTTCGCCACCAAAAGCGCCTGTTCTTGTTCAATCAATTGTTCCTTATTACCTACATTTCAAAAAAAATTATTTTATTCAAAGTTATCAAATTTTATTTTAGTAAATATTTTTTATATTACCGCTCATTTTATTTTTTTCAATTTCTAGAACCTTTAATCTTTCTTGCAAATCAATTAATTTATTTTCAATTTTAGCTTTTTCCTCTTTAATATCACGTGTTTCTTGTTTCATTTTTTCTGCATCCGTACGAAGACAAGAGACCTCACACAATTTACTTTTATAATCATCTTGAAGACGTGCATATTGTTCTTTTAAATCACGCAATTGTGGTTGATTACATTGACTTCCACTCTTTTTTTTTGCGACAATAAATTTATTTTATTAATTTTTTTTTTTAAGTTGTGAGTATACTAATTTTCAAAATCGAAACAAAAATTTACCGTGATATTATTAAGACCACAACCTTGATTCACATCTTGTGAAATATTCATCTAAAAAAGAAGGACAATTGGAAGCAAAATATAATAATTTTAAAACTTATATTTAATATTTGGAACAATTGAGGAATTTTATATATTACCTTAGTAGGCATTACACCAGATTGAAGACTTGCTACACATGGAGGACACGGTTGAAAATTTCTAGAGACTGGTTCTGCAGCTGTTGGATTACATGAACATGGTGCACAAGGTGCTGTACATTTAAAAAGTTTTCTTTGCTGATCCAACTGATTTCTTTCACGTTGAACATTTATTAATTCCATTTGCATTGTACGAACCTCACTTTCTATATTGCCAAGTTGTTCTTCCTGAAACAGTATTTTGCTATTTCTTCTTTCTCAAAGTAAATTTGTTTTTAATACAAAATTGAATAATTAAAAACAAATAAATACTGATTAATATACCAAATTCTTCGTATTTTTTTCGTATGCATTGTTCAATTCAGCGGGACACATTCCTTTTGATAAAGGCCTTGGAGAAGTGGAAGTTTTTGTACCAGTAGGAGAAAAACAGGCCATATTATTACCTCTTAATGTATTATTTTCCAAAATTGATGTATTTTCTTCTGCGCCACCTCCAGAAAGTCTTTGTGTACCTTTCGACAAAAAGAAACGTTATTCGAAACTAAAAAAGAATTTTAAATGATAAATATTTTTTTGTTTTCTTATTCTTACCAGACATGAGTGCTAAAGAATCACCAACATGTTCTTCAAGACAAGATCTACAGCGACAAACACTATCATCAAGATTATTTATACTATTGTAAGAATGAGCTGGTAAAAAGGGCGACGATGATGAACCACCAGGACAAGTGTAGCAACAAGATGGTGTAGCAATTTTTTCATTTAGACAAGCTAATTGACGACTCAATTCAGTATTTTCCTTGACGATTATTCGCATTTCAGCTTGTAGACCACATACTTTACGTTGTAGATTATCTACAGCATTGTCTTTTTCCAAAATAGCCTCCTCTAATTTGTATCTGCAACGAGAAATTTGTTTCTTATAATTATAATTTATTATTATTTACATTTACAGATATAAACTAAATTTCTAAAATTAGGTTGTAAATTAAAAAAGAAAATCTGTTTTGACATATTTCACTTTAAATAGATTACGTAATTAATTAAAAAATGGAAATAATTTTTTTATCTATAAGAAATATATAATTATTTAATAAAACAAAGTACCTAAATATAATAAAAAGTGTCAAAAAAAATCTTCGATTGTCAAATATTTTTTACGATACTCGATTGTCATTTTAAAAATTTTTAGAATAATTTTTTTACTAGAATATTATTAAATACTATTTTTAAAGTACTGGTAAATAATATGTTTTCAGAAGAATAAATTAATTTATTATACTTTTCTTAGTTATAGAAAGGTAAATGTAAAAAGGGAAAAATAATTTCTATACGTACTTTCCACCTTCGAGCTTGGCATTTTCTTTAACTAATTTTTCTTGCATAATTAATGATTCACTTAATTTCCCAGTGAGACTCTCTAAATGTGTTGTTTCTGATCTTTTACATTGACTATCAGCGACTACTATCTTTGGAATACAATCCTCAGTATTGCCACAAATAATGACCCTTGGTAATCTAAAATTAAAATTACACATATAGTTTTTGTTATAAATTTTTAATAAAAAAATTAATTAATCACTTAGAACACACTTGTCTTCTGGATATTCTATTTTTGGTACATCAAATCTATCATCATCTTCTAACAAATCGTTTGTTTTTCCATAATATTCTTCGTCTAATTTTTCATCTCCATGCTAAATAATTTCATAGATATTCATTCTTATAGCTATAATATAGTTTTTTTCTTTGTTAAAAATTAATAAACATTTATAATTTACTTCTTTTTTATGAGGATAGGGCAACATTTCGAACATTTTTGCAAATTCATAACTTGATGGATCACTGAGACCTATTATTCTTTGTACTTTTCTCGTCATTTCATCAAGTTGAGCTAATTTTGTACTAATATTCTCCTGTTTCTCTGAGAGCAAAATTGTATCTTCTTGAGACAAATCAGATTTCTACAAAAAAATAATATAAATTTATATACACAAATTTAATCTTAAAATTTTTTTTTAATTTAAAAATTTTTTTAATTACATTAATAAGCTCATTTATTTCCTTCTTTAATTGTTCTATTTCTTCTTCGATAGTGATGCAATTCTCGTAAGCGCCATTCATATCTTGAAGCACTGCTGAGTCCGTAAATGGAATAGCACTCATAATTGAATCTCGATCATGACCAGATTTTACAGGAATTCCTCATATTACAATTAAGAAAAAATGCAAAATATTTTCAATTTCATGTTTTACAAAGTAGAATAATAATTTTTTTTCAAATTCTCTTATTTTAAGTTTTTAGATATCTAAGAAACAAAAGTTTTTTTTTTAAATATGAATTGTAATAATATTTAATAGTACCTTCACCGATATTTTGGGGCAGTGGATGTGGAGGTGGTAGTGCCTCAGAATCATGTTTCTGTAAAGTAATTACATCCGAAAATTTTTCCACAGAGTTTACATCTTTTTTTGATGAAGTTTCTAATTCATCGTCTAATTCTTGTTCAGACAATTTTCCTTCATTTGCCATTTTTCTAAAAAAAAATTCCAATTTTTATACTTATTAACACAAGTATATAAAGAAAGTTTGAAAAAAATAATCTTTACTTTGCAAAGTCTAAATTAACTACGAAAGAATTTTCATTAGATTCATATGATTTTAAAGAGTAAATTTCCTCATTCTCTAATATTTCTTCATGGATATTTGTTTCTTTTACGCTTTCATTCAAAGATAATGCATCCAAATGATTCGGCTGTTAAATTAAAATTATTTTTATAATTTAAGTTTTAAATTATATGTATTCTAAAATTTTTTTGTACAAAATAGAAATTTTATATAATATGTATATTATTTTTACCTGTGTAATAATATTTGGCTCGAGTTTAGAAGTACTAATACAATTATTCAAAAATAAAGAATAATTATGACATGAATTTGTTGAACTTGAAGAATCAAATGTGAAATCAATAAATTTCTCTGTTAATGAAGATGAATGTATTTCTGGTAAAGTCAACGGTTTTTTCAAGTCAAAGAGAGTTTCCAAATTGTCAAAAACATCATTTTTCAAATAGATATTATTCTTCTGATTACAGCTTTTCTGCTTTGTGATTTTTCCTTCTCCTCGTCGCTTTAATTCATGTTGACTTTTACTTTTTGTGAATAATGTTTTATTGCGCAAAGGTCTACGAGAATTTTCTGATAAATAAGAGTGACTGTCAATACAAGGCCTTCGCTTCTGCAAACAATTTTATTATTTTAGAAAACCATTAACGATTTAATAATAATATTAATTAATTTCAAGTAAAAACTTTCACAAGATAATTTATCATAAAAATTATTTTTTAAATTATTTTCTTAGATATTTTATGAACAAAAATAATCACAGTAGATTATTATTATCATCATTACTGTTGTAAAAAATTTTACCTTCATATTTTTACCTTCGAAACAAGTCCGTCTTTAATTAAAAATTATTATGTATTAAGGTTATTTGTTCCTGCACAGGACGTCCAAGTTTCAAATTACGTTAGCAAATTTAAGTTATTAACCTTTGCTTCTATTTTATTTTGCTATAATGAAAAATATATATTTATTACTATAAAAAACAAATAAAAATATTCAGATTTATGGAAGATTAAATACAAACTTGAAATCAGATGACGTTAACAAGTGACTGCGATAAAAAGCAAAATGACATTTGATATAATGTTTATAATTCTAAATTATTAACGTAATTTGTTGATTTCCCGTTTTATTATTTAAATTTTTTTCAATTATAGTTCTAATTTCATTCACCAGGTCGGCGTTATCAGTACTTCTCAGGGTTGTGTAGTGATATTTTTTAAGTGAAATACAAGAGAAACCTCCTTAATGTGACACATGTGATGAGCGACACCACCCTGTTTATATGAACAACCCAACCCTGATGTGAAACTTAGTTTAACATTTCGCAGTTGGCAACATTGTAACATGGCGTCGGTTATACAAGACTGTGTGCGCGCTTCTTACTACTCTCAACAAGTGTCGAATATAATCCTTTGTTCGTTAAAATCGTTTTTTTTTCTAAACATTCTTTTTATAAACCAATTCTAACTTTTGACGTGAAATTAAATCATATACAAGTAAAATTCACTTCCGATTAATAGACAAATTTGACTTGTGTGAAACCGGGCATTCGGGTGCCTCCTTGTGCGTGATAGCAATATGAAGAAATTCACAGCAATATTTTCAACATTTTGCAACAATATATATTGTATTATTGTATATTCTTTGGTGACGAAAAGTAAAAAGACATGAAAAAAAATGGCTGACACATCGATTTTCGACATTAAAATCATCGTTAATTCGAGTGGTTTGTTTCAATCCGGAAGGATAATAGCATCGGAAGTAATCCTCGATTGTTGTGTTTGTATCTATTTGTTAGTGCGTGTTAATTTGTACAGTAATTGTGGTATGGGATTTTCTTCGATGAAAGTTGAAGAAATAATGAAAAACAAAATGGCCGCCATACACGAGATAATTAATACTTTCAGTTCGGTTTTTTGTTCTAATACGGAAGATTAATAGCAGTACGATTGTCGTGTCAATAATAAATTTATTCGTAATTATTCATTTGTTCTAATAAAAATGCAAGTAACTTGCACGTTAAATGTGATTCGTTAAAGTAGTGTCTGTGAATGTTGTGTTTGTGTTTAGTCTTTGAAGAAAGAAAAGTCGTTTCGGAGCAGCTCCAGGATGATCATGTACAGCTTCTAGGAAAAAGGCAGAGAAATTTCTCGCGAATAAGCTACTGCAAAACATCTTGAGTCAACGACTGGTGAGTCTTTTATTTATTTTTTATTTCAAAGTGTCTAAACGTCCGGCTAGACGGACATCAAAAAACGTCTAAACGTCCGTCTATATCCACCCGACTTTGTCCGCAGAATACTTTCGGGCATTTCCGACCCCCCCCCTCCTCCTCCTCCAAGGTTTCCTTAAAATATACGTAGACGGACAAAATTATCAAAAATTATTTTGTCCGTCTAGTCGGACGAATAGACGCAGCGTTTTTATTTTTTCTAGTATAACAGTGACATCATTGACAAAAAAAAAATATTTCGTATTAACGGTTTATTAAATACAGAAATTATTATTTCTTTAAATTTTTTGTATATTCTTCGCACATTTAATATTTTTTGCCCCATAAAACATATATTTGGTTTGATAAATTTTTATTTTACCCACACTAAAATAAGATTATTGTAATTTTCTCTTTTTGGATAATTCAATAATCTTCGGATTTTTTTAATAAAAGTGTTATGCTTTTTTTTTAAACATTTAGTGAGTGAATAATTTTACAGTGTTAATTTTAGTTTTGCATAAAGTGCAATTTTTGAAGTTTGAAGAATATATACGTCGGTGAAGTTCACAACGTTTATGATCAACGATTGAAAAAAAAATATTTTTTGCCTATAAATTGTTTTTTCAAAAAATAATTGATCAAGGAAACCTTGCAAAAAATTTTTTAGAGCAAAAATATTAATAATTTGCATATATTTTTTAAACGTTGTGAACTTCACCGACGTGAATATATACAGTGATTTACGTATAATTACGTGTGAATTGGATTACATGTGAACAACACATAAGGTAAGTTAATTAAATTACAACCCATCACTGTTTTACAGTTTTTATCATATATCATATAAATAATTTGTGTGTGAATTTGAGGTTAAAATTTTTAATTAATAATTAAAGAAAGAACAATATCTATTTAGAAAATAATTATATACTACATTATGGATTCTCAACGGCATGATTCTCCACAATCAATTTTTTTAGTAGATAAAGACAATAATGTACGTATACTTTAATGTTTTTATTTACAAAATTTTGCATCATAATTGTATATTCTAAAAGTTATTTAATTTTTTAAAATATTACAGTCTCTTTCTTTTGAACTCAATTTGTGTTTTTAGAGATTGGAAATTACTCCTGAAAATATAAAATTACTTCGAGATTGTACGACTGAAGGATTTAAAAAAAGAGCATTACCGCTGAGTTTATCTTGTGGTATTATTTCTTATATGTTTCTGAAAAATAAGGGTAAAATAGACAAACGTTTAATGGTTCCAATTGTTTTTTGCTCTGCTGTTGGAGGTCTTACTTTCGGTTTAGCAAGTTACAATAAAATATGTGCCGAACGATTAAGAATTGCAATTGTACAAAATTCAAGAAGGTAAATATAATAATAATAATAATAATAAAGTATATAAGTATTGATAAATGTTACATTCTTTTAGTTACAACCAAAGTGATATGGAAAATCAAAACAATCCAGTTTCTTCTCAAAAAAATTACGAAATGTTTACTCGAAGTAAACCAACAGACATAGAAGTGTCAACAACGAGTGATTTTGACACTGTAAATAATATTGTAGACATGGGTATGTTAAAATTATTATTTATATATTTGTTACAAAATTATTAATAGAATATTCAAAACTAAAAATAGAAAAATAAAAATGAATTAATTGTAGAATTTAAGAAGAAAAATTTTTTTTTTAATTATAGACAATGTGGAAATACCCTTTCAATCAAAGACTTATGATGGGCAAAGGAATTATGTAACGTATGATGAATTAAGGGAGAGGAATAGAACAGAATATATGCAAAAACAAAAGTATATGTTTTTATTTTTATTCATTTTATTCTTACTATTTTTGATAAAATGATAAAAATAAATAGTAACGTTGAAATTATCATTTTAGTATTATCAATAATATTTTCACGTTAACAGTAAAATTTATTATTATTATTATTATTATTATTATTATTATTATTGTTGTTATAAAACAGATATATGCAACCATACCAAGGAGTACAACAAAGATACAATTCTCCTCAATTTAAGGATAAATCAAATAAGGTATATTTTCCTGAAGAAAAATTTGGAGATAACGTACAAAGTAATCCTATTGGTACACAAGAATTTGAATATAATGAACAGTTAAGCAATCAACGAAAAGATCGGTGAGTTTTATGAATTTTAATTAGTTCCAATTAAAAAAAAACGATAGGTTTTATAAAAAAAAATATTAACATGGCGAATAGGTTCGTATTAAAGATAATAAAGAATTAGCAAAAAATAAATAAAAAATAAACAATAATAAAAGAAAAATTTATCTTTAAAAAAGCCATAATAGGTATACAATTTATAATTCACTAAAAAAGAAGTAGAATATTAATATTGTTATTTCAAATTAGAAACTTAAGAATTTAAATAAGATTTAAAAAAGTGTTAAAAAAAAAAAAAAAATTATTGTACAGGGTGCAACCTGAAATGTATCCAACTCAAGGTATTAATCGTCCCTCAAGGCAACGAAAAAATGAGTATGGTGATGATTGGTAGTATTAGTTTTTAATATATAGTCATTTTATATGTATTCTGTTTAAATAAAAGAAAATAAATAACTACCTCAATATTTTAATACATTTTCTTAAAATAAATAAATCTAAAAATATCAACTGTGAAAATTATAATTATTATTTTGCAAAAACTATTCAATTTAAACATACTTTTAATAAATAAATAAATAAATAAAATTCGACACTTAAATATATAAATAACGCAATTTTTTTACTTGTTTTTCTTAAATCAGAAAAAATATAGCAATAAAAAATAATAAATTACCATTATTAGAAAGAAGAAAATAATTACTTTTGTAAAATTATATTGACGCATTCCCGAGAATAGAATAAAATTTCATGACACTGGCCGTGAATGGTTCAACGTTTCTTATATAGTTTTACCTGAAAGATAACTTAATTCCTAAATTAACCTCTTGCTCATATAAAGAGTTGATTTCTCTGCCATTTCGGAATCCCTCATTAAAAATGAAAAATGTTTAATAGAGGCGCAGCATGTATTGGCGAATATATAGTAATAGTAAGTGTATATATGTATGTAAAAGAAATTCACATCTACTTTTATACTATATACATGTATATATTTCTTTAGGACTTAAAAAAAATATTGTTTTAACATTGGAATGCAAAAAGCATTAGCTTTTTTTGCACTAAAAATAAAACTAAATATAAATGCCTATATTAAACATTTTTTTATTTCTGAGTGTTAAATTATTAATTTCAAAAATATAAAATACAAAAGTTTTAATAATAAAATTAAAACTTGTTGCACATTAATTATTGATGTTTTAAATGTTGTTTTATCAGGTCAGTAAATTCTAATTTCTTTTAATAAATAGTTTTAGGAAATGTGATTCTTATTAAATAATAAAAGATTCATATTATGACGTATTTAAATTGATATTTTTATTTGAACTTTTTTTTGAAGTATCAATATTGGTATGTACATAAATATAGACTAGTTTTACGATTTCCGACAAGTAACATTTTCGATTCGCTGAAAGTGCTAATTGATATAAATTATATAATATATAACTATATAATAATTAAAAAATACAGTTGAAATTAATTATCTTGTTTGTTTATCATATAAGTGTGTGCAATTTTTTTTTGTTTCAAAATTAATTGTAAAGAAAAATGAGTCGGTATATTCGCAAGTAGCTCCTAAATTCATTTATTAATTATATGTATATATTTATATATATATATATATATTTATTTATATAGTATAGTAAAATATATAAAGTCTTGAAGAGAAACGTAAAATGATATGTGTGTACATTGATTTTAATTTGGATTTGACACTTTCACCGTTATTTATAAGAAATATAATAATAATATATCTAGTCAGTTCTAATTCAGAATAATGAGGTTATTATACTGCTTAATATTATTAAAAATATAATTTTTATTATTTGCATAATGTATGTAATTTATAAATTTAAATTAAATAATTTTCAGTCATTTAGAATATTAAAGAAAATTTTTGAATAAAAAATCGTATTAGATTCAGTTGAACCTCGTTAAGAGCGTTGTTTTTTAATTATCCAGTTTCTCACTTGAGGTTCGAAAATTGTATCTCTTTATTTTTAACTAAAGTTTTATTTATTAACAAATTTATATATGAATTTCGTATAACAAAATTTTATCAATTTTTTTAAATCTCTTTTTAAACTTATATTTTTTTCATTTGGAATAGTTTTTTTAAATAAAATTTTTTTTTTTATTTAAAATAATTCATAAGAAAAAAAATTCATTAAAAACATTTTTAGAGGCTTAAAAATACATAAATTGATGAATTTCATTTGAAATCTCTTTCTATATATATGTATATGCGATCATGGAAAATTACAACAGTTAATACCGGTGAAAGTGCAAAGCAAATATTACATCGATGTGCCGTTTATCCATATCGGGCGTCGAGGACACACGGCATACGTATAGTCTTTGGGATAAAACTAATTCACAAAGTGACGTTCTCTACGTGCTATAAACCACTCTTTTTATTACCGATATAGTAATAATTAATTATTATAATGTATATCGCTACTCGAGGATGCAAGTGTTTGGATGAGCCTTTAACTTTTCAGGGGTTGTTATATTTATTTATTTATTTTAATACATGAAGAAGGGGTTTTCAATATGATAATAATGATTACATTAGTTTACATAAGTTGCAAGTGCTTTATATTTGTATTATATAATTAAATTTTAAAAGTTAATTTTTTTTTTCCTTTAAATTGAAAGCATTTTTAAGAATATACTTGCAAATTCGTAAAGCGATACAGCAACATCTACGTATTTTGAAACTTATTTTCATTCATAGATATATGTATATAAATTTATATATACATTTATATATATATACAGGGTAACTGATACAGAATAGACATTTATCTCTGCAATACGTGACATATTTTAGTATTTTTTTAAAAAGGCGGATTTAAAAAACACTTGAATATTTTAATCGATTTATTATGCATTATAACTTAAAGTTTAAAAGAATTAAAAAATTTTATTGCAAACTTTTCACAATTTTTCTTTAAAAATTTTTTGATAAACAATTCAGAATTCTACCAAAATACACGTCATTACATTCATATAATAAATATTGCTCAGGAAAAGCTGATGTTTTATTATAAATTTGATATTAAATAGTTATAAACACATACTTGGTAATTTTTTTCTTTCAACGAAAATAAACTAAAATAATTAGTACCTACTCAAGTCAAATAAATTATATATATATTTAAAATAGTTTGGAAAAAATTTTCTTTACAAAAAAAAATAAAAACTTTTTCCTGAGTAATGATATACACTTGACTTTTACAATAATAATAATTGCTATATAAATATAAAAAAAATTTTTTGATGAATTTTACTAAAGAAGACTATACGTAATTTAATGTTAAAACTATATAGACAAAAATTTATTTATATTGCACACACAGAACAACACTAATAAGTACAATTATTATTCATAACAAAAGTTAATAAAATTAATCGAAGTAAAAAAAATTCATCATCTTCATACTAATATCACAGTTGGAAGACAGATCAGGAGCATACAATTAATAAAATAATATTACTTTATATTCGAATTATTTTTATGTAAATGAAAGTTTAAATTCGATCCATTGACATTGAAAAATAAAATTTATTCGATTCAAGTAATCGGTTATCAAGTAAATATTTATTTGAACCAAATAATTTTATGTTTGATTTGTCTTGAATCGAACATTTTTCTTTCAAATATATATTTAAAATGTGTTGTTTAATAATTTTGTTTTACTGCATTGCTTGCAATATGAAGACAAAAAAAAGTCTTAACATTTATTTTTATTTTTTTTTTTTAAATATCACGTATAGCATACGGTTTTTAGAGTACTCTGCAAAGTTTACCCTTCTTGTATATAATGTGCAACGTACGGTGTATTCGCGAAAAAATATTTCTACATGGAAATGAATGTATACTATTTTTTGCGTATCTATGTATACAATTATATTTATTTATATAGTTGTGTTTTTTTCTATTATGTAGTGGACCAGCCACTATATGGACGTGAACAGTCTAGTACAACAGTAGTTTTTTTTTGTGAACCCATTGAAACCATCTTTCAATTTCATTATTGCAAATGATAAAAAAAAAGAAAAAAAAATTCCCTACAACTAGACTGCATGAGTATTATTTGCATCAAACTATTTTTAAACAAAAAAATTACTAACAAATTTTGATTTTTGTATCTTCTTTTAAACTCAGAATTTGTTTTTTCAATTGTTTTGAATTAAAACTTTGAGTTATTTATACACTCAAGAAAAATTTCATTCAAATAATCAGTTACTTGAGTATTATCAAATAAATAATTTTAACAGTTATAATTTTTGAGTCAATTTGTTCAAAATACAAAAATTATCTTTATTTGAATGAAATAAATTTTTTTTCAGTATAAGGAACAAATTTTGATAGATATTAATTATTTTGAATTGAAATATAATTTATATTTAAAAAAAGTAGTTTGATGCGCAATAAGTTAATTCAATATATTTTGTATAAATATAATGAATTTCGTTCTACACTTAGCAAAGTTTCATAAAATCATATACAGTTTATTCTAGCGACAAGAACAATGGGCAGCACATAGCGATTGACACCAACGCGATTCGACCGCGATCTCCTTAAGATCACACACATACACACATACTGATTGTGAGTCAGTCGAAGACGTTGCATTGGTGTGTGTATAAGTACATCATGAATACTTAATACACGTTCTTATATATATATATAAATACACACCTGCAAATTATTTATCAACACAAATATACAAAATTCACGCATAAATCTCATTACCTATAAATTATAAATGTACTAAAAATTGTTAAAAATTATAAAAAGTAAAATTTCTATATATGTATAGAGAAAGAGGGAATTTTACTTCGCATGTTGTTTAGGTAAATGTCGTTTCATGTGAAGTGCAAGATGATCACTTCGTGCAAACGATCGTTCACATACAGCACATTTAAAAGGTTTTGCTCCGGTATGTTTCCGATAATGTCGCGTTAATTCATCACTTCGAGCGAATCGCCATTCACATTCAGGCCACTGACACTGGTATGGCTTCTCCCCTGAAAGCAAAAGAAAACAAAAAATTACACTTTATTTCCGCGGAGAAATACTAAAAAAGCACAAAATTGTGAGGTATTAAACTAAAAAAATTTATTTTTTAAAATAATCGGTTACTTAGTGATAATTTTACTGTAATTCAAATTAAGAGAGCATATTATTTTGAAAAGTATTGAATGACATAAAATAAAGAGATTTTTTATTTATATTGTACTTGACGAAATAGTTCGCAAGCATATATAGAAGATATTTGAATTCATAGTTCACATGAGCGGCACACAGTATATAAGAACTGATGTTGCTACGTATTTCAGTGGGATATAATACGAATAGAACTATCGCGCGCGCGATTAGGTAATGCCCCTTAAAAGCCAATAAAAAAATAATCGTGATCCTTTCCAGTCGCTAACCTTCTAGTAGCGAATGCATAGTGATCTTTCACGAATATGTGTATATATATATATAAACGTTGAGCACGGGCGTGCGACTGTGACCGAACGTTGCACTTTAAGGTCAAGACATATTAGAGAAGAGAAGAAAAGCGCAAAATAACTTCACCACATATATAAGAATATATATACACATATTGTATCATATCTGTTGCAATGAAAGAAAAGCCAACAATTTCTTTTATCGCTCTTGTCATGTATATTGAAAGTTAATATAATGCCATGCCGTTGTAATAAAATTTACTTAACGAACCACAATTTCTTTAAGTTATATAATAACATTGCATATGTTATTAGAACATATTGAAAAAATTTATACTAAAAATCCTTTTTTCCCGGGATTATAATGAATTTACAAAAAAAAATCCAAAATCGTATACAAATTTGAACTTATCAGAATTTTAATTCTGTATCATTTTTTCAATTTTCGAAACATTAAATAATTCGGTTATAAAAAAATATTTATATATTATTTTTCTCAGTATTGTGAGTATATAATCCAGTTTGTAAATGTTACTCCCTTTCAATGAGCCGTTCTTACTTTCATCTTCTGATTCACACCGCGCTACATTCATATCGGATTTTCTGGCGCATATACGTTAACCCGCGGCGCGAAATGTCACTCGCGACCTGGGGATATATAAGAAACTTAACATCTATAACCTTATTATGGATACAAATACTATATAAGAGAGAAAAACCTAAACGTTCCTCCTATGATTCTTTTATTTCATTTTTTTTTGAAGTAGCTATCGCGATATCGACTCTAAAGGAAGTCATTAGAGAACAAAGCATTGCTCTTTTGCGATAGATACAATCCCGCGCACTTCAAGATGCCGCGGTAACCTTTAACTGTAACCGCATATGCCGCAACATTCACCTGTAGGCTACTACATTAGAAAGGAATGTGACTACATGATTTTTCAAACGTCTTTGTATATAATACACACACTAAAATGATAATCAAAATGAAAAACAAAAAAAAATTTTTATTGGACGATAAGGCGTATATATACCTATATATAATATATTTATTTCCGCATCGATAACGTTGCAGTGCGAGAGATTATATATTTATCACTATTAGTTTCATGAGAAACATTTATAGAATAGCAAAAGAGATATATTTTTCTGATTATATTTTTAACAGTTAATTGGATTACATAATTGGAAATAAGGCATCGCGCGACCTTTTCGTTTACAAAACAACGAATCTATAAAGAAAAACATGAATGGAATCATTAAACCATATATATATATAAAATTTCTTAACTTCTTTATTTCGTCACTACGGGTCACAATAAGCTAAAGTTGAATTGAATATAAATTATTTTTTGTAAATATATATACATAGAGTCAGCCAAGATTTTACACTGAATTTAACAATAAATTGCATTGAAATATTTGTAAATATAAAATATATAAACTATAAATATCGATCTTTAATCACAGTGACCCAAACATTGCAACCTCAATATAGTATATGAGGGAACAAATTGAAGTGATGCAGCATTCAAATCTCTCAATCTCTTCTGAAACAGATTTGAATGCTTAGAAAGAATGGCAGTAAATTCTTTATATACCTCGAATCCAATACATATGTATTGTTATATTATATTAAACATTTTAATGATGAGTTTATATATGAGAGTTGTAGATGATAATTCAGTTTAACTAGATATACACCCAACAAACGAAAATGAGACAGCAAGTTCTATTCTTGCTCTCTCATACTGCGTTTTCAATTAAGTTTTACGTATACTCTTTAATTGAATTGTTCTTTTACACAATATTTCAATCCCATTTTTCTAATTTGAAAATTTTCAAAATATATTTTAATAAATATTTTAAAAAACGGAAAAAGCGTTATAAAATTTTACACATATTGAAAGAATAAAGAAAGGAAAGTGAGTTTAATATTATTATTATTATTATATATTATTCCTTGTAGTTTTATTCAATGTGGTGAGAGTTGCTATAGTAAAAATTTCAAAAAAGAATATATGATGAAGATCGATGAAGATATATACACAAAACAAAGGCTAGAAGAAAAAGACGAGCAGAAGAAGAAGAAGAAGAAGAAGAAGAAGAAGTTACCAAAGTTGGAAGTGCGGATCGGATTGGAATGTTGCTCGCCTCATGCCCGCCCTCGCTATATACACCACACTTATATGCTTCGCGCATTCACATTTTGTGCAGACGTTTCTGCTATCGCATGTATGTGTGTGCGTGGAAATGAATGCTATACGTCGATCGCAAAAAAGAGGTGAGAGAGAGAGAGGGACGAAGTATATTCATTCAAGACAACCGCCGCGCCACGCCAGACCGCCACGTGCCCGAGGCTCTCAACCCGTTAACTACCAGTATTTTCATGCCCAACTCCCAATCTATTCTTTTCCCTCATTACATTATATTGTGTCATTCAACAAAAAAAGACCAAAATAAATATAATATTATTCAAATCTAGAATTTGGTTGTTTTTACAATTTTCAACAAATTTTAATTTATCTTCTTACTCATTATATATCCGAGATATTAAAGATGCAATATGCTATTAATTCAATACCAAAATTCCGGTATAGAAAGTATTATATACAAAGTGATAAAAAAATCTCTTTACTATATGTCATTTAACGCATTTAACGTTTGGTTTATTTTATAATAAATTTTTCGAATAAAGTGGTTGATGATCAAAAGTTTAGGTTAGAGATAAATTTTTTTATACAATAATTACATATGGCAATTGTTTTTCTACAGAAAAATTTGAACCCCTTATAACTTTGAGGTCATCCTAAAAAAAAGTAAAACCAATATTCAAATAGTTTTTTGGCATAATGCTTTTTGTATAAATAACTGAAGCCTAGAATATAATTATTTTTACAACCCTCTTTTATCTCATAAATCTAAATAGGCACCCGGAAAGTCACTTATCTTTTATCGTGTGTGTACGATATGTCCATCAACTAATTATCTCTATACTGCATATAAAAAGGGATGTATCGATAATATCTCTTCTAATATATATGATGACTCTGGGAAATGAAATTTTAGACTGAACTATATAAACAAATAACCTCTCTTTCATTTTTCAATTAGACAAACATCTTTCGCTGTTTTTTTAATGTAAAATCTATACTGCGGCTTTCGATTTTTAACTTTATTGAACGTAAACATCATTTGTTTTCATTTACTCTATCGAGATTGTACCACATATATCAGACTGGCGTAAAATTTTAAGAAACTTTTTTTAATGTTTCGTCATTTAAATTTTACACAAACTTTCTTTTGTTATCTCTTACGCGAGATTAAAACAAAAAAAGACTTTTGACAATAGAGTTAAAATCTCTAAAAATTCTTTTTCAACCTTTTTTTCCCCCTAATTTATTGAGTACACAAATCTTTATTTCATATATACATTATACTATATGGTATATATGTGGAAAAGTGATTTAATATACTTCTTTTGAAGAAATGCGATGCAAAAACGCCTATTGACAAAATTATGTGTATTCTCACTGATAAGTAATCGAGTACAAGACATTTTAACACATCCTGTTTAATTTATAAAACATATATCTATCTTTACATTTTTAAGATAAGAATAACGTTATATTTAAAATTGTATTTTTAAAGAAATCGTCTAAATTGTTGAAAAGACAATCAGAAATTTTCAAACAATTAGAAATTCAAATTCAATTCTTTTCAATTCAAAATTTTTAATTCAAATACTTATGCATAATAAGATTTACATCCCAAGAGATCTCTTTAAAACATTTATACTTTCTTTTCTATGATGAATAACAGAAATTTCTGCAAAGTTTTAATCCAGAACTTTCTACAATCTGCGTTAAATTCTGAAACTTTCTATATGGAAGAGCTTCTACTTTAAAAATAATTTTTTTTGTTAATTTGAATTGATTATATATACAAATGATGATTATACACTTGTGTCTAGTTTTTTTTTCTTTTTGGAGAATTTAACTTTATCTTGTGTTTACATCCTCTTTCAAAGAGAGGATATGTGCAATGTACTCAACTAGATGTATACTTGTACCTCTTTTATTTGAAAAGAAATTTACCTTGTTCAAAGGGTATATGGTATATGTATATAATCAGTTGAACCGCTAGAACTTGCATTTATATCTGAACTGAGAGAGAGAGAGAGAGAGAGAAAGAGAGAGAGCAGATTGTTTCTTCTCTCGATTTATTCTATAAAAGTATATGCTATAGAAGAAAATTTGTACGAGGATAATATTTTTCAAAACATCTTTGTTCTTTGTGAAATTTTTCAAAAATTTAGCTCGTTGACTCAATTGTTTGAAAAATATATACATAATTAGGTGTAAACTATTTTAGCTATATAAAATTGTAAATTTTCTTTTTCATATTTTAGAATAGAAGAGTGTTAAGAATGTACACTTGGCATTTACACAGCGTTGCGTGTAAATGTATGTATATATATGCTCCCGCTCTCACAGCGAAGGTAACCACGCCCAACTTACACTTTGAAAGAACGAGAAGTTCTCTGATATTCATCGCGAGAGAATCGACTTTCCTCCTTTATTTCCATGAAATACATCTGAACTTAATGTACCCTAATTATTATAGTTCCCATCAAAAATTTTATTTTCCTTTTTGTTAAAATCAGCACTTGATTAAGAAAAAAAATATCCTATAAAAAATTGAATGTATTTGCAAAAGTTTTTAATATCACGAATGTAGGTATATATAAAATTGATATGAGGAGATGGTATATACACTATCGATTCACAATTATGATATCTTGTACATCTCATCATACTAAAGCTTGATTGTCTGTAACTTTTTCTCTACCTATAGATATCAAGGGATGGGTCTTAACAAAGATTTCGGTACAATTTTTAAAATTGATCAATCACGATAATCATGCGCCCCGTGAAAATATTTAATGAATGAAGAATTAATAGATGCTATTTAATTCTGATGACGCAAAAATAAACGGTTTAATGAAAAATTTATAATTCAAACTTACCAGTGTGTATTCTCTGATGTGCCTTGAGATGTGAACTTTTTGTGTAGACTTTTGTGCAACCTAGAAAAAAGGAATGTTTCTTAAGATAAAAATCTCTAAAACTCACATTAAGAAAAATTAATAAATATCATGAATAAAATTTCACTTACCAATAAAGTCGCAATGGTGCACTCGTCTTTTCTCCAATTCAGGATTATTTCTCCTATTGAATTTAGTGATAGATTGAGATTGAATTCTATGAGGTGCATTAATAATAGGAGGCTGTGGATACGGAGGAGGAGGTGTTCGCCTAGGTGGTCCACCAAGTGGTGAACCAGGATCGGAAATTGGTGGCGTCAATGGTGACACGTACATTAACCTATTCATTGAACCATATAACGCCGGCGATGTTGTACTTGTATTAGCTTGATGATGATTTGTCGATGAATCATTATTATTATTTGTGCTATTAGTCGTTGGAAATATTTTAAATGCCGTTGTTGTTGCTCTATGATTTAAAACTACCGATTGTCCACTTGCCGAATGCCTATTGATAAATGTCGAATTACTAGTGGGTCCTTCAAGCAAATGTAGTGTGGGATTCGAGGGTAATGGTTCGGTTTTTATTTCTACTGGTGATAAAACAGGAGATGTTACAACGTCTTCTGTTTCTAACTTCACATGCGATTGAGAGGCTAGCATATCAGCATTTTCGGGATCCAATTTTTGAATACTCGAGGTAATATCTTCCCAAAGTGGTGGCCTGAGAAAAACGTCGTCATCACCGCCACCATTGCCCGTTGATTGACTACTTCGAGGTGATACAAAACTTGCTTGTGGTCGACATGAAGTGTTGCTGACTTGAAAAAAATCATCCATATGGACCGAAGGATCTCTCGTATCCTTCTCGTCATCCTCAAGCTTTTGCAACCTATCGAGATCTTGTCGACACAATAGGGTATCCAAGTCCGATGTCTGAAGCAGAAAAATAGTTTTTCGATTTTAGTATATAACATTCCAAAAATAAGTTTAATTAGTTTCTTTAGTCAATGATTTATATTTTAATGTTAGTATTAGTTTCAATTAAATTCTACTGATAAGTAAAGGAATTCATAATAGTTTCGCCATTGTTTCTTTCAATCATCAAGTATTGTATGAGAATTAACTGCATGTCTTAGTTTGAATAACAGAATATATAAACTATATACATAATTTGTCAAGAGGTAATCAGTAATCTACATAGCGAGTTTCTTATAGGAAATAAATTTTCTAATACATACATAAAAACAAGTTCTTGAATAAAATAGTACACTTCTTTTAAATCAATCAATTTTAGGTTTAGCAAAAAGGTCGAAAATTCGAAGCTAGCTTTTTTAAAACAGCAGGTTTTATATCTTTTCTATTTAAAAAAATTGTGCAAAAAAACCCAAGAAAAGCTGCATCATTTCATCTCATTTGATTTGTATATATGCGCACAACACCGCCCTCATATTTTTTATTTCCTTTTCTTCCTCATCCTGTTCCACACACTGGACCACAAACGACGTATATAACTTTTTTTTGAATATTTTAATACACACGTGCAAACATCAAATACAACGCCCTTTTCAACATTCGACTATATACATGCGCTTCCTTGGAACATCCCTCGCGAAAAAGACATTATTCATATAACCCGCATATAATTATCATTTATTTATCTATCACATATCAAAAATTCATGACATATGCCTTATGTAATATTACCTGAATATAACACTTTTATTTATTATTATATTATAATTATAATAAAAAAAATATAATTGAAATAAATCTTTCGATGTGTGTATATTTTTTGAGAGCATATTTGTTCTTAAAACAAAAATTTAGAAATTCTATACTATAGTTCGTCTTTTTCGATTTTATAACTATATATATATACAGAATGTTTAAGTCGATTGCTTCATGACAATTGTCTTATTTTCGTTGCATCAATAATAATATAGTGGAGTGCGAAACCTGATCTGTCCGACCATTATTGCAGGTAATCATAGATGCTGCTGGGTCAATCGGGTTAATAACGCGTTCTCAAATCCGTCGGGACACCCACGCCGACGCGATATATGCCGTGATGCGCGCCGTATGTGAGTAAAATATACACGAACTTCGAAATAATATTTTGAATAAATTCCCCGATATATAGTCATTTTAACAAAATGAAGACAACAAATTTTAAAATTTATATAATATTTAAAAAAATGCTATTCAATCGATAATATTTCCGACATATTAATAAATTAGAATTTATCTTATTTAAAAATTTTTTTCATTTTGTAGCATGTGCTGCATATTATATTTTCTATATTTATTAATTTTTTCAGTTTATTTTTAAGTATAAACATTCTCTTTTTGGAAATGTTAATTCAAAAAAGCTGCCATAGTATTTTAAAAACAAAACTGAAAAAATTAACAAATAATAGAAAATATCGTCTAATTATTTTAAAAATTAAGATATAAATTTCTCGTATTACTTTGTTTAAATAAACATAATCGTAATTTATCTTTAGTGTAGAAAATCTATAAAAAAAATGTAATTTTTATATTTTGTAGATCTTCAGTAGTATCGGAATATTCGAGTCAGACTATAGTATATAATATATGTGATACTAAAACTGACCGACATCCCTTTCGTCTGACAATAGCATAAGCTAGTACTACTACTTCTTCTACTACTAAAATCGCTTCCAAAACTGTTTATGACCTCTTCTGACTTTGTTAAAAAGAATATTATAATATCCAAATTTTATAAAGTTAAAACATTTCTGAATTTGTATAATTTTCAAAAGAATCAGAAATTTTTTTTTTTTTTTTTGATAATGTTCTTACGCTTTTGTGGGGGAACTATATAAGGATAAATGCAAATTTACGTCATTTGTAGCAAATAAAAACAAAGAAAAGAATAATAATGGAGAAGGAAGCAGCCATTTTGTAGACGGTAACGAAGCGTGGCGCGCAGAAGCAAGCACACTGAATCAATCTAGTGAAGCCACACCCTTTGACCTAAAGCCGCATTATCCTGATAAATATGGAGGAAATGTCGAGCGAACAATAAGCTACCGTTATCATCATTATTATCGTTTCGATCGTTAACCAGCTTGAATCTTTTTTTTATGTTTTACCGATACATATAGTACTTTGAAAAAAATATACCTGCCTACATTTTTATGTATTTGATAGCATATGTTTGTTCATCTACATATTAAATGAATTAAAATAATAATTATCTCCTTACATTGTAAAAAGTTCACTTTTTAATTGCAAAAGCCTTTTCGAAATATCTACCTAATACATTTTAAGTTTTGAAAATAATTTTATCAAAATCTTAAATTAAATCTGATTCTGTTTTTGTTATTCGAATTTGAAACATAATTTTCGACCCCAAATCACTGGAGTGAGATGTTACATATTCTAAAATGGCTGATATAGCTGCCCTTGTGTTTCTTCATAGAACTTTTAAAGTTTTTCCTCTAAAGACATTTTTGAAAGTTTTAAAAAGTTCTTTTGATTGAAAAAAATGTTTTTTCTAACTATTCGTGAGCTTCTCGTTGTACATCACATATATACTGATTCTATCTTGCTATTCAACTGCCTAAGGTAATAAAACCCCAGTCTCCATTATTTACTTGCATTATCGTTTATTTTACGCCCACAAGTCTCGTATTTATGGTGAAATTATTCAACATTATTTCACAGATATGAATAAGATATGGTTGATCCTTGAGATACATACATATATATATATACAATATATATATTGGTGTACGAACATCCTCCTCATATATATTTCTAATGCGCCATATTTTTGACTCCTGATGGAGAAAAATTTTTAATCTCTTGCAATCCTAAAAGAAATATGTATTTTGTTTAGCAAAATTCATGCATATAATCTTTAATTGAAGATACTATGATTTTAATGTATAGAAAAAGTCGACTAAAATGTATTGTACTGATTCTGATAGAATAATTGCTTTATTACCTGTCACTTAGAATTCAGTGGGCAATACTTTTGAAACATGAATTTTTACTAGTCTTCAAACCATAAAATGACTTAATGAATATAAACATGCAAGGCAGTTAATAGTATTACATATGTAGACATCACATATGTGGCATCGTTCATTTCTGCTTGATAAACATACTAACGCTGTACGTACGGTATAAAAAAGGGGGTGATAGCGCTCGTGTTACCTAATATAAAACACGTGCCTGCCACACGACCGCACTTACAATTCTCTACCGGTTGGTCGCGGACTTGTTCTGAACAAGTTGTGAATTCTAGCCCTCTTTCTCTCTCTCAACCCTCGTGTATCCTCATATCTTAGGAGTCTCACTCTCATAGCACGTGCTCTCTGTGGTTAACCCAGTGACTTTTTCTACATAGTCACCTATATTCTCCCTTTAATTGTATTATATTTCATAATGCATTCTTATGTATACAAAACATTATTTAATTTTCATTTTCTATATAGCCTTTGACTTTTGCCAAAGTAGAGGAAGTTAATTATTGTGAAAATACTTTTATTTATTATAATGACAAATAATAATTATTGTGTCAGAAATAAACGATTATATCGGCGCGTCGTGAATGAGTCACTACAAGAAAAGTCGGGAAACAATTTACATTTATGCTTAGGAAAGGTGAGGTAACAACGCTGAATTGAGTTTGAAATGCATTAACAAGATTATAGTTTCTAAATCTCGAAGGTGAATAAAAAAATTTTTGATAGTCATCGAAAGTCAGCTGGGGTCGAAAATTTAACTAAGCGCATCATATAATTTGCACCTGGTATGCTTTGATTATACTCCCTGATTACGCACTTATGTATCAGCAACACTTAAATCATTCTACTGAAAGCACATCTGTTCTTTGCATGATTCACACATTATTAGAGAAAGCGTGAGTGGTAAAAGTTAAACCACCTAATTTGGAGTTAAACCTAATTGCTATTGTATAATACTATAATAGAGACTCCCCTTTTAAAAATCGGGAATAGAAAAATAGGAACAAAAATTTAGATAGTAAAATTTTATATATACAGTTCAATACATATAAAATAGGATGATATATGTGAATAATCCTTGAATATATATATATATGATATTGCAATTAAAATCAAGTCATGTTTATTTTTATTCAATGACACTTGAGCAATATTGTACGAAGCTTAAATTCTAATGAGCACATGATTTATTTCTAATCTATTGACGTCTGTACATGTATGTATACGTATATATGGCTGAGGTATATACGTTTGTCCTTTGCTTTTGTTCGTAAATTGACACCTTTCACTTCCGACAAGATTATTTCTTATAAGAACTCTTTCTTAATAGAAAATTTCAATATGAAATCTTAAAAAATAAAATATTAAGATACGCCACTCTAAAACGTAGACATCTTATTGTCAGCAACCCTAAAAATGTATAATAAACATGGTCTGTATCCCAGGCCAGAAAATAGATATACTTCTAAAAAATTTACTTTTATTTTTTCTACTTGAAAATATTTTAATTTTTTTTTTTTAATAACAGTTAAAAATTTATGATTTACAATCTAGATCTCGGTAATATAGGTTAAATTCTTATAAATTGCGCGAAGCAAAATGTAGTGAGAGAGACCATAAAAATGCTTTTTTTTCCTCTTTTAATCATTTTCGACAGCCGAGAAATTATTACGGTTGCGTGCAAAATGACTCCTCGCGTGTGTGGTTTTAAAAGCTGTGGAAAGGTCGAGCTTTACGAGTTACTTCGTGTTCTAAAAGGTTTATATATATGTACCTACAACCAACATATACATACATATATATATATACATATAATATAATAATTGCTTGCGCGTTATATACACGTAACCACTGTTGTCGCTTCTTCGGTCAAAAGAAGAGGGATGTTACGTGTCTAATATCTCAAACTTCCATAAACTGCGAACCCCAGCTAAT